TAGCATGCTATTTAAACAACAATCACCTATAAACTTAATCTAGTAGAAAGACCAACCTTAATAGCTTCAATATTTTTCTGCTTGATATCAGCTGGGGAGTGAAGTGAAGTGAACTTCGCTAGTGAAGTTACAAAAGCATCTCTGTGGGTCTTCATAGACATCAACGAAGTGGCATGGATTGCATGGTGAAAGCCTTCAAGACATAAGTTGATAACTATCAGATCATCGCTCTGGTCTAAAGGCACACTGAAGGCAGCAAGCATAGGAGCCCAACAAGCCTCAATCATAAATCTGAGAATAACCACATCTGTTGCAGCATAGTAGGTTGACCTGCAAATTCAAGTAAATTCAAATACTGCATTAGCTCAAAGATGCCTCAAAGATGGGACAGTTCAGGAGAGTAGATACTGGTTGAAATGATTACTACGTGCTACAGAGAAATGGCTGTCATGATGGAAAGGTTGTTAACAACTTTCAATGCAAAGAAGAGTGAGTGATCTTACTCTGATTTGCGAGCTTTTTCCTTAAACTGCTCTTGCATATGCTTCATCAGATCATCACTTGTTTCCACATATGAATCTCCCCACTGCTTACGGATCACTATGTTTAATATACCATCCAAACCAAGCATGCTGTTTGAGTTTGCGGATTGTTTCTGTTGCAAAGGTAACTCATCTTCTTTCATCCTTATCTCTTTCTTTGTTATCCTTTCATACAGCGATTTCATGTAGTCCGAAGGTAAATCTTTCCCGTCGTCGATTCCCCGATTGTTTCTAATAAAGTCCTCGGCAGACATCTATAAGTTCCAAAAGAAAAGAAAAAATGCACAAAGAACTTCATCAACATTATACCTCAAACTGCCACAATAACTGTGTGTATACTAGACAATGAATGAATCAAACCTTGTTCTTCACCATGGGGTTGTGGGCATCAGTATTGAGCATGATCACAGAATATGCAAGAACATAAGCTGTGTCTGCGCTGGTAAACACCTTAGAGTTACACTTGCAGTAACGTTCAGCAAACTTTTCCATGATTCGGTCAATCTTTTGTGCTTCTCCAGGCAGCCTAAAACCTTCAAGAAAGGTTCTTATTGCCTCATCAAATTCCATGTCTTGGAAATCAAAAGAATCCACATACGCATGCATCACCTTGAGATGTAACTCTTCTCTTTCTCCAAGATAATCACCAATCAAAGTTTTATTCAACCCTGACGCATCTTTGAGAAAAGCTGCTATTTCTTCAGGAGAGTCACCCACCTTACCCGCGTTGATGAGAAACTCAATGCCTTTTGTTGGCTTCCGATTAAAAAGAGAAATACCTTCCTGGGACAAACATTTAAATTAACGACCACAGAACAATTATAGGATTGTCATTCTTCTGAATAATCTGCCAAATACACAAACATCTTACGTTCTTACCTGAAGTTCGAGCTTGTAAGCCCGGCGCTGCTCTATGGCCAAAGCATCAGATGTACCTCCTGAAGTTTCAGAATGGGTATCAGATCCTTCAGCAGCCTCATCAGCATTTCCATTTGCCAACTGGGGACTTCCAGGTCCCAGATCGATCTCGAGTGCTTCAGATTTATTCAATGAATTAGAAGCTGGCAGACGCAACTGCTTGTTCAACCAGTCTCCCATTGATTTCAATATGGCTACTAAGCATTTCATGGCTTCAAGTTTCATAGATGCCTCCTGAGGTGGCAACAGCGTTGTCGCTATTCCAGGAGGTGCCCCTTGAGCCGTTTTAAGGAGACCATTGACCACCCTAAACATGATCATACAGAGGAAACATAAGTTACACAAAGAACTTCTCAAACATAAATTACACAAAGAACCTCATCAAAACTAAAACTATGAACAGCGAAGCATCAAGCGACATAACATACCTCTCGAAAATATTTGCTGAATTGACATCACAATCGTAGTTCAAGAACATATCAACTAGGATTTGTGAGTCCAAGCAAATCTTGTCAAGAAACCGAAGAACAATCATCTTCTGCTGAAAATTAGGTTGAGCAACATTCTCTACAACTCTAAGAACAATCATGGGGAAAAAAACTCCAATTTCCGCTTTCAATCCAGCCCGAAATCTTGCAACCAGACTGATAAATATAGAGCAAGAAAGCTGGAAGATAATCATAAGAGTAGAAGCGCTGTTCTTCAACAACGACAAACACAAATATTGTTTGATAGCACCTAAGAACCTGTTCAACAGAAGATGGAGATTCATCAGTAGAATAAAAAATCTGACTTCTCTTCATACGGTGGCTTCGCTCTTACATTCTCGTATAAGGTATGCAAACATTTTTAGTATCAGGAAGATTACCTTTCGCTTGTCCTAAAGACAGCTCCAGCATTTTCCAACAAGATCTTCAACAGCTCAAGAGCCAGAATCTTCCCTCTCATAGACTGCGGATCTGTGGAAGACTCCTTTGGAGCCGTCTTCATGGACAGCTTACAAAGCGCCCTGAAAACCAAAAAGGCATCTCTCCTCAGCTTATTCTCTATCTGAACCTCTAAGTCATCATCTTTCTCAGCTTCCACGTCTGCTAGCTCTCCCTTCCTTCCCTCTAGAGCCGACTTATACATACTGATCTCCCAATACTTCGCGTCCAACATGTCCTTATCGGTGGAGTCCAACAAATCCGTTGGATTCGTAGTCTCCACGGTGGTAGTCCCCAATGCCGTATCTTGGCCTCCGGATCCTGACAATGTCGGGTTCAACACGCCGTCGATATCCTGCACGACTTTACTGATGAAACCCTGAACAAACTGCGTCATCGTCCCATCCGCATCTGATTTCTCGATCGGCTGCATGAGCTCAGCCACAACGATCGGCTGAATCGGGACCGTTGACGAATCCGCCTCCATTCTCCGGAACACGATCACTAAAATCTGGATCAGAGAAGCCTTGGCGGTAGTTTGATTCACCACGTTTTTGCTTCCCAAGTAAATGTCGTAGCAAGTACGTACAATCTGGAGTAAGCAGTCTCCATGGATCCTCAGCGAGATGGAGTTAATTGCAGATAGCATAGTCTTAATCACAGGTAATTCGATCGATTCGTCTCCCAAATCATGGCATTTACAAACGGACTCGATCAATTTGAAAAGGAGGATGGACTCTGCTCCACCGGCGGGATCCGCTTCACCGCGAATGTAGCCATGCGCGATTAGTTTCTGAATGCAGTCGATAGCTGGTTCGACGATCTTCGCGAGGCCAGTGCCACAGGCATTGATCAGAGGGCTGAAGATGTGTTCACAATCGGCGAGCGAGTACTCGACGGAACCACCATCGTTAAGTGGACCGGGAACGCCGGAATCAGGCTCGGAATCAGCAGAGGAAGACGGAGGAGGTGATTTCTGGGGAGAGCTAAGCCGCTCGATAACAGCTTTGCATTCGGTAGCGAGCTTCGAGTGTTTGCGCCACGACGCGTTCTTGACGATCTTCTCTAAAGCTGGTGTAACGACTCGACTCAATCGGGAATCGGCTTCCGAGGAAGCCATTCCCAATTTCACGGCGAGCTCAGCGACTCAAACTTAGACAGATCTGGGACCACGAAAGGAACAGACCAACAGGGGAAGAAATAGCCTCGGGGCTCTGCGTCCGATCCACAGCGACGAGTTAAAGTCAGCGAGTCTGACTCAAAAACGCTGCAAAAGGAAATTCGAGAGCTAAGAGGTAGAAGAGACGAAACTTCAGATCGCGTCGCAGTTTGATTTTTCTGTCATCGAAATGAAATTTCATAACTACATGACTGAAATACCCTTCCGTTGACACTGGATTTAGAAGGCCACTTGTAATTTGAGAGAAATTCAGACACCAGTTTCGATATTTTACATTTCGCCGTTTGTAAGCTGTTGACCGCCGGGAAAATGGTAGCTTGATCCCGGCTGGTGTATTTATTTATTTCCAAAACGGCACAAAACCTTATGTATTACATACTAATACAATCCATATTCTTATAATTAATGGCTAAGTACAAAAAGGTTGATAATCTTGGACTAATTAATACTAACGAAGCATAACCAAATTTCGACCCTAATTAGCTCCCTTAATTATGCCCAAGTTGACAACCTTTATTAAGTCTGTCACTGTCCTCTGTCTACCAAAGGTTGTAGCAACCCAACTACAGATCTAATCACAAGAGAAGGTTCTACTATACCTGCGTCAATGTTCCCCACAGTTTGGAAAAAGAAACATTCCACAAGATCTCCCAATATCTAGAAGATGCTGCTCCACGTCAATTCTGAATGGGAAAGATTATCATTTACAAATAACTAAAAAGTGAGAAACCTTGAGAGGTTACAAAGTAAACTACCAGTGTTATATATGGAGAAACATTCAGGGTTTCATTTTACATAACCACACAACAAAGAAAACTACAACATATAAACAAACAAAAAAAATGCGTAAACAGTGATTTAGAATACATAAAATATACAATTTGATGCCCAGTAATGAATTTGGGGGATTGATATGCATAACAAGATGTGTAAGATAGGGAGTTAGCAATTGGTTATAATGAACGAGAACCATAACGTGTTTCTACAAAATCTCCATTATTTTCCTTTTACTTTTTCGTTATAAACTTGAGGTTTCTTCAAATATACAAATACTCGGCTGCTATAAAAACCAGCCACTCCTTATACGAATACTCTTTTTCACCAAATAGATCTGAACCCTAATTTTTGTTTATTCTCTCACCATGTCCACACGTTTGTCCGGTAAGATGAGCCTATTTCTTGCTCGAAATTGTTTAGTATTAGATTTCATCTGTCATGCTAATCAAGCCGGCAGAATCAAACCTTTTTTTGTTTCTTCATCGGTTTAACTAATCACTGTTTGTTTATCCCTTGTCCGTTTTCGCAGATCGTAAATCAGGCGTGTTCTGGGACGTGGATGATTTCCCAGTCCCCGAGGGTCGCGGGATTCGTGAGATTGTCGAGTCTAATCTTGAGAAACAGGGTTATAAGGGTGAGGCGTCAATCACGGTTTATGGAGAGAAGGATCCGTTCTCGCCTGAAGAAACCGCCAAGGGTCGATTCACCTTCGTAAAGAGAAGTAAGATTGATTTCCTCTCTACTTAATTAAAACCCTAATCTTATATGAATTTCGTTGTATCTGTAATCTTGTTCTTCATTGATTTTTCAGGTGATAAGTACTGGAGACTTCATAAGATGCTAACAGATATTGGGTTGTGGGTTCTGGAAATTCCGGATCGTTATCGTATCCCAACAAACGTGGTGGTAGTGGCGAAAAACATCAGTGAAAATACTGATTTTGTCCGTTTTCTTGAAGAGTTAGATTCAGTAGATTTCAATGTTTCAGTAGTCTTCCCTGACGATGTCAAACCAGCAGAAGTGAATATCCCTGAGGTGAGGTTTGCATGGTATTGGAAAGACTTCCTAGAAGTAGGAGATCCTATTCCCGCAGCCGAATATCGAATCCTTTTAGATCAAGGAGAACGCGATAATATGCTCTTCGATCCCGATGATTGTGGTGATGATTATTCTGGTGAATATGACAATGATGGTGGTGAATATGACGAAGAATCTTGTCGTATGTGGACTCACTACTAGCTGATTCAGGGCTCGATCAACAACAATATAATGATTTATCATAATTATAGTTTTCCTTTTTCTGTCTACAGTTTGGCGTTATCTTTGTGTATTAAACTATGTTTTTTGTGCTTTCCACTGTCTAAAGTTTGCGCTGTTCTTGGATCCATGAATGCCACTGTTTTATATTGTTGACATCTTTACCTCTATCTCACAAGGAAAAAGGTTTACAACAAAAAGGAAGATATCCTAAACTTATATGGAAAAGGTGATATAAAAAAAAAAAACCAAACTCCATCTATTATATATAAGGAGAGCTACTCACAACCCTAAACTATTTTCCTTGTTGAAGTTTTCTCAATCGCCGGTAGAAAATCATGGACACGGACAAGGACACGGGGGAGCCACCTCGCTTCGGTAATGAATCTCTCTTGCTCCAAAAGTGAAATTGATCGCGGGATATATGATTTGTTTCCCTAATTGTTTTTATGCGTTTTTGGCAGCTTGGAACACACGCCTCTTCTGGGACCTCGTGGATTTCCCATACCCTCACGATCGCGATTTGCATCGATTTTATTTTCATGTCCGACATGCTATTGCAGAGAGTTCTAGTGTTGGTCGGCTGTCAATCCATGCTTATGGTGAGGAACTAACTGATCGAAAGATGAACACGTTTTACAATGCCAGAATCTCACTCGAATACGGACCGGCTGACAAACTTGAGAGACTCAACAAGATGCTAGTTGACATGCTTGAGTTTGCTCACATCACGCCTCGTCCCGATAATGTAAATCTACTCATCGCTTCAAAAGACATGCCAGATCAAGACACTGAGTTGTTCGATGTAATGGAGGCTATGAGAATGAGAGGTTGCAGGGTCTTCTTTGTGGTGCCTGATGATTCCCAGTTTCCACCTAGAGATTCTGCAAGCTTAGTGTGGCGTTGGGATGTTCTGCTTGATGGAGGTTCCCCGACCGTAACCAATACGGATTCGGTTTCGGTTTCACAAGGTGCCCTGAAGGCAGTTGGGAAGACAGGCGTGTTCTGGGACGTGGATGATTTCCCATTCCCCCAATCAGGTCGCGGAATTCGTGAGATTGTCAAATCTATTTTTAAGAAACAGTATAACGAGACTGAGGTGTCAATCAGGGTTTATGGTGGGGAAATTCAGTTCACGACTGAATTTCTCGACATGCATAGATTCACCTTCGTAAAGAGAAGTAAGATTGATTTCCTCTTAAAACCCTAATCTTATATGAATTTTCGCCTATGTATCTGTAATCTTGATCTTGGTTTATATTCATTAATTTTTATAGGTGATAAATATTCGAGACTTAACAAGATGTTACTAGACATTGGTTTGTGGGTTTTGGACGCTCCGAAACATTGTCCTCTCCCAAGTAACGTGGTGGTAGCGGCCAAAAACATCAAGGAGAAGACTGAGTATGTCCGTTATCTTGAAAATCTGAATTCAGTAAATTTCAGGGTTTTCGTAGTGGTCCCCGATGATGTCAAACCAGAAGAAGTCAATATTCCTAGTGTAATGAGGGCATGGTATTGGAAAGACGTACAAGTCTTAGGAAAGCCTATCCCCAGAGACGAATATCGAGCCCTTTTAGCTCGTGGAGAACGCAATGAGACACTCTTCAATCCCGATAATTGTGGTAAAGATGCCGATGATGGTGGTGAAGATGCCGATGACGAAGCTTGTCATAGGTTGATTCACTACTAGCCGATTCAGGGCTCGATCGACAAGAATGATTTGTCATAATTATAGTTTGCCTTTTTCTGTTAAGAGGCGTTGGTTTTCTGTCTTCAGTTTGGCATTATCTTTGTGTATTAAACTCTGTTTTTGTGATTTCCACTGTTTAAAGTCTGCGCTGTTCTTTAAAGTATTCTCTTGGTCTTGTATCCATCAATGCCACTCTTTCATATATATTGTTGACATCTTTACCTCTATCTCACAAGGAAATCTTATATATAATTAGGGAGTTGCTCTCTCCTCTTAGAGTGTTCACATCAGCAAAAAAAAAATACAAATTTCATAATATCATTGAATGATTTAATTAATACATACACTTTCATAATATCATTGAATGATTTATTATTCAACCAAAAATATAAAAATGTATTTAAAAAAGAAATGATTAATAAAAATATAAAAGACAAAAATAAATAAATATCGGTTGAACAGTTAATTTTTAACAGTAGATGCAAGAGATTTGTTTTTTAAAAAAAAAATGTACTGAAAATTTAAAATATCTAAAATTCATAATTATATATATTATTTAAAAAGATAGTGTATGTAATAAAATTTCATGGAAAATGTTTAACTCTTGAAAGCAAGAGCTTTGTTTTTAAAAGAAAAAAATGTATTGAAAATTTAAAATCTAAAATTCATAATAATATATATTATGTTAAAAGATAGTGTATGTAATAAAATTTCATGGAAAATGTTTAACTGTTGAAAGCTAACAGTTAAATTTAAGTAATAAAAATAAGTTATATATAAAACTAAATTATTGATTTTGATGTTAAAAAAAACTAAAGTATTGACTATTTCTAACATTTAAAAAAAATCACTCAAAATTTTTTTGTTTGTATAAATATTTAATAAATAAACATCAATATCATATATACAGATTAAAACATAAACGAAAAACATTAAAAGCACAGTTTGTAAAGTATATAAATGATAATGAATAACCAAAAATATATGCAAACAGTCCCGCGCAAGCGCGGGGCTTTAATCCCTAGTGTATAACAATAAAAAAAAGGAAGATTTCATAAACTTATATGGAAAAGGTGATAAAAAAAACAAACTCCATCCATTATAATTTATACAAGAAGAGCTACTCTCAACACACACACACACATACAAAAAAAAACCCTAAAATATTTTCCTCGTTGAATTTTTTTTCTCAATCGCCGGTAGAAGAGCATGGACACGGAAATGGAGGAGCCATCTCGCTACGGTAATGAATCTCTCTTGCTCCAAATTGAAATTGATCGGGAGATATATTATTTTGTTTCCTAATTGTTTTTATGCGTTTCGCAGCTTTGAACACGCGCCTCTTCTGGGACCTCGTGGATTTCCCTTACCCTCGCGATCGCCAGTTGCGTAAATTTTATTTTGAAGTCGAACGAGCTATTACGAAGAAGGCTTCTGTTGGTGATCTGTCAATCTATGCTTATGGTGAGGAACTAACTGATCGACAGATTAACACCTTTTACAATTCCAGAATCTCGCTCGAACACGGACCGGCTGAAAAACGTGAGAGACTCAACAAGATTATACTGGACATGCTTGATTTTGCACGCATGAAGCCTAGTCCCGCTGATGTAAATCTACTCATCGCCGCAAAAGACATGCCGGATCAAAACACTGAGCTGTTCAGTGTAATGGAGGGTTTGAGGAAAAGAGGTTGCAGGGTTTTCTTTGTGGTGCCTGATGACTCCTCAGATTCCCAGTTTCCACCTAGAGATTCTGCAAGCTTAGTGTGGCGTTGGAATATTCTGCTTGATGGAGGTTTCCCGACCGTAACCAATACGGATAAAGTTTCACAAGGTGCCGAGAAACGTTACAAGCAGACAAGTGTCGGAGAATGATACCTCTTTTGTATTATGTGTGGAATTTCACTTGGATCCCTGAACTTGTTATTTTCATTGTGCCAAACACACCAAAGACTTGGGAGTTTTTAGTTATGTGCTTCTTGTTCCTCATTCATGTTTACGTTGGACACTAGTGTTAAACGCCTACTGAAAAGGAGTAAGCCTAGTTAAATTACCTATGTAATTTTGTTGTTAATTAGCATTTTATTGGAGCCTAAGTTTCCCTTGGTATATAGGCCTATAGGTTAATGAGATTGTTTATGGATCGATATGCTCATAGAACAGAGAATATCCTCAACTATTCCGGACAACATTGGTCAAAAGTGAATATGTTTTGGAAAATATAGGCTTTTGTGTAGGATCATTACAGAACTGCGTCAAAATATCCCCACAGTTTGGAAAAAGAAAATTTCCACAAAGCTATGTCCCAATCTCAACTTATCAAGAACGAGGTTGTTCTAGGTCAACTCTGAAACCCAAAACGTGTGCGTACATGCAAGTGATTTGGATGCAAAAGATTATCACTTTACAAATAAGTGAGAAACCATGTAGAACTAACCGATCGAAAGATTAACACGTTTTACAATGCCAGAATCTCGCTCGAATACGGACGGGCTGACAAACTTGAGAGACTCAATAAGATGCTAGTGGACATGCTTGAGTTTGCTCGCACGACGCCTCGTCCCGATAATGTGAATATACTCATCGCTTCAAAAGACATTCCGGATCAAGACACTGAGTTGTTCGATGTAACGGAGGCTTTGAGAATGAGAGGTTGCAGGGTCTTCTTTGTGGTGCCCGATGACTCCTCGTTTCCACCTGGAGATTCTGCAAGCTTTGTGTGGCGTTGGAATGTTCTGCTTGATGGAGGTTCCCCGACCGTAACCAATACGGATAAGGTTTCACAAGGTGCCCTGAAGGCAGTTGGTAGGACAGGCGTGTTCTGGGACGTGGATGATTTCCCATTCCCCCAATTAGGTCGCGGAATTCGTGAGATTGTCGAGTCTACTTTTAAGAAACAGTGTAACGAGACTGAGGTGTCAATCAGGGTTTATGGTGGGGAGCATCAGTTCACGACTGAATTTGCCGACATGCATAGATCCACCTTCGTAAAGACAAGTAAGATTGATTTCCTCTCTACTCTATTTTAAAACCCTAATCGCTCTATATGTATCTGTAATCTTGATCTTGGTTTATTTTTACAGGTGATAAATACTCGAGACTTAACAAGATGTTAGTAAACATTGGTTTTTGGGTTTTGGACGTTCCGAAAGGTTGTCCTCTCCCAAGAAACGTGGTGGTAGTGGCCAAAAACATCAAGGAGAAGACTGAGTATGTCCGTTATCTTGAAAGTCTGAATTCAGTAAATTTCAGTGTTTTCGTAGTTGTCCCTGATGATGTCAAACCAGAAGAAGTCAATATTCCTTGTGTAAAGAAGGCATGGTATTGGAAAGACGTACAAGTCTTAGGAAAGCCTATCCCCAATGCCGAATATCGAACCCTTTTAGCTCGTGGAGAACGCAATGAGATACTCTTCAATCCCGATGATTGTGGTGAAGTTGCCGATGATCCTGGTGAAGATGACGAAGCTTTTCATCAGTGTATCCACTACTAGCCGATTCAGGGCTGTGTTGGTTTTCTGTCTTAACACTTTGGCATTATCTTTTGTGTATTAAACTCTCTGTTTTTGTGCTCCACTGTGATATCTTGTTATCCATTTATTTAGCTCAAAATGTGTCCTGTTTGTGTATGTGATCCGTGAATATTTAGCTATGTCCCAATATCAACTTATCAAGAACGAGGTTGTTCCAGGTCAACTCTGAGACCCATAAGGTGCGTACATGCAAGTGATTTGGATGCGAAAGATTACCACTTCACAAATAATTAAAAAAAGTGAGAAAACAAAGCTTGGTTATATAAACTACCAATGTTATATATGCAGAGAAACATTCAGGGTTTCACTTTACATAACCACACAACAAAGAAACTCCTACAACATACAAACAAACAAAAAATCCCTGAAGCCGTGTTTTAGAATACATAAATATACAATCTGATCCCCGGTTACGAATTAGGGGATTGATATGCATAACGAGAAGTGTGAGATCGAGAGTTAGAAATTGGTTATAACGAGAACCATACCGTGTTTCTACAAAATCTCCCCGTGTCTGCTGAATCCATTGTCTTCACAGTCCGTGTTTGAATCCAAACCACAAGGAGAATCATACCATTTGGCGTTTTCTTGATAGAAGCTATCGACTTGTATACCAACTAAACCTACATCTGCTACTATACCTTCACCGTGTCTCATCGGTTTTGTTAGTTTAGAATCTTCACAATTCAGAATGCTCTTCTCATCAAAGTCATTGCACTTCAACCATTTCTCAGGCTTACATGTCTCAGACAAGAGATCCTTTGGACTTCTACACCCTGACGGTGGCCTTATCTGCTCCCAAGGAACAACATCATCAAGGCTCCTCCCAAAACTATCCTCATCATCTTCAATAAGTTCTGCATCCTTCCCATCTCCATATATATGCTCATGGTGATGGTCACTCCAATGCGCTAAATCATTATCTCCAACAAGTATTTCATCAGAGTGCGCCTTGTCAGAAATCAACCCTGTTGTGCCCTTCACACTCTCATCACCAATATTCCTGATCTTGTTGAGCATCTCAAACAACTCTCTGGACACTGAACCCAACATCTCTTGTGGAATCTTCCCAATCTTTCCTTCTAGATTCCCAAGCTCACTCCTTAGCTCCTGAACCTGATGCATCACAGCAAAATGCATATCCCCACCATCATCCTTCGCAATCAACCCAACCCCTTCGGTTTCTAACTCCTCCCTCACTCCATAGACTGTGTCCTGATCCATCAGAAAACCCTTATGACCAACAACCCGATGCATGATTCTCGCATTCCCATCCATCGCCCCGGGCTCATGCCCTGAATGTACAGCGTACAGCTTAAAAACAGCAGTCCCTTCTTCCTGATACACAAACGTCTTGTCCTTCTCATTGTAGTTAGCAATGGGCACAATAGCTCTAATCCTAAAACCACAACCGCATCTCTTTGACTGATAAGGCTCCCTCTTCAAAATCCTAGACTTCTTAGAAGCAGGCTCTCCAGCTCTGTGGCAAGCATAATCCTTCACCTCTGCCATAAACGGCTTATACCTAATATACTTCTGCCTAATGCAGAGCACAACCTTATGCTTAGAAGCCAACTGCTGCAACTTATCCGGAACGTCCTTGGCAGGCACATCGTAAGACTCTGTATACTCAAACCGACGCCGTTTGCTTCTAGAGCCAGAGCCAGAGACCGCATTGCAAACAGAGCACGCCGCTACACAAACCCTAATAAAGCTCTCGGGGATTCCATACAACTTAGCACCAACGGTCCACACTTGCTTAATCCTCTCAATAGTCTCTTTAGCTCCTAGGTGTTTCAAATCGCCATCGCCATGGAACCCCATGACTATATCCTGCCACTGGCTAATGTGGGAGACGAATTGCTGGGGATTGTTTTTAAAGCAGAGGAATTCGTTACCGGAGGCTGGATCGAGGCGTGCGGTGAGCTTGTCCTGGATCCGTTTCCAGGCGGTGAGGTACGCCGTGTCCTCGTTTCGGTCCTTCCAGACGGAGCGCCATGACTTGAGGACGGACCTCGGAGTAGCGATGCGGATCTCCGCTGGAGTAGCGAGACGGCCCTCGCGGAGGCAGCGGATCATGAGAGAGTGAGAATCTGCGTTGAATGTGTAGAACTGAGATGAGATGTGAGGCTCCGGGCTGATGAAAGCCTCATCTGTGCCTTCACTCGAAACCCTAGGGTTTGACGAAGCAGAAATTTGGGGGATTCCGGCGCGAGGATGAGACGCATCGTCTTGTTCGTCGGAGGAGTGACCCGGGGAATCTCCGGATGTGGAGGAACGGAAGAGGACGAATTCCGGGAGAGAAAACGCGGGATCGTCTTCGGGATTGTGGTGGTGGTGGTGGTGATGAATGGACGGCTGTGATTGAACGATTATGTCTGTCGGGCCAAGATCATGGTTGTGGAACAGATCTTCTTCGGTTTTGTGAGGATTCATCGGGAGGATGAAGGAGTAGCAGCAGATGAAGAAGATGGAGAAGAAGAAGACGACGACAGAGAGAAGATGAAGGATTTTTGAGTAATTTTCTGTGTGTTTTGTTTTTATTTATTTTTTTGAGTAATCTCTCAGGCTCGGTCCGAGATGTGACAAATACTCTCTATACGAGGGGTAAAAAAATTATTTTTATTTAATTTAATTTTACCCTCTAGTTTTTTCTTTTTAATAGTATATGATCATCAACTTAATGTATACTCTCTATACAACTGAAAATGCAAACTTGTGGTTGTAATTTGTATCAACAAAAAGGATAGATTAAATCTAAACTAAATTAGCTTATCATTTGTTATCAATCATCCAAATAGTTAGATTCCACTTATCTGCTTTAATTTATTAGAAATTTAACTCCTTAACATTCACATTAATTTGGTCACCAAATATGATAAAGAATAACAATGTTTCTAATTGGTAAGATATAGAGATATAGATCTTACTGTTGTTCTTCCTTTCTCTCTTCATAACCGCCTCTTCATAACAGACACCAAACTGGATCTAAGAGCCACATTTCAGGCGATCCAAGCAATGACATTGGCTTTTGTGCAGATATTGAGCGAAAGGTTTCAGGGAATCAACAACTCCGAGGTAATTTCTTTTTCTGATTCAGAAAGAATTTATCGTCCATTTACTCTTTCTTTTTCATTTGCTTCCTTTCTAACGTTGGAAAACGTGAATTCTCTGCCGCCGGTTGCTTCGCTTCCGACATCGGAAACCGTGACTCCGCCAATCGTTTCTACCAATTATTTTGTTTTTCGGTTTTTTTGTCTTTTATAATAAATAAATCAATAAAAAATGAGGAAACTTAAGTTTCCCATTTGAAAACGAAAGTGTGGTTTATTGGTTTGAAAATTGATTTGTGTTGAAAAAATTGAGGATGCAGCGAATCTAATTTCATTTTTTTGCTCAATAATACTAGAATAATGTTAGGTGTCAAAAGTTGTTAGGAAGAGGTATGATTATTTTTAAAAAAGTGGAGCCAATTATATTTCAAAAATCGGAATAGCCCATTTTTTCAAATTCGAAGGTTTATTGCTCCCATTATGAAATCTGGTCCGTTAAAAGCACAAAAGGAAAGAGAATTTTTATTCAACGGTTCCGATCATGTCACGTGAACAAAAATCGTGAGTCTCGGATCGTAACGGACCCTCCTCCCGCTCCCTCTTCAAATTTTGATTTCACATCCGTTACCTTAACGAATTCCCAAACACTTATAACCCTAATTTCGCTGTCTCCAGCTTTGATCATTTCTTCTCCAACTCCACCACCTTTTTCTCGGCGCAAATCTTTGATCTAGGTAGGTCGATTTCTCGCTTTTCTCTTGCTAATTGTAAAATATCTTGAAATTTTTCTTGACTTTAATCATTGCGATTTTGATTTCATTTCTTCGGAAGAAAACAGAGAAAAAAATTCTGTATTTGCTTCCGAACGCAAGTGATGTTTATGAACTTTCTGGTTTTTTCTCAAATCGAGGATTGGATTTTGCGAAACAACTCATAGTTGAAGTTGCTAGTCCGAAACAAATGTCGCGGTTTCATGATGCTTAAAATCGGAAGTATAATTTGGGAAATTTCGTCTGCAGGTTTCGAGAGGAGGATTTAGCGTGTTCTATCACCATGATGCGGAATTCGACGGAGCAGTTTTCGCGAATCGAGACTACATGTGGATTGTTGCTTCGCCAATTGCAGGTTTTGCTTAAAGGATATTCAAATCTTCGATGCCCAAATTTGTTCCCTTCTTGGCTTAAATTACCATTTCTGATTTCAGGAAATATGGAATGAAATGGGAGAGACTGAGGATGAAAAAGACGCTGCTTTGGCTGATATTGAGAAGGAGTGTCTCTCGGTTTATAAGCGGAAAGTCGACGAGGCTACTAGGTGTAAAGCGAATTTGCTGAAAGAAATCGCCATCGGAAGAGCGGAAATTGCAGCCATTGGATCTTCTATGGGTGGACAAGAAATTCACGTAAGTGTTTTTGATAACCTTTTGTTCTCTCTGTGTGAGTTATGATGGCAGATAATGATGATAGCTTGTTCCCTTTTGTATGTGTTTTCTGTTTCAGTCTAACAGTAGAGTGGGAGAAAACTTGAAGGAGGAGCTTGAGAACGTTAATGTGCAGTTAGAGGCACTGCAGAAAAAGAAATCCGAGAGAATGAATCGGTTTAAGGAAGTGATTGATCAGCTACTGAAGTTGTCATTTCAACTTGGAAACCCAACGGATTATCTGAAGAAGTTTGCTGCACAAGAGACAGATCTTTCGCTTCAGAAGCTGGAGGAATTGCGTAGGCAATTGACTGAACTCCAGAATGAAAAGGTTGGCTTTTTAACATTTATATGTTATATTGCTAAGCATCCACATTTCACTAAACATATACTCTGCATTCATGTTCCTTATGATATCAGGATATGGGACTTACAATATGCTCTGCATTCATTTTCATACTGTAGGGTAAAAGATTGGAAGAGGTGGAACGTTTGCTGGAAACGTTGAGCTTGTTGTGCTCAGTGCTTGGGGAAGATTTCATGGACATGAGCAGAGGGATACATCCATCTCTGGTTGATTCCAACACAAGAGATGTGAGCAGAAGTACACTTGATAAGTTGGATATGATGATTGGGAATTTAAGAGAGGTCAAGTTGCAGCGAATGCAGAAGGTTAGATAGAATTCTGAGATTGGAAATGTAGTGCAAAATTTTCTATGCGTGCTTACGGTTTTGACTCTTATCACTTGTTTTGTTTCCAGGTTCAAGATCTTGCAGTCTACTTGTTGGAGCTATGGAATCTGTTGGACACGCCTGTGGAAGAGCAAAACATATTTCAAAATGTCACCTGCAGCATCGCTTTGTCTGAGTCTGAAATCACCGAGGCCAACATACTCTCTGTTGCCTCCATGAAACGCGTGAGTACACAGTAAAAAAAAACCTTGCTGCGTTTTCTCGCTCTATTGTTAAGGACCATCTTTTTGAATATGTTGGTTTTGTTTCACAGGTTGAGGATGAAGTCATTAGGCTTAGCAAGCTCAAAACAACTAAGATCAAAGAGGTGATACTTAGAAAGAAGCTCGAGCTTGAGGAAATATCAAGGAAGGTGCACATGGCCCCTCAAGTTCTTAAATCAGAAAACTTTTCAGTTGAAGCAATAGAATCTGGTATGCCATGATTAGAAAAAAAGCTTATTTTACAACTTCAGTGCTGAAAATTTGATCACTTTGATAGTAATAGTACGTTTCCACTCATCTTTTAGGTGTCAAGGATCCTGAACAGTTGTTAGAGCAGATTGATACCGAGATTGCAATGGTCAAAGAGGAAGCTTCAAGCAGGAAAGAGATTCTAGAAAAGGTGGAGAAATGGATGTTAGCATGTGAAGAAGAGTCCTGGCTCGAAGAGTACAATCGGGTAAGACATATGTCATCTCAAGCTCTCTCTCTCTCTCTGCTCCAACCTCTTTCTCTAAAGATTTATTGGATTCTCAGGATGATAATAGGTACAATGCGGGAAGAGGAGCTCATCTTACATTGAAACGTGCGGAGAAAGCCCGTATACTTGTCAATAAACTTCCTGGTAACAATCTTTTTTCTTCTAGATTGTATTACAGAACCAACAACTTTGATTACAAACTCCATTGCTTTCTGGTGCTATTGTTTCACAGGGATGGTGGAGGCTTTGACCGCTAAAGTCACTGCTTGGGAGGATGAGAGAGGAAATGAGTTCTTATATGATGGTGTAAGTGTCTTTACTGATCAATGACTATATTCTACTTGCTTATCAAATGAACATCTTTACAGAAACGCACGTTCCCTTGAAAATTGTCCAGGTTCGAGTTTTATCGATGCTTGAGCAGTACAAGGCTTTATGGGAAGAGAAAGAGTTTGAGAAACAGAAGCAAAGAGTAAGGGGAATTAGTTTTACAAGTAACCAATATTTAAGCATTTGAGCCCAAAAAAAGACATAATTGGCAACTTGACATTGTTGTTATCATATCAGGATCTGAAGAAACTCCATGGACAACTCATAACAGAGCAAGAAGCACTATACGGGTCAAAACCAAGCCCAAGTAAAAGCGGAAAGAAACCACTGAGAGCTCCAGTCACTGCTGCCATGAACAGAAAACTCTCCCTTGGTGGTGCCATGCTTCAAAGCTCCAAGCCTGAGAAGGCTAGCAAAAAGACTAATTACTACGACCAGAACGCTATTAGTAGAAGAGATTCAGCTCTTCCAACTCTTTCAGGTACATAATAATAACACAAGAGTCTGGTTTACAGAGACACAAAGAGAGAGAGATTGATGCTGGATAAATTGTGTTTATGTAGGAAGGAGAAACTCAGAGCTTCCTGGTCGTCTCAGAGCAAAGAACATTCCGGCTGCAGGCAAAGCTGTGGCGAGCAAAGGGAGATCTCCAATGCTTAGGAAGCCTCTTTCACCGGTTACTTCCAACATCTTGAATTCCCCTGAAGATCACAAGGATGCTTACACAACAAAGTCGTCTTCTTTAGAGGAGAGAATCTTGACACCTAAAACCAACGAAGAGAAGAGAAAAACGGCCGTTCCGATCTATGTACCTACGACTCCGGCAAGTTCAGTCGCCATGACGGAGGCAACAACGCCGTTCACGCCATCGTTACCGGCGGTGGAGAAAAGGATGGATGAAGAAAACGTGGTTGAGTACTCGTTCGAAGAGTTGAGGGCCGGTTTCTGCTAAACCGTGAAACCCCGGTTTCCCCATTAATTCGTGTAAAACGTTTGCATTGCGTTTAGTACTACTTCGGTTTGCATTGCAAAACGTTTGTGATTGTCAACAATCTTTTTGTTTTCCGCTAAGAATTAATAGTTCCTTACAAGCAAATCTTCAAATCTTGTAAGAGAATGATTACTGGTGGTCTCTTAACCTATCTCTTAACATTAACAGATTTTTTTTTTTGTCAGCTAACATTAACAGAATTAAAAAAATAAAATAGAAAAGAAAGAGGGAGAAGAGAAATAGATAAGAAATGTTCAAACAAATTTAAGAGACATAAAAAACATATGGCAACATGTGATTGGTTTAATTTTATTTATTTTAATACTCTTTGTTTCATAATAAGTGTCACTTGGAGAAAATGTATCTAGATTATAATTGGATGTATCTCGATGGGCTTTGAGTTTAATACACCTGGATACGTTGCAATGCCACGAAAGTAGTATATAAAATATATCTTAAAAGATTTTTGAAAAGTTTTACCAATAATCATGTTCTAAGTTGCTTACAAATATATAGATAGAGTAGATTAAATATAAACAAAGCGAAAGCAATTATCAGCTACAAGAGAAATTTTTGAGTAGTCATTTGAAGAGATTAGGGATCTTAAAAAAAACAATGTAAAGCTTATATCATAAAACATAAAAGTAGCAAATAAATCTTAAATCAATCATTTATACAAGTGATCAATGACTTGTTCTAAACGTTTGATGCTTTTCGAGTCAAGATTATTATCGCCATGAAAATCTTTCTCCTTAGGTAAAGAAAAACTTAAAGATTTACAGTACAATCGGAAAGGAAAATAAGGCAAAATTAGCGAGAACAAATCCTTCAACTCAATTAATTAGCCAACAGTTGTGTGCAACAGTTTGTACAGGTTTGGAGCATTATCTCTTTGTTCAACCTCATCCTCTTGTAAGAAGTTGATCATATCATCATTCATAGTAGAAGAGCCTACTCTTCTATTGATTCAAGTGTGGAATCGGATCTACTGGCTATTCTTTGGGCAGTTGAGAGTTTGAGTTTCCCTCATGTCCATCATATCCTCACTAATATCCAGCAATTTTCTAGTACAATGGAATCGTCTAAGTTTGAACATGTCAGACGTGCAGGAAATCGAGTTGCCGGTCTAATTGCATACAATGTCACACAATATGACCCTTGGTATCAGCAGTCATATATCGTGAGAGGGGGTACTTCATGGCTTCATCCACTCATCAAGGCTGAAGCAGCTAGCAAGGTAGGGGCATAAGCCTCTGTTTTTTCTTTGTTCTTTTTCGTTTGAGTCACCTATTGGTAATCAAAACTTCTGTGCGTAGTTGACATGGATATTGATCCATATGCAGGGAAAAGCTAGCCAAGGGAACGAAGTCGATGCATCTAGGTCACATGGTGTAAACACACGTCTGAAAGCAGTAGTACTAGCAATTGAATGTAAAATGGTTGGTGCTGGTCTGTGTGAGCGTTGTGTACATAATAGATCTTTATAACCAGCTTACAAGATAATGAATCTCGTGTTTGCATCTTTACATGAAAGAGCTCTGAATCTCGTGTTTGCATCTTTACATGAAAGAGCTCTCTGTTTAGTCACTATGTTGTGTTATCTTGTTTCCAGTTTTAATCTTCGCATTTAAGTCTTGCATACAATTCAATTACTACTTAATCCAAATCTTCAAATCTTGTAAGCTGGTTACAAATACATAAATTGGGATGTGTCTGAATACATAAATTGGGATGTGTCTGAATAATTAAGATTAAGCCTAAACACAGCAAAAAGTGAAAACAATCTTCGGCTACAACAACAAGTACAAACGTTTTTGGTCTTTCCGGGATCAGAAACATTTCCGGTGAACCACAGATGGTCCAGTCTCATCATAGTCAGCTTTAGTAACATGCTGATTCTGAGGAAACACCACTTTGGCAAGTATTGCTCCTCCTATCCAAGCCGAATACAATCCCAAATTCTCCGGCATATACTCCGGCGGTTTCACCAGCGTTGGCCTAATCGCAGATGAGCACAGGTTTGCTTCTTTCTGAAATCTGCTTTCGAATCCTGCCAATAACCATTGCACCAAACCTTTCAGCTTCCAACCCCAAGAATATCATCAAAACATACAATTGTACTAAGTTATTATCATTACCTGTCATGGAGGTTGTACCACCACAAAGCACAGTGTTCTCCAAGAGTTGCCGGTGGTTCTCAGATGAGACAGTGGAGATTATCCGGACAAGCTGCTCAACGATTCCGTGCTCCTCCAATCCCAATATTGATGGCTGAAACAGAGCTTCACCAACAGAGTATCTCTCTCTCCCAATGTTGATCACCTAATAAGACCATGGCTTTGTTATATAAGGCAATGCAAGTTGAACAATCTTTTATTTGTAGTCACACAAACCTGTCCATCAGGAAGTGTATGCTGCTCGATTTCACAGTTTTGGGTTTTGGCATAAGCGATTGCGTCCTCAGCACAGTTTGCATACTGCTCCTTGAGTTTTTCAACATCAGCCATGCTGAGATTGATCGACGGGTTGGATTTTCCAAGCTCTTGTGCTAGTAGTTTCGTTAGTTCGGTTCCACCGAGCTCAAACCTTTTCGAGGCAATGTGCTGCACAGCACCTTCAACCACCGGAGCAATATCTGGTTACACCGGCAAAGAGTTACGATTAACAATTGTGAGACAGACATAATCACAAAGTTAGAAACATCATACATAACAACATCCTAATCATACTCAGCTACAACAACAACAAGGATTCGCTAAGCTACTGCAACTTACAGGACACAATTACTTCGTAAGAAAAACGTTTCAGAGCATGGAGAAGTGTCTATTAAGGGATAAAGCAACTCAATCTAGAGAATATCTTAGTTACTTGACAGCAAACACATAAAAGTGGGGAAAATGAGAAAGTGAAAAGACACAGAGAGTAAGATCAAACTGTATAACAAAGAAGAGCCAAGCTAATATACCTATCTTCCCATGACCAATATCAACAGTGCAACCGGAGATCCGTCCAACAGCATAAAGTGATAACACAGCTTGCTCTGATGCGTAAAATCCAGAGACATTGAAAGTCTCAAACATCAATTGCACCAATTGCTCCCTAATCGCCTGCTCCAAAACCAAATCAGGTCTAAACGTTAAAAGAACAAGACTTTACTACTCAAAATGTGGTACTATAAGAACAAAATGGGTCCTTCTAAAAGTAATCTAATTGATACGAACCTTGGGAGTGCATAATGGATCTGTGAAAAGTATATTGCCTTCGTTTCCTTCTTCCCATCCAAGACCAGTGTAGACAACGTATCGCAACAGATCCTCCATAGCATCCCAATCTTTGATAAGCCCCCTTTCAATAGGATCAAGAGTGATATCCTCAAACACAGTGGTTGGGTTATCAGCTGAAGAAGACCCATCATCAACCATTCGTTTCATCTGAGATGGAATTATCATTGCGGGAGACTGGTCAGGAATCGCTGCTCCTGCTTTCAGGAGCTTCGAGCCAGCATCAACAACAAGTGCTTCCATCTTTTCTAAACTCCTCAAAAACCCTAAATTCCACAATTTCCACAAATTCGAAGATTACTATTAGCACCTAGTCAGGGCAAGTCAAGAAGAGGAAATGAGAGGAAGAACTAGAGTGAAGAGAAAGAATTGATTTTTCGAGGAACCCACCTTTCAAATGAACTAGCTAAGACTCAGTAGAACAACATCAGACTTCTCACAGGTCCATCAAAATTAGGGTTTGCAAAGTCACTACGAACAACTAGATCTCGACTAATCTAAGGGTAAAGTTTCTACTGCAACAGAAAGGGAACAATTATCACTATCAGTGGTGGTCTAATAGGGAAATGGAAGAAGCTTACTACGAGCGTGAGAAAGAGAGAGAGAGAGAGATCGAAGAAGAACAAACAAACGGCGTAAAAAGGTTCTTTTCAATTCTCAGGAATTTGAAGCCCAATAAAGGCCCATATCCCGTAATGATATTGTTAGCCCGTTCAATAAACGACATCGTTTTGTCCTCGTCTCCTCTTTCTTGTTTACAAAGCCAAACAAGATCCATAGAAGTTCTCGACATCGAAAACAAAAGCTCTTCTTCTTCCATATTCCATTCTTCTAAACCTTAGAGCTAAGTGTTTTTTTCTGCTTCTCTTTCAAAGCTACGATGACGAAGCAGCATGCGAACTGGTCTCCTTACGATAACAATGGAGGGTACGGATCATCTGACTCTAATTCGAGACCCCGAGTTTCTTCGTTTTCTGATTTACTATTTCAGCGTCTGTATTAATCGGTGTGTTTTTGATCCAGAACATGTGTGGCCATCGCCGGATCGGATTACTGCGTTATCGCCGCCGATACTCGGATGTCTACCGGTTACAGTATTCTCAGTCGCGATTACTCTAAAATCCATAAACTGTGAGTACCTTCTTTGTTCTGTCAAAATCCTCACATTCAATCCTTTGGAACAGTAATTAGGTGCTGGAAATAGCTCAATTTTAGGCTTATTAGGGTTTTTGCTCTTTTGCTCTGGGTTTTTTTTGCAATCGATTGCTCGTAGATCTGGATGAAACTGTGTCTCTCTAGGTCGAGAATCAGGTTATTTTGTGTTGAAAGAAATAGACTTTCTGTCATTTACTAATCAATACATATAAAAATGAGTGATCTTCGAGTACATAGTAATTACACTTTGTAATTACATTGATCATTCTTTGAAATTTGTAATCCAGCTCAACGCTTAGCTTATTTGTGCTCTTAAAACTGTTTCTTTACATTGTGTTTAGCTTTTTGAATGATAGAGTATGCAGACTTTATAAAAGAACGTTGATAGAATTCTGATTCGTTTTCATATGTTGTAACTTGTAAGAGTGTTCTCAAATTGTTGTTTGTCTTCTAATCCTTCAGAGCAGACAAGGCTGTGCTTTCTTCCTCGGGATTTCAGGCTGATGTGAAAGCATTGCAGAAGGTTCTCAAATCTAGACACTTGGTGAGATTTCCTTCCTTCGTTTGAATCCAAAATTGTTTCTTCCCTTGCATAATATCAGGTTTTTAATAGTGTTTTCTATATCCCACAGATCTACCAGCATCAGCACAACAAGCAAATGAGCTGTCCTGCGATGGCTCAGCTTCTCTCCAACACGCTTTATTTCAAGCGGTTTTTCCCTTACTACGCCTTCAATGTTCTTGGAGGGCTTGACGAAGAAGGTACAAAGAAAATGCTCTCTCTTTTTTCCCGGCCTGCCATTTTACTTTGACTATAGCAGGAGGTAAATTGTGCGATCTTTCTTTTGAAAATGTTCAGGGAAAGGGTGTGTCTTCACTTATGATGCTGTTGGATCATATGAGAAGGTTGGATACAGTGCTCAAGGTTCTGGCTCTACACTCATCATGCCTTTCCTTGACAACCAGCTCAAGTCTCCAAGTCCTCTTCTGCTACCTAAACAGGTTTGTTGGTTTCTGCTTAGGCTTTATGTAATAGTAAGCAGCACAGAATGAAAATCATTTATAAGTTGCTTATTATTTTGCCTTCCGTCTCGTCTCTGTAGGATTCTATCACACCCCTTTCAGAATCTGAAGCAGTTGACTTGGTCAAAACTGTCTTCGCATCTGCCACTGAGAGGGATATCTACACTGTAAGCTTTTTGACTATCAACATTGCACTAATCCTTCATCTTCTTTGATTGTTTTCTCTCTCGGACTAATGATACGCGTATTGTTTGTGTGTAACAGGGAGACAAGCTCGAGATTATGATTCTTAAGGCCGATGGTATCAAGACCGAAGTCATGGAGCTGAGGAAAGACTAAGCTACTCTCTAGCGTATGAGTGTTTGGAGCACACCTTTTTCTTTATCCTCATCTCAGCTTTAGGCACCCTCTGTTATCTTGAACTGCGTTGTGGATTTAATGTTTTGCAGTTAACCATGACTCATGATGTTTGAAGTTTTCTGCGAAACTGTTTCCTTTATGTATGATTCTCAAATCCTTCAGTTGAAAACACTCTTTATTTCATTTATGACAATGTTTTTACATAAGAAATTTGCATGAATAGCATCTTGCACATGAAGACAGAATCCGGCAACTCTTTTTAATCATAATCAGAAGCTGTTCTCAGATTCCCATCCCTTCTTCTCTAGCTCTTGTCGCAATGCCTTCATCATAAGACAAAAATGAAAGCAGATAAATAACCATTACTCACTTGGATTATCAGAGATATTTTAACCATGAAAGCTCTTACCTTTATTCGCTTTCTGTTGACATCAAAATCGAAGTTCCCTTTCCGAGATGCAGATCGATACTCCACTGTCGAGTTTTTACCGGGAGTAAACAAGAATTCAACATCATCTACCAACTGTTCAAAGACAAAAACCACAAAAGACCAAAGGGTTTTTCTCAAAAGTCTGTAGTTATGGTGGTTGAGAGAGGGCAATAGAAAGTTTGCATCCTTACCCCTAAGATTGGACTTTCGTATTCTACATGGACGTAGTCTTCCTTCTTCTCCACAATCCGAGGAGTGAATTTGTCCGGTTTCGTCGACTTAATCTGCATCAAAAAGATTTTCAAATGGCGATTTGATTCATATCTTGACATTGTAGTTGATGCTAACAGATTCTTACCACATTAAGAAGCTCTTTCATTGCAACTTCTCTGTTCACAGGCGTTTTCCTTCCACCATTATAATTCCTAACCAACAGGAAGAAAAACAAGAGTGTTTTGAATTGATGATCAAATCTTTCAAAGCAAGAGAGCAGAATCTCAACACAAAGAAAGCTATTGATTTACCATGGAGGAGCATAATGCACACGATCGCTGATACTCTCCGAAGTGGAAATACAGTTATTTGTAGCAGGACACAGAGCTAATCTCTCGTTCTTCTGTACTCCCAGATAATCTGGTTTCTTCCCACTGAATCAAATAATCACAAACATTTCATTATCATCGTCTTCGTTGTTAGTTGTTACCATCACACACCTAAGGCTTCAATTTCCGTTGAAGAAAACGTACCTGAGCTGGAAAATGGCTCCGATCATAGCTAGTTCACTGCTCCTAAGAATTATCTCTCTTCCAATTTCATAAACAAAATAAAAAAGAAATTACAATTAGATACTTGGTTCGGTTCCATCGAGAACGAGAGATACAGAAAGAGAGAGTACCTTCGACTAATTAGCTTGGGATGTTTCTCATCTGGCGTGTCTGGAATCGAGGCGATGATACGAAGCCCATCAGGACAAGCATTTTTCCGGCATTTATTGTGATTCATGCGATACAAGCAAGCGGTCGGTGACGCCATGGAAGCCATCTTCAGAAGCTCGGAGTCTTCTTTACTCCTTCAAGTGTGAATTAAAGAAGAGAGTATTGTTTGGGAAATTGAAAGACGTCTTGAGCTTGTAAACGAGACTTTATGAGCTTATTAATTAATCTCAGCGTATTGTTTGATGACCCAACGGGCCAATTATTTACTCGTTTTCTTGGCCCAATAGGCAATACAAATATCACGTTGTCTGAAAGTGTTCATAGCTATATCAGTTAAAGTTGTTTTATTAAAAGCGAATTGAATACTTTAAACAAATAGCCCGTCTAGCTCAGTTGGTAGAGCGCAAGGCTCTTAACCTTGTGGTCGTGGGTTCGAGCCCCACGGTGGGCGACTTTGAATTTTTCCATTTTGTTTTGTCTTTTCCCATAATTAGTTCTCTTTATTCTTTTTCTTTTAAGTTCTGTTTAAGGAAATATCGTTTTTGACTTTTCATCTGTCGGAGAAAATTAGCGAAATATTAACAACAATCCGAACGGTAATTAATGTAGATGTAATACACAAATTTGGATCCAGGAAGAAAGACTGATTGACTCGAAAGTCATTAAACTACAAATCTTTATTTGGTCTGAAATTTCTTGTTAGCTCCAAAAGCGGAATCCAAATCCAGAAGCAGATAAAGTCTCATTCTTCAAGCTTCCCATCCAATTCCTCCTTCTCATGGAGTCTAAATCTGCTCATTACCACTCTCATTTTCTTCCTTAAACCCCTTTTGATTTTTCGTTCCAGATTATATAAAAAAAGCCCTAGAAAAGCTCAAGACTGATCTTACAATTCCCCTAAAAACACCTCCTTTCGAGGAGAGAGAGAGTCATCTGGAGATTTAGAGAAAGGTTTTAATTTTTTTTCTAGTTTCTTCTGAAATCTGTAATCGATCGTGATTGCTTTGACTATGCATAGATCTGGTACTGCAATGGCGTGGAACGTATTTAAATTCTGTACGGCCTTACGAGGTCTCGGATCGATCATGATCCTCTTGGTCCTCGGCGTTGTCGGTGTCACCTATTACGCCGTCGTTTTGACTAATTACGGACCGGCACTCTCTCAAGGCGGGCTTGATTCTCTTGCTGCTCTCACTATCCTAATCCTCTTCCATCTACTCGTAAGTAAAATCATAAGATTCTTGTTAGGAAGATTTGGTTGCTTTTAGTCAATTCAGTCAACAAAGTCTGTTGCTTTAGATTAGATGTGAAGATGGTTTGTGAAAGTTTAGTGCTTTTTAATGTTTGGTTGCAGCTGGGGATGCTATTGTGGAGCTATTTCTCAGTTGTGTTTACTGATCCTGGTGTTGTGCCACCGAATTGGAGACCAGCTACTGATGAAGAAAGAGGCGAATCTGATCCGTTGAGCAGTTTGGAGTTTGTTGGTTTACAGTCTGATTCTTCAAACGGAAGAATTCGGTTCTGCAGAAAGTGTAATCAACCAAAACCTTCCCGTTGTCATCATTGTTCCGTTTGTAAGTATTCAACTTTTCTCTTCAGATTCTCTGCTATTAACCACACATATATGTATATATACGAAGTATTGAAATTTAAACGATCCCAGGTGGAAGGTGTGTGTTGAAGATGGATCACCATTGCGTTTGGGTTGTAAATTGTGTAGGAGCACTGAATTACAAGTATTTTCTTCTTTTCTTGGTAAGCTTATTTCTTGTTGTTACAGGATCTTTCTTCATCTTGTGTTTGCCTCGTTACTCATGTGTCAGAGCTTTTGTGTGTTACAGTTCTACACGTTTCTAGAGACGACTCTCGTGACGTTGGTTCTTATGCCTCACTTCATAGCGTTCTTTAGCGATGAAGAAATACCTGGAACACCAGGGACTCTCGCTACTACTTTTCTTGCATTTGGTATGTTTTCGAACTTTCCTTATTTATGTATACGACTGTTTCTCTAGTGGACATTTAGTGTTCATCTATTAATAGATCACACTTTCTTTGATTATGACAACAGTTTTGAATTTGGCATTTGCTTTGAGCGTGATGGGGTTCTTGATTATGCACATTTCCTTGGTGGCTGGCAATACCACAACTATAGAGGTAATCATTTCCATGGCCAAAGCTCAAAGCTTTGAATCATTCCATAGCTATAGCTTTGAGTCTTGTCTTTGCATAAATGGAAACTTGTGTCTTTAGACTCTTTAGACTGTCTCGATGCCTTCCCATGGCTAAAGCTCTGAGCTTTCTTTGCTGAAACTGTCTTGTGTGTTGAATTGTGAGCAGGCGTATGAGAAGAAAACCAGTACAAAATGGCGGTATGACCTCGGTAGAAAGAAAAACTTCGAANACCCCAAGAATATCATCAAAACATACAATTGTACTAAGTTATTATCATTACCTGTCATGGAGGTTGTACCACCACAAAGCACAGTGTTCTCCAAGAGTTGCCGGTGGTTCTCAGATGAGACAGTGGAGATTATCCGGACAAGCTGCTCAACGATTCCGTGCTCCTCCAATCCCAATATTGATGGCTGAAACAGAGCTTCACCAACAGAGTATCTCTCTCTCCCAATGTTGATCACCTAATAAGACCATGGCTTTGTTATATAAGGCAATGCAAGTTGAACAATCTTTTATTTGTAGTCACACAAACCTGTCCATCAGGAAGTGTATGCTGCTCGATTTCACAGTTTTGGGTTTTGGCATAAGCGATTGCGTCCTCAGCACAGTTTGCATACTGCTCCTTGAGTTTTTCAACATCAGCCATGCTGAGATTGATCGACGGGTTGGATTTTCCAAGCTCTTGTGCTAGTAGTTTCGTTAGTTCGGTTCCACCGAGCTCAAACCTTTTCGAGGCAATGTGCTGCACAGCACCTTCAACCACCGGAGCAATATCTGGTTACACCGGCAAAGAGTTACGATTAACAATTGTGAGACAGACATAATCACAAAGTTAGAAACATCATACATAACAACATCCTAATCATACTCAGCTACAACAACAACAAGGATTCGCTAAGCTACTGCAACTTACAGGACACAATTACTTCGTAAGAAAAACGTTTCAGAGCATGGAGAAGTGTCTATTAAGGGATAAAGCAACTCAATCTAGAGAATATCTTAGTTACTTGACACATAAAAGTGGGGAAAATGAGAAAGTGAAAAGACACAGAGAGTAAGATCAAACTGTATAACAAAGAAGAGCCAAGCTAATATACCTATCTTCCCATGACCAATATCAACAGTGCAACCGGAGATCCGTCCAACAGCATAAAGTGATAACACAGCTTGCTCTGATGCGTAAAATCCAGAGACATTGAAAGTCTCAAACATCAATTGCACCAATTGCTCCCTAATCGCCTGCTCCAAAACCAAATCAGGTCTAAACGTTAAAAGAACAAGACTTTACTACTCAAAATGTGGTACTATAAGAACAAAATGGGTCCTTCTAAAAGTAATCTAATTGATACGAACCTTGGGAGTGCATAATGGATCTGTGAAAAGTATATTGCCTTCGTTTCCTTCTTCCCATCCAAGACCAGTGTAGACAACGTATCGCAACAGATCCTCCATAGCATCCCAATCTTTGATAAGCCCCCTTTCAATAGGATCAAGAGTGATATCCTCAAACACAGTGGTTGGGTTATCAGCTGAAGAAGACCCATCATCAACCATTCGTTTCATCTGAGATGGAATTATCATTGCGGGAGACTGGTCAGGAATCGCTGCTCCTGCTTTCAGGAGCTTCGAGCCAGCATCAACAACAAGTGCTTCCATCTTTTCTAAACTCCTCAAAAACCCTAAATTCCACAATTTCCACAAATTCGAAGATTACTATTAGCACCTAGTCAGGGCAAGTCAAGAAGAGGAAATGAGAGGAAGAACTAGAGTGAAGAGAAAGAATTGATTTTTCGAGGAACCCACCTTTCAAATGAACTAGCTAAGACTCAGTAGAACAACATCAGACTTCTCACAGGTCCATCAAAATTAGGGTTTGCAAAGTCACTACGAACAACTAGATCTCGACTAATCTAAGGGTAAAGTTTCTACTGCAACAGAAAGGGAACAATTATCACTATCAGTGGTGGTCTAATAGGGAAATGGAAGAAGCTTACTACGAGCGTGAGAAAGAGAGAGAGAGAGAGATCGAAGAAGAACAAACAAACGGCGTAAAAAGGTTCTTTTCAATTCTCAGGAATTTGAAGCCCAATAAAGGCCCATATCCCGTAATGATATTGTTAGCCCGTTCAATAAACGACATCGTTTTGTCCTCGTCTCCTCTTTCTTGTTTACAAAGCCAAACAAGATCCATAGAAGTTCTCGACATCGAAAACAAAAGCTCTTCTTCTTCCATATTCCATTCTTCTAAACCTTAGAGCTAAGTGTTTTTTTCTGCTTCTCTTTCAAAGCTACGATGACGAAGCAGCATGCGAACTGGTCTCCTTACGATAACAATGGAGGGTACGGATCATCTGACTCTAATTCGAGACCCCGAGTTTCTTCGTTTTCTGATTTACTATTTCAGCGTCTGTATTAATCGGTGTGTTTTTGATCCAGAACATGTGTGGCCATCGCCGGATCGGATTACTGCGTTATCGCCGCCGATACTCGGATGTCTACCGGTTACAGTATTCTCAGTCGCGATTACTCTAAAATCCATAAACTGTGAGTACCTTCTTTGTTCTGTCAAAATCCTCACATTCAATCCTTTGGAACAGTAATTAGGTGCTGGAAATAGCTCAATTTTAGGCTTATTAGGGTTTTTGCTCTTTTGCTCTGGGTTTTTTTTGCAATCGATTGCTCGTAGATCTGGATGAAACTGTGTCTCTCTAGGTCGAGAATCAGGTTATTTTGTGTTGAAAGAAATAGACTTTCTGTCATTTACTAATCAATACATATAAAAATGAGTGATCTTCGAGTACATAGTAATTACACTTTGTAATTACATTGATCATTCTTTGAAATTTGTAATCCAGCTCAACGCTTAGCTTATTTGTGCTCTTAAAACTGTTTCTTTACATTGTGTTTAGCTTTTTGAATGATAGAGTATGCAGACTTTATAAAAGAACGTTGATAGAATTCTGATTCGTTTTCATATGTTGTAACTTGTAAGAGTGTTCTCAAATTGTTGTTTGTCTTCTAATCCTTCAGAGCAGACAAGGCTGTGCTTTCTTCCTCGGGATTTCAGGCTGATGTGAAAGCATTGCAGAAGGTTCTCAAATCTAGACACTTGGTGAGATTTCCTTCCTTCGTTTGAATCCAAAATTGTTTCTTCCCTTGCATAATATCAGGTTTTTAATAGTGTTTTCTATATCCCACAGATCTACCAGCATCAGCACAACAAGCAAATGAGCTGTCCTGCGATGGCTCAGCTTCTCTCCAACACGCTTTATTTCAAGCGGTTTTTCCCTTACTACGCCTTCAATGTTCTTGGAGGGCTTGACGAAGAAGGTACAAAGAAAATGCTCTCTCTTTTTTCCCGGCCTGCCATTTTACTTTGACTATAGCAGGAGGTAAATTGTGCGATCTTTCTTTTGAAAATGTTCAGGGAAAGGGTGTGTCTTCACTTATGATGCTGTTGGATCATATGAGAAGGTTGGATACAGTGCTCAAGGTTCTGGCTCTACACTCATCATGCCTTTCCTTGACAACCAGCTCAAGTCTCCAAGTCCTCTTCTGCTACCTAAACAGGTTTGTTGGTTTCTGCTTAGGCTTTATGTAATAGTAAGCAGCACAGAATGAAAATCATTTATAAGTTGCTTATTATTTTGCCTTCCGTCTCGTCTCTGTAGGATTCTATCACACCCCTTTCAGAATCTGAAGCAGTTGACTTGGTCAAAACTGTCTTCGCATCTGCCACTGAGAGGGATATCTACACTGTAAGCTTTTTGACTATCAACATTGCACTAATCCTTCATCTTCTTTGATTGTTTTCTCTCTCGGACTAATGATACGCGTATTGTTTGTGTGTAACAGGGAGACAAGCTCGAGATTATGATTCTTAAGGCCGATGGTATCAAGACCGAAGTCATGGAGCTGAGGAAAGACTAAGCTACTCTCTAGCGTATGAGTGTTTGGAGCACACCTTTTTCTTTATCCTCATCTCAGCTTTAGGCACCCTCTGTTATCTTGAACTGCGTTGTGGATTTAATGTTTTGCAGTTAACCATGACTCATGATGTTTGAAGTTTTCTGCGAAACTGTTTCCTTTATGTATGATTCTCAAATCCTTCAGTTGAAAACACTCTTTATTTCATTTATGACAATGTTTTTACATAAGAAATTTGCATGAATAGCATCTTGCACATGAAGACAGAATCCGGCAACTCTTTTTAATCATAATCAGAAGCTGTTCTCAGATTCCCATCCCTTCTTCTCTAGCTCTTGTCGCAATGCCTTCATCATAAGACAAAAATGAAAGCAGATAAATAACCATTACTCACTTGGATTATCAGAGATATTTTAACCATGAAAGCTCTTACCTTTATTCGCTTTCTGTTGACATCAAAATCGAAGTTCCCTTTCCGAGATGCAGATCGATACTCCACTGTCGAGTTTTTACCGGGAGTAAACAAGAATTCAACATCATCTACCAACTGTTCAAAGACAAAAACCACAAAAGACCAAAGGGTTTTTCTCAAAAGTCTGTAGTTATGGTGGTTGAGAGAGGGCAATAGAAAGTTTGCATCCTTACCCCTAAGATTGGACTTTCGTATTCTACATGGACGTAGTCTTCCTTCTTCTCCACAATCCGAGGAGTGAATTTGTCCGGTTTCGTCGACTTAATCTGCATCAAAAAGATTTTCAAATGGCGATTTGATTCATATCTTGACATTGTAGTTGATGCTAACAGATTCTTACCACATTAAGAAGCTCTTTCATTGCAACTTCTCTGTTCACAGGCGTTTTCCTTCCACCATTATAATTCCTAACCAACAGGAAGAAAAACAAGAGTGTTTTGAATTGATGATCAAATCTTTCAAAGCAAGAGAGCAGAATCTCAACACAAAGAAAGCTATTGATTTACCATGGAGGAGCATAATGCACACGATCGCTGATACTCTCCGAAGTGGAAATACAGTTATTTGTAGCAGGACACAGAGCTAATCTCTCGTTCTTCTGTACTCCCAGATAATCTGGTTTCTTCCCACTGAATCAAATAATCACAAACATTTCATTATCATCGTCTTCGTTGTTAGTTGTTACCATCACACACCTAAGGCTTCAATTTCCGTTGAAGAAAACGTACCTGAGCTGGAAAATGGCTCCGATCATAGCTAGTTCACTGCTCCTAAGAATTATCTCTCTTCCAATTTCATAAACAAAATAAAAAAGAAATTACAATTAGATACTTGGTTCGGTTCCATCGAGAACGAGAGATACAGAAAGAGAGAGTACCTTCGACTAATTAGCTTGGGATGTTTCTCATCTGGCGTGTCTGGAATCGAGGCGATGATACGAAGCCCATCAGGACAAGCATTTTTCCGGCATTTATTGTGATTCATGCGATACAAGCAAGCGGTCGGTGACGCCATGGAAGCCATCTTCAGAAGCTCGGAGTCTTCTTTACTCCTTCAAGTGTGAATTAAAGAAGAGAGTATTGTTTGGGAAATTGAAAGACGTCTTGAGCTTGTAAACGAGACTTTATGAGCTTATTAATTAATCTCAGCGTATTGTTTGATGACCCAACGGGCCAATTATTTACTCGTTTTCTTGGCCCAATAGGCAATACAAATATCACGTTGTCTGAAAGTGTTCATAGCTATATCAGTTAAAGTTGTTTTATTAAAAGCGAATTGAATACTTTAAACAAATAGCCCGTCTAGCTCAGTTGGTAGAGCGCAAGGCTCTTAACCTTGTGGTCGTGGGTTCGAGCCCCACGGTGGGCGACTTTGAATTTTTCCATTTTGTTTTGTCTTTTCCCATAATTAGTTCTCTTTATTCTTTTTCTTTTAAGTTCTGTTTAAGGAAATATCGTTTTTGACTTTTCATCTGTCGGAGAAAATTAGCGAAATATTAACAACAATCCGAACGGTAATTAATGTAGATGTAATACACAAATTTGGATCCAGGAAGAAAGACTGATTGACTCGAAAGTCATTAAACTACAAATCTTTATTTGGTCTGAAATTTCTTGTTAGCTCCAAAAGCGGAATCCAAATCCAGAAGCAGATAAAGTCTCATTCTTCAAGCTTCCCATCCAATTCCTCCTTCTCATGGAGTCTAAATCTGCTCATTACCACTCTCATTTTCTTCCTTAAACCCCTTTTGATTTTTCGTTCCAGATTATATAAAAAAAGCCCTAGAAAAGCTCAAGACTGATCTTACAATTCCCCTAAAAACACCTCCTTTCGAGGAGAGAGAGAGTCATCTGGAGATTTAGAGAAAGGTTTTAATTTTTTTTCTAGTTTCTTCTGAAATCTGTAATCGATCGTGATTGCTTTGACTATGCATAGATCTGGTACTGCAATGGCGTGGAACGTATTTAAATTCTGTACGGCCTTACGAGGTCTCGGATCGATCATGATCCTCTTGGTCCTCGGCGTTGTCGGTGTCACCTATTACGCCGTCGTTTTGACTAATTACGGACCGGCACTCTCTCAAGGCGGGCTTGATTCTCTTGCTGCTCTCACTATCCTAATCCTCTTCCATCTACTCGTAAGTAAAATCATAAGATTCTTGTTAGGAAGATTTGGTTGCTTTTAGTCAATTCAGTCAACAAAGTCTGTTGCTTTAGATTAGATGTGAAGATGGTTTGTGAAAGTTTAGTGCTTTTTAATGTTTGGTTGCAGCTGGGGATGCTATTGTGGAGCTATTTCTCAGTTGTGTTTACTGATCCTGGTGTTGTGCCACCGAATTGGAGACCAGCTACTGATGAAGAAAGAGGCGAATCTGATCCGTTGAGCAGTTTGGAGTTTGTTGGTTTACAGTCTGATTCTTCAAACGGAAGAATTCGGTTCTGCAGAAAGTGTAATCAACCAAAACCTTCCCGTTGTCATCATTGTTCCGTTTGTAAGTATTCAACTTTTCTCTTCAGATTCTCTGCTATTAACCACACATATATGTATATATACGAAGTATTGAAATTTAAACGATCCCAGGTGGAAGGTGTGTGTTGAAGATGGATCACCATTGCGTTTGGGTTGTAAATTGTGTAGGAGCACTGAATTACAAGTATTTTCTTCTTTTCTTGGTAAGCTTATTTCTTGTTGTTACAGGATCTTTCTTCATCTTGTGTTTGCCTCGTTACTCATGTGTCAGAGCTTTTGTGTGTTACAGTTCTACACGTTTCTAGAGACGACTCTCGTGACGTTGGTTCTTATGCCTCACTTCATAGCGTTCTTTAGCGATGAAGAAATACCTGGAACACCAGGGACTCTCGCTACTACTTTTCTTGCATTTGGTATGTTTTCGAACTTTCCTTATTTATGTATACGACTGTTTCTCTAGTGGACATTTAGTGTTCATCTATTAATAGATCACACTTTCTTTGATTATGACAACAGTTTTGAATTTGGCATTTGCTTTGAGCGTGATGGGGTTCTTGATTATGCACATTTCCTTGGTGGCTGGCAATACCACAACTATAGAGGTAATCATTTCCATGGCCAAAGCTCAAAGCTTTGAATCATTCCATAGCTATAGCTTTGAGTCTTGTCTTTGCATAAATGGAAACTTGTGTCTTTAGACTCTTTAGACTGTCTCGATGCCTTCCCATGGCTAAAGCTCTGAGCTTTCTTTGCTGAAACTGTCTTGTGTGTTGAATTGTGAGCAGGCGTATGAGAAGAAAACCAGTACAAAATGGCGGTATGACCTCGGTAGAAAGAAAAACTTCGAACAGGTTAGTTAGTTTCAAGTCATTTGCTTCATTTTGTTTATATCATCTTCTCTTTAATCCCTAACGTCTATGGCTTTTATGATCGTTTAGGTGTTTGGAATGGATAAGAGATACTGGTTCGTACCAGGATACACAGATGAAGATCTCAGGCGAATGCCGGAGCTGCAAGGACTTGAATACCCTTCGAAACCCGACTTCGATTCCCAGTAATTATGAAGAAGATAGACTCTGATCATCATCATCATCCAATGTAAAACAACAATACGTAGAAAACAGAGAGAGAGAGAGAGCCTGGAAATGACATTTGAAGGAGAAATCTACTAACTTAAAGACTGATGATGAATTCACTTCTGGCAATGTAGTGTCCCATGGAGGCCAAAATCTTTATTAAAGTTATGGGTTTTTAGTGGAGGAAGATCGCAATTTAGCTTTGTTGGCTTTACACATATGTTCATCTGAATAGTTCTTCTTATATATACGATCTTATTACAAATGCAGAAACAAGTGATTTGCCCTAAATCCTCCTACTCTTTTGTAGCCAAATCTTAAACTAATTCCCAAGATTTGTAAGGACTCTACTGTAACACAAGCAATTCAATGAACACTAATTAAGTCGTTTACAGAATATTGTGGTTTTGTTATGCTAATACAGCATAACACCTACCGAGAAAGCATTAGCGAAAACCAGTAGGAAATAAAACAAATCAGATAATATTCAATATCCAAAATAAATCTCAAATACCAACATTCTCAAATATATTAAAACACAAACAAAGAAAATACGATAAAATAGTTGTCGAAATTTTAGACCCTTAAAAAAAACCTCATATTAATGAGGAAAAAAAGGTCTAAATGGTTTATTTAAAGCAAAGAAAACATATTCGGAGACAAACTTTATCAGAACCATTGGATACTCAAACCTTGGTTGCCTTTAGGAAGCTCATTCAACTTGGCCACAGCTGATTCTGCTTCTAGCTTCTCTTGATCATTCAACCACGATGTCTTGATCATCATCTTCTTTGTCACCGTCTTTTGTTTCACGAAATGCGAAGCTAACGCAAATTCTTCTTCACTTGAACCGCTGAAGTTATACATCCAAACGGTTTCAACGCAGAACTCTGCATTAGGGAATGGATTTTCATCCTCCGACAACAATTTATGTGCTTCACCTTCTTGTCGAGGAGCATTAGTGTTTTTCTATAAATAAATAAAAAAAAAAAAAAAAAAAAAAAAAAAAAAACAAAATATAGAGATCATGCACATGTATATGAGTGACCGAGAGAAAAATCATCAAGATTTAACCAAATAATGGATGAAATTTAAAGCATGACATATGGAATTGATTGGTACCTTGAAGTAGATCTCAAGCTCTTTCATTGCATTAGTGGACCACATAAGTAACACTTCCTTCAGTATCTCCACTTCTATCAGATTAGTTAAATCCACACTTAGTGATAAAGATCCATGACGTCTTTTTTCACCAAACTCGCTCACCATAAGCTCATGCCAAATTCCTTTTTCCTCCTAAGATTCATATACAGCAAAGATGTTGAACTATATATATATATATACACATATATATATATATGTCAAATTATATTAGAAATATCGATCCAAAATGCAACAACTTTTAATTGTACCTGAGCGAGTTCTGATATGTTGTAGCTCAAGTGAGGGTGAGGAACACCGGCATGAACCCAATAGTTTTTGTTAAACCGGACTTTGGGGGCAGCCAATATGAATTTCTCTCTCTCACAACTGATAAATCTGATGTCAAGAACAGCAAGAGAAGCTGCATACACTTCGATCCTATCAATCCCTTGACAGGAAATCACTTGCAAGAACTTCAGATTCTTGTTCTCGATCTTCAAAACGCCACGTCGGTTTCGGCGGCTCTTGATATCCAATACAACCACCTCGAGGGATGGGCAAAATTCAAAAACACGGCTAAGGCCTCTACCCCGAAAGAAGACGGTTTTTAACAGCTTGAGGGTCTTAAGGTTACAGCAATTGGTGAAGGCACTTCCATTTAATACTTGGTACCCGGAAAGTGACACTGAAGTGAGGCTATGATGGCAAAATGCAAGCGGAAGCACGTGGAGATCAATATCTCCACTACTTCTCCCGCAGTTTACAAGTGTGAGAGCTTTGGTGTGTTTCACACGAATCATTGTGTCGATCAAACTTTCGAGACTACCATCTTCAGTCTGGCATATGTAATGGTGGATGGTGCAGCTCTCCAGGTGGCCACAGTGCTTCTCTATAACCTTCACAACACAAACACATGCATGCAACATACGTTGTCAATCAAAACCTATGCTTCATATGTGTGTGAAACACAAAAATCTATTCAACCGAAAGCCACAACACAAATACCAAACACATCACTACTTTCTACGTTCTCAATCAGTCTTCTCCTTGCTTTGAAAGATTAAAATAAAACAAAAAGAGAAAAATAATTAAGGAAAAATCAACGAACCTTGGTCAATGCCTCAGCCATATGAACAGAAGCGCCGGTGGGTTTCACGAGCTTTCTCATGTCTAGAGCGAGATGAGGACTCCACTTCCACAGATCCAACCATCGTGTCGATAAGACAGTTGTTCTTATTGCTTCTTCAGTGTGCACTCTCGAAAGGATATTCTCCAAAATAGCATCTGGAAGTTTTCCGATCCAATCTTGGTCATGGATGACCATCATGCCTCTTGCATGAGTTGGTGAGTTTTCCTCCATGGTTGTGTGAAGCGATTTATTTTTCATTGTTTCCGCTTCACCTCCGGTTTTTTTTATTTGTATTTATTTTAAATCCACATTTCCGGTTTTGACATATAAATTTTTATAGAAACAGATTTTTATTTGTGTTGACATATAAATTTTTATTTATAGTGATGCTCCTTGATTTTTATTTTAGATTCATTTCCTTTCCTGGCATATAGAAATAGATTTGTTTCTTTGTAAAGGAAGCAAACTACATATGGTACGTTTCTCTTATCTAAATGTGCAAAATGAATAAATATTTTTTTGTGGTTCTGATTACTATTAGACAATTGAAAAACGTACAACTTTTGTATTCCCCCTTTGTGGGATAATACTATAAATATTTATCCTAGTCATATCGTTGTCATTATTCATTAACCTTGTCTTATTAAAAAGGAAGTTAAAAATCTTCTCCTTTCGTGGTCTTAATTAACGCTTGAACAAATGCTCCTCACCAGATCGAGGATCAATGTGTTTGATCCAACGGCTATGAGTCTTCTTCAAATCACCACCACGGGCGCCAACGTGTGCAATATCTAACCCTCCCCCAACAGGTAAAAACACCGATCTCACAACACGTGTGCCTCCCCTCAAAACACCATGCCATTTAAACGCGGGGATGGATTTCTGCGTGGCGTTTTTGCACACCAACACGGCACCCATGTTGCTCGTGTTCGCTAATCCCAACGCCTTCACGAACTCGCGGCGTTTTGAGTCTACCACCATGAAGTCCACGCCGGAGAGTCTCTCCACAACGTCCTCCGCCGATTCTCCTATCAAAACCTCCGTCGCTTCACACGTACCGGCTCCTTTCATAACTGTCTCGTACTCGGACCTCGATTCTTCGTCAGGAACTATGCACACGTGTCTTCCGCACGTGTGGATGGCCGCAACGGCGAGACCAACGCTGGTGGCGATCGGATCTCCACGTGTCCAAGTCTCAACGATCAGCCTCGTGTTCCATCCCGCCGCCGTTGCCGATAAATACTCCGCTACACTGGATTCTTTGTAGCTTTTGCACTTCACGCAGCACATATATAGTAATAATACAAAAAGAAATAAGATCAAGATTCAATATATACATCAAGAACGTCTAAACACAAATCCCGTATATAAAAGATCGTTCCAAACAAAATAAAAATAAAAACGTGATGATAACTATCGAATTCTAGTCCATATACAAATTCAAGAATTTTTGTTGAGGATAATAATCTAGAAATTGAAGATGATACAAGAAATATGTATGCACCGTTTTGGAGTATTCTTACAGTTCTGACGGTGTGGATGTAAGCGTTAGAGGCCGTTTCCGGCGACCAGACGAGCTTCATGATCGTATTTTGTTTTCTTCTCTCTTTCTCTCTCTCTATCTATCTCTTTCGATGAAACTTGAAATGTGAATTCTTTAGGGACAAGAAACGTTTATAAATATGTAAAGGGAAGGTGATGACAAGACGGTTAGGCAGTTAGGTTAACAAATGGGTGAGGTTTAGCTTTTAAGGATGGACTTAGCGTTGACATTTGTTTAACCCAATCATCACGTGTCCTTCATTCTCTTTTTTACTCTCCCATTTATTACTTCTCCTTTGGGATCCTCAACTTTGTTTTAAATAGCCTTTTAACTTAAACGAGACGTCTTGTTTCTCTAGTCCTAGGGTTTAGATTCTATAGAGTGCAAAAGATTAAATGTTGTTGATTCGGGTTTTTTAAAGGAACTTTTGTGTGTCGGCCGTTAGCAATAGAAAACTTTCATGTTTCGTGGGTTAAATAATCGGTTCTGATGTTATTTGCTTCAGCTCGGTTAAACGTTTCATACAAGAAAAAGAAGATTAATGCTCTTTTTGTATTCTATCACATTATGATGAGAATATTTAGATGTCAAGGTTAGGCATCCAATTTTCACCAAATTTTTGTTTTTTATCTATCACGAAGACTATGTTCTCCTTTGATATAATTCATAAAATCTTTACAAGTACCATTTGGTCCATTTGACCATTTCTATCTCAACTCTCAAGACATACATAATCTTGCAACGACGTCGTTTACTTGGGGGTTTATACATGGCCCTAAAATGCCTACGTTTATTGCAAGATTTTCTTTATTAATGGGCCTATTTAATATTTCAAGGCCTGTGAGGGCATTTGGAATTAAAATGAGATGTGGCACGACCTTAGGAGAGTTATATAAACAAAAAGAGGATCTAGGGTTTTGGATATAGCCGCATCCGGAGCTAACCGAGGTAGAACGATCTCAGAGAGAGCAAAACTCCGTTCACCGTCGTCGTCATGGGTCGTCTTCATAGCAAAGGGTTCGTCTGCTTGTTTATTCCTTGTATTCGATTGAGTATTGGTTTGAAAACTGGTCTGCTTACATTCTTCGTATTCTGTTTTGTGTTCTGTAGAAAGGGTATCTCCGCCTCTGCATTGCCGTATAAGAGGTCACCTCCGAGTTGGCTCAAGACAACCGCCACGGATGTAAGATTCGTTCGCTAAATTCTAGGTTTCTGTTTTGCTTCCATTTGTCGATTTGTTTGAAATATGTTCTGCTACCGCTCGCTAGTGTAAGGAAATGCATAGTCTTAGTTTAGGATGAGAACTTGATCTCTGTTTACGAGAAGAAATGTAATTTTGGAGAACCCGGTTAATGAGTGATGGACTAGCGTTAAGTTACGTGCTCAATGTGTTAGTTACTCTTCAGTATTTTACCTCTTAATGAGTAGATTATCTATAGTGTTTTGATGTGATTAGTCCTGACGTTTGATTTGATGAATATTAGGTTGATGAGTCCATTTGCAAGTTTGCAAAGAAGGGTTTGACTCCATCGCAGATAGGTGTCATTCTTCGTGACTCTCACGGAATCCCTCAAGTGAAGAGTGTTACCGGAAACAAGATTTTGAGAATTTTGAAAGCTCATGGTACTTTTCAATCCCTCTAGAGTCTTATTTCGTTTTTGTGTGTGTGTGTGTGTGAGTAAGTTAAGAGTCGAGGGATCTAAAAGTTTTATTTGTTAATTTCCTGAAGGTCTTGCACCTGAGATCCCTGAGGATCTTTATCACTTGATCAAGAAGGCAGTTGCTATCCGCAAGCATCTTGAGAGGAACAGGAAAGACAAGGATTCCAAATTCAGGTTGATTCTTGTTGAGAGCAGAATCCACCGTCTTGCTCGTTACTACAAGAAGACCAAGAAGCTCCCTCCTGTCTGGAAATAGTAAGTAAAATATTGAAAGAGTTTCTTACACGTTACAGTAATCATCTTGTTTTTGGATTTTGGTCTAATTCCTTGTTGTTTCTTTGCAGCGAGTCTACTACTGCAAGCACTCTTGTGGCTTAAGGAAGCGTAGAGTTGGTCAAAGTCCTTTTCATTTAAGTTGTATGACTATGGATAATTGATATTTGTTTTCTTAACGATATTTTGGAAATTTAGAGAGCATAATTTTGTTTTCAGATTAATTGATCATTCGATTTCTCTTTTGCCCTCCTGTCTTATGATATAAGCAAATATATGTCTTTGAGACAGTGAGAGAGACCGATATTTCAAAAACTAATCGGAAATTGCTTGATTTATGTCCAAAATTAGCTTACCGAAATAAACAAATATATGTCCGATATTTCAAAATTAATCGGACATGATACTAAACTTGGCCATATCAAATAAAGAGAAATGTAAAAAACGTTAGAATTGTGATGATTGGTCTCATAAATCTTCCTAAAAATTGATGTATAAAAAGAAAATCGGTAAAGCATAAAACCGAGTTGGATTAGGGCTTCTCCCTTTATATCTTTGCTTTTTTTTTTTTTTTAAATGTTGATTTCAATAGTTTTTTAGATTTTATACTTTATATAATTACAACTTTTGGTTGTCTTGTCTCTCACTAGTAGAGTTCTTGCAAAGAAAGCATATACTACGCAAAATAAATATAACGCCTCGCATTTTAGAGAAAGTTGGCAGTCTTGAGCTCGAATCTATCCAGCAAACTGTTGATGCTCATAATCACCGGTTTACTGCCTGGAGGGTCCTCTCTGAGCCGAACAGCCACCTGGCCGGTTGTAGCCTCTTTGGGACCTACGACCAGTATGTAGTTGTACGTTTTAGCCTGAGCTTCTGCCACCTTTTTACGCACGTGTCTGTCACTTTTGTCAACATCAACATAGTACCCAGCTTCATCAATTTGTTTTTGAACCTTTTCTGCGTATTCAAGAATATCTTTATTGTTTGAGTAAGAGCAAACTATGGCCTGGCGCGGACTAAGCCAGAAGGGCCATTTTCCTTTGTAATGCTCCAACAATATGGCAAACATACGCTCAACAGATCCCAACACCGCTCTATGTATCATCACTGGTCTCTCCTTTTTCCCTTCATCCTTAGCTTTGTATTCCAGTTTGAAGCGAGCCGGTAGTTGAAAATCAAGCTGTAAAGTAGCACATTGGAATTTCCTCTTCATTGCATCGGAAACTGTTATGTCTATCTTTGGGCCATAAAATGCACCGTCTCCTTTGTTCTCATCGAATGGCTTTCCAGATTCTAAGAGAGCTTCTTTAAGAGAGTCTTCAGCTCTATCCCATGTTTCCAAATCCCCAAGGTACTTGTCTGGCCTCGTTGAAAGCTTTAGCTCATAGGTAAAGCCAAATATTGTGTAGACATAGTCAACGAAATCCAACACACCTTTCACTTCTTCTTTAACCTGTTTCTCTGTACAGAATATGTGTGCATCATCCTGTTGGAAGCGTCGGACACGGGTCAACCCACTAAGAGCTCCACTTGCCTCATTTCGATGTAACACTCCAAAGTCAGCCAGTCTTATGGGTAATTCTTTATATGAGTGAGCTCCGTCTTCGAACATCAAGCAGTGACCAGGGCAGTTCATAGGTTTGAGCCCGAATTCTTGTTTATCAATATCAAATGTAAACATATTTTCCTTGTAGTTTGCAGCATGTCCGGATGTTTCCCATAGTTCCATGTTGTATATATTTGGTGACATGACCTCTGAGTAACCCCTTTTCCAGTATTCTTTCTGGATGAATTCCATTAACTTGTTATACACGCGAGTGCCATGTGGGAGGAAGAATCAACTCCCTGGGCTGAGGTGGTGACAGAAGAAAAGTTTCTGATCTTTTCCCAATAGTCTGTGGTTATATTTCTCCGCTTCTTTTATGGAATGAAGATAATCCTTCATTTTCCTTTTATCCGGAAAAGATATCCCATAAACTCTCTGCAAGCTCTCCCGGTCTCTGTTACCTTTCCAGTAAGCTGCTGATGCCTTGGAACACTTGAAAGCTTTGACAAAGGAAGTATCTGGTATATGTGGTCCACCAGAAAAATCAACCAAGTTACCACATCTGTAGACTGTAATCATCTCTTCCTTGGAGTCATTGATGAGTTCAACCTTAAACTCATTATCAGAAAACATGTCGAGAGCCTCTTCCTTGGTCACTTGAATCCTTTCAAATGGTTGTCTTGCCCTCACAGCTTTTGAAGCAGCGTCTTCGATTTTACTCAAGTGATCGTCGTTTAAGCCAAGATCTCCATAGAATTGCATCATAATAGAAACCCTCCTCTCTATTTGTACAGGGCTCAGATAGTTTACACACATACTCCTGCTCCAGAAGAGCCTGGCCGAGAATATGGGCGCTAGAACGCCAGAAAGTTTCACGTCCTATTTCGCTGTCAAATTTGAAAAACTCAAGCGAACAATCACCTCCTTCTAGTGGCCTATTCAGGTCCCACGGAACATTGTTAACCGAACAAACCAGCGCTGGATTTGCCAAATCCCTAGAAATTGCGATTTCCATTGGAATGGTCTGCCATCTACTTCCTTCTTTCACTTCTTTCACGTTGTTACCATCTTTAATTGTAATTTTGATAGGATCGTGTGGCAGCGACTGTCGCTGCGCGAGCTGCTTGGCTTGGTGTTCTTGGAAGAGTTTGATACGCTTTCCGATGACGGCTGAGAGATAAGCCTCATTCTTGCGATGATTGTCCGCCATCTCTGGAGGAGGAGCAACAGGAAATTGATGAAGCAGAGGAAGACGAAGAGAAGAAGCTGTTAGAGAGTAGAAATTGAAGAAGACTACTGAATTAATATGACTTTTTTTAATTAATATGACTTTTTTTCCTTTTCTTCTGAGGTCAATTTCCTTTTCTTTTTTTTTTTTTTTTTTTCCTCAAAAAAGAAGAAAAAGCTCTTCTACGTACAGAGAAACGGAAAAGACAACTAGATTAAGGCACCTGAAACACAGAGAACCAGGTAGTTAGCAGAGAAACACAACAGACGGGAGATTTCGCTGAGCATTGGATCGAGTTTCCCTACGAATAACTGACTGGATCTCTTCTCTTATGCTTCCAGCCGGTCGTGAGATGGATGAATGTATCCTAGAGTTCCTTTCCTTCCAAAGAAAGTAAATGCTTGCTTGAAATAGGAGCTTCAAGATAGAGCTGATATTTCTGGTTTGGAGAGGGATTGATAATCCAAACTAAAGCATCGTCAAACAGAGTGGGACAAGTAAGATTAGCCGCCATCGTGAAGAAAGACCAAACCTCACCACTGTATAATTTTGACAATAAAAAAAAAAAAAGGTGCTGACGTGACTCATCATGAGACCCCCGCACAAGAGACAAGAAGGGGACACCTGCAGTCCCCAACTTCTAAGTCTATCCCTCGAATGCATCCTATTTCGAGCAACCACCCAACAGCCAAAAGCGTGTTTCGGGATACGATCTCTAAACCACACTCTCCTTTGTACCACGGGGGATACAAAAAAGCCCAAGTGAGAGAAGTCGAGAAAGAGGTTGAGGGGGGGGGGGATTGTTCCCAATTTGCCACCGAAAAGAGTCCTCACTTTCGCTTGACAAAATATTTTCCACTTGAGGTAGACACGTACGATCGGATCAAAGCAATAGTAGGGTTCCGGCTTCTCGAGTAATGAAGCCACCAATTTCCTCCCCTAATTGCTTCTGAAACCACTGCATTAAGATGCAGTCCAGTAGTTCGTGGTCCATTATACCCCGTAAGGTCTATCAAAGGACCCATCCCTGTCCAATTATCCATCCAAAAACTAGCCGAGGACCCCTTCCCAACTTCACAGAATAAAAAAAAGGGCGAGCCATCGGGCGAAGAAGACAAATCTTTTTCCATATCCAACTTCCCGACCTTACTGATACTGAATCAATCAACCAGAAATTATATCTTTGCTTTTGCTGACAATAAGAACCCCATTGGCAGTGTTTCACATGGACATCATCAGTCTTCTTTCAGATGACTTGCTCATCCGAATACTGTCGCGCATGCCCTAACCACAAGCTGTTTGTCGAAAAGATGGCTAATTCTTTGGAGTTTAGTACCAAAACTCAAGTACGATGATAGCATTCACAGTGATGGTAACTACGCGACCTTCACGCAGTTTGTTTACAGGTCTTTGATGTCGAATAAGGCACCGTTTCTAGAAAGCTTGTATCTCAAGCTAGGTCCCAAGTGTCAAGCAATAGATATTGGAATATGGATTGACACTGCAATTGCTCACCGTGTGCGTGCCCTTGCAGTTAATATTCTTCCTCCTGAGAAAGGGCCCATCAGTTTGCCGAGTAGCGTGTGTACATGTGAAACACTAGAAGCCTTGAATCTCTTGAATTGCATTCGTTTGGATGTTCCTTATTTTGTTCGTCTCCCGTCTCTGAAACTTCTGCACCTTAAGGATGTGGAGTTCACAGACAAAGGGTCTCTTCAAAGGATTTTATCCGGTTGTCCTAAACTTGGACGACGCACATGTTGACATGACTTATGGAGTTAACCACAAGTTTCTGAAAGCCTTTACTTCTGTTCGCTCGCTTTATCTATCCTTGTCATTTACAGAGGTACCACCATATATATATACACTGTATATATATTGAATCAACAGATTATAGATTCCAATGTGTTTCTTTACTTCTTCTTTTCCCCTAGCTTACATGTTGTTGTTGTTCTTTGCTGTCTACAGGTTCTGTCTCCTTGTGGGATGACCTTTCACAACCTCGTTTACCTGGAACTGTGTACATGTGCTCAAGGTTGGTGGGATCTTCTCACTCATATGCTCCAAGATTCTCCCAAGCTAGGGTTTCTCAAACTCAATGATGTAAGTGGTTTGCTTTAATGATGCTTGTTGTCCGCTCTATAAGTTTCCCGATATGATTCGGCTGAAGCTAACTGTGTTGTTGCTTTTTAACCGGTCTTATATAGGAACATGTTCTTGATATTCCAAGTATAGAAACCCCGGATTGCTGGAAGCCACCGAGTTCTGTTCCCAAGTGTTTGCTGCACAGTTTTGAAGCTTTCGAGTGGAACGGTTACAAAGGCAGACGAGGAGATAGAGAGGTTGCCACATACCTTGTGGCCAACGCTACTCGTTTGAAGACAGCAGTTTTCTCTCCAGAAACCGAAGATGTTGGGGAGAGATATAGGATGTTACAGTACTTGGCATCTGTGGCTACGCCTTCACCTTTGTTTCAACTTTTTTTTCAATGAAAATTCTAGACTCATCTTATATATGTTCTTGCATTGCAATTATATTATACTCCAAGAATATATAGAAGAACGGAGGCAAGCAACACCATAGACAGAAAATAAGCCTCTTCTCTTGTGGTGTTTTAAATTACTCTAACGTTTGATAATGTTACAAAGAGAAACATTGAGTGAAGAGAACAAAGACGTAGTACACTGGGGAAAAGTTTAATATTTTTTAGTGCTTTGTGACTCTTTCAAGGACATCAAAGTAATCAGGAAAAGTTTTCTTGGTGCAAGAAGGATCTCTGATGGTGACTGGAACATCTGCAGATGCAGCTAGAGAGAATGCCATTGCCATCCGATGATCATCGTATGTATCAATCTCAGCTGTCTTCAGTTTCTCTGGCGGTGTTATCACACAATAGTCTGGTCCTTCCTCAACAATAGCTCCCAGCTGCAAAGCAAATACAATTGCATTCAGTAAACACAGAGATAGAGAGATGGAAGAACTGTCTCCTTTCCTCAACAACAGAGTAGAATCAAAGAGGAATCATTTTACCTTTCTAAGTTCTGTGCAAATGGCTATCATTCTTTCTGTCTCCTTCACTCTCCAGCTAGCCACTGTAAATCCGACCATAAACATAACATAAGCGACAGCGAATCTCAAAACCAAATCATTTACACACAAACAAAGAAGACCAAGTTTTTTTTACCATCTCTAATGGCAGTTGGACCATCAGCAAAGAGAGCAACAACGGCAAGAGTCATAGCAACATCAGGCATTTTGTTCATGTTCACATCAACGGCACGAAGATGTCTCATCCCAAAATCGTCTCTGGATGGTCCTGTGACAGTCACACTGTTCTCTGTCCAAGTGACTTCACACCCCATTTTCTCAAGAACCTCTGCGAATTTCACGTCTCCCTTCATTCAAATCACAAAAGAAAAGGAACCCAACTCGCTGAGAAATTTAGTCAAAATATAGTCTATAGTCCAACTCAAATCATGTCACTTCACATTTACCTGCAAGCTGCTTGTTCCGCAACCTTCAACAGTCATTGTTCCACCAGTAATGGCTGCACCAGCTAGGAAATAACTAGCGCTAGAAGCATCTCCTTCTACATAAGCATTACCAGGTGACCTGATTCATATTATCATTTCATTAGTCTTCTTCTATGTATGCAATTTGATCAAGAAACGAAAGATATACTAATAAAACGTCAAAGACTCTTTACTTGTATTTTTGACCTCCCTTGATGAAGAAACGGTCCCAGCTTTCACTATGCTCAGCTTTAACACCAAAACGCTCCATCAACTTCAGTGTCATTTCAACATACGGAACCGAAATCAACTTGTCGACGATCTCAATCTCCACGTCTCCAAGTGCTAAAGGAGCTGACATGAGTAAAGCTGTTAAGTATTGACTACTGATGGATCCAGAAAGCTTCACCTGCAAACAACAAAACAAAACCATGTCAAAACTCCAAAGCAAACATAGAGAAACAACAGCATTTGTAATATTTAAGATCACACAACCTTTCCACCGGGAAGTCCACCATTGGCGTTAACTCGAACAGGAGGACAATTAGTACCTAACGTACATTCAACATCTGCTCCAAGCTGCTTAAGACCAATAACCAAGTCTCCAATCGGTCTTTCTCTCATTCGAGGCACCCCATCAAGCACATAACTGAAACATATGATCATCCAAATGTAGTAAGATACCACAAAACAAAGCACACTAATCGCAAAATTATGAAACTTGTTTTGATTCCAAACCTTGCGTTTCCTCCTGCAGCGGTAACTGCAGCTGTAAGCGGACGCATTGCCGTTCCTGCATTTCCTAGGAATAGCTCAATTACTCCATTCGAGTCTTTAGAAGCTGGGAATATTCCGCTGCATCCTTGGACTGTTACTCGATTGTTCTCACTGTCGTGTTCAACATTAACCCCTAATTGCTTTAACGCACCAAGCATGTAAGTAATGTCGTCACTGTTCAACAAATTCTCCACCACAGTTGTTCCCTAAACCAAAAAGGAAGCATCTTTAGCAAGTATCAATTCGAAGCAAAAATCAAACGAAAGTTGCAGACTTTAGCGAATTTAAACAGAAACGCGATTTGAGCTAGTACCTCGGAGAGAGCAGCGAGAAGCAGAATCCGATTGGAGAGGGATTTGGAGCCAGGCAGCTTAACAAGACCCGAGATTTCTCTAATGGGTTGAAGCACAATCTCTGACGCCTTGGATGGTTTCTCCGCGGTGGTGGGAACGGAGGAAGCCATGATCCTAACTGGGCGAATTCCTTCAGCGCCGCCAATCATACTTCCTCTCTTCTTCATCAAGCCGGACGACGAGCTCGGGTATGCTCGGAGGTGGTGCGGCGTCTTCATCGAGACCGAGAATGGCGGCGACTTGTGTTCGTGCGATTTCGAGAAATTGGAGGTAACACGTGGGTTCTGTAAACCATGGCAGATTCGACTAGCTTGTGCCATTGCCTCTAGTCCTTGGGAGAATTTCGAATTTGGATCAAAGCCTGAGGAAATGAGTTTTCTGAGAAGTGCGATGGTGGTGGTGGTGGTGGTGGGTTTTGGTGTGGAAATAGACTTATTTCTACTTCACCTACCACTTTGCCTCCCTAATTAACGATTAATTATATGTAATCAAATATCTTAGGCTAAATGGCTTCAGTAGTATAAAGTTGGCATGAAAATAAAGTTAATCGTTTTGGGTTTGTTTTGGGTTTCTTAGTCAACGATCGACAAAATACGAATAATTAAGCTTAATGTTCTAAGTTTGAGTTGTAAACCAATAATTTAATGTTCTTAAAGGTTTGCAAACAACACTTTGAAAATTTTAGGAGTTGGTGAGAGGGAAGGGGTTGTTGCATGAGCAATTTCGGTTTGCAGTCAATCAAGATCAGACCAGAACTCAGAAGTCCAGTGTTGGCAAGCCAGTACAAATTTAACATATGTTACATATGCGTGTGGAAGCTATGAGTAGCTAAGTGGGCCTAAATTGGACATTATTGTGCATTACTGGACTAGAGCCCGTCAACTAATAGTCAGAGAATATGTTTGGAATCCGAATATGCTTTTTCTTGTTGTAAGTATGCATAAGAAATTCTTTGGGATATCCGAAACTGGTGGTTTCCACTTGTGTTTGTCGACATGACTCATGATGACAAAAATTGACAAGTGACAACGTAGCTTTCGTCTTCTATTTGTCAGTTTTGGATATGGATATTTGGATATGCCAAGGTGGAAACTTCACCATTCATATGACCAAATGTGGCCCCCAAATGTTAGATAGACCAAAGTACCAAACATTTTATCTCTGTAAATCCTTGGCCACAGAAATTCACTTGTACTGACCAATGCTTGTGTCTGTTTATGCCTACTGCACTTAAGAGGAACTATACGAGAAAGTTTTTCTGAAATTCAAGTATTTTAACAAATACACGAATGATGATCACGAGTTTTACATTGTCTTTCTAAAAGTGTTCCTCTTCTCAAACCCAAAACCTATGTTGACCCGAATTACAAGAAACAAAAACGAAAGAAAGTCTTTGCTTCCTGTTGCACTTTATTTTGAGATAGAGACAATGCTGTGAATAGCTTTGCTTCCAAGGATGGTCTTAAAGTCTCTTAGAAGAGGGACTTGGCCGCATCAACAACAGCTTCCACGGTGATACCAAACTCTTTGTAGAGCAAAGGCGCTGGTGCACTGGCCCCGAAAGAATCAACACCAATGGACTTTCCTTTCCCTCCAACAATCTTCCCCCATCCGAAAGTCGAAGCTGCTTCGATACTTACTCTAGCTGTTACATCTGATGGCAATACACTCTCCTTGTATTCATCTGATTGCTCATCATACAGCTCCCAGCAGACGAACGACACAACTCTAACGGTTTTGCCTTCTTTCCTAAGCACCTCTCCAGCCTGTGCCGCAATCTCTAGCTCAGATCCAGTTCCAATCAAGATCACATCGGGTTTGTTACCTGACGAGTTGTCAGAGATTGTGTATCCACCCTTCTCGACTGCTTCAATGGATGTACCTGGAAGCTGAGGAAGCTTTTGCCTAGACAGAGCTAAGATAGACGGTGTCTTGCGCTTGGTGACAGCGATCTTGTATGCACCAGCTGTTTCGTTTCCATCAGCAGGACGGAACATAAGAGTGTTGGGCATTGCACGGAAACTGGCGATGTGCTCAATGGGCTGATGGGTTGGTCCATCTTCTCCAAGACCAATGGAGTCATGGGTCATCACATAGATAACACCAGCTTCAGACAATGCTGAGATTCTCATGGCACCTCTCATGTAGTCAGTGAAGACGAAGAAAGTTGCACAGTATGGGATAAGACCGGGGCTGTGAAGGGCAATGCCGTTGCAGATGGCTCCCATTCCGTGCTCTCTAACACCAAACCTAAGATTTCTTTCCTCAGGTGTGGCCTTTTGGAAGTCACCAAACGCTTTCAGCAATGTCATGTTGGAAGATGCAAGATCAGCACTCCCACCAAGGAAACCGGGAATAACTTTAGCAAGGGCGTTAAGACATTGCTGTGACAGGTTTCTGGTGGCATCACCTGGAGACTCTGGTGTGTATGTCTATATAAAGAAACACAAAGATGTTGTAAAACCCCATATCTAGATTACCAATTGGATATGATAATTGATCAGAGAGTTCTACTTACCGGTAGTGCCTTCTCCCACCCAGCAGGTAATTCACCTGTGATGATAGATTTCAACTCTGCAGCTTCCTCTGGGTACTTCTTTTCATATGCAGCATACTTTTCATTCCAGTCAGATTCAAGAGAAGCGCCTTCGGGGGTATGACGGCTCCAGTGGCTAGAAACGTGCATGGCAAACAGTAAGTTATCAAAAGAAACTTCCACAGCTCAGAACTAAAGAGATGCCTTTGTTTAGATTTGCTTACCTTTTAACTTCGTCAGGTACCTGGAAGGGCTCATACGGCCATCCAAGGTTATTTCTGGTAGCCTCAACTTCTTTCTCACCAAGTGCAGCTCCATGGACACTGTATGAGTTCGCCTTGTTTGGAGACCCATAACCAATCGTGGTAGTGACCTGCAGATTCATTCAGATACAAGCAAAATGGCACTTTAAATACCAAAGGTCTTCAACTAATGACTGTAACGATTTTGATTATAGATACCTTAATCAATGTAGGCTTGTCTGTAACAGATTTGGCTTCCTTAATGGCAGCACGGATCTCATCATACCCAGTGTTTCCATTCTTCACCCAGATGACATGCCATCCAAGAGCTTCGAAACGCTTGTCCACATTCTCGGTGAAGGCAATCTCTGTGTCTCCATCAATGGAAATGTGATTGTCGTCGTAGAAAGCAATGAGCTTTCCAAGTCCCCAATGGCCAGCTAGAGAGCAAGCTTCATTTGAAATTCCCTCCATTTGACAACCGTCTCCGAGGATCGCATATCTTAACAACCAATTCAACACAGTAGTTTCTAATATCATTAGCATATAAGTACAAACCAAGAAACTGATAAGAAAATATGAGGAGACAAAAATATATTACGTGTAATGGTCGACAACTTCAGCATCAGGTTTGTTGAATCTAGCAGCCAAATGCTTCTCAGCAAGAGCTAAACCAACAGCATTCGCAATTCCTTGTCCAAGAGGACCTGCATAGCAGCAAAAGCAGAGAGCCACCATTGTAAACATAGTCACAGAAAGCTCTGTAATTCACATGAATACAAGCTAAAAAGAAGCAAAATCTCATACCAGTAGTGACTTCAATTCCAGGAGTCTCGAAATTCTCAGGGTGTCCTGGTGTCTTGCTTCCCCATTGACGGAATCCCTTCAAATCCTCCTCCTAGTAAACAAATCCAACACTTTTTCAGTAAATTCGAATGACTTTCAATATCTATCCGATAAAGTAACTACATTCTTCCAATAAGTCGCTAATTTCAGTAAGCTAAAGTGAGAAAAATCAATTAGCAGCACAAGCAAAGATGAAGAAGAGATCACTGACCAGGACACTGTCGTAGCCGGCGAGGTGAAGCAACGCGTAAAGCAACATACAGCCATGTCCAGCAGATAGAACGAAGCGATCACGGTTGAACCAGTAAGGGTTCTTGGGGTTATACCTCATGACCTCATCGTACAAAATGTGAGCCATCGGAGCACAGCCCATGGGAAGACCAGGATGACCTGATTTCGCCTTCTCCACCGCATCGATGGCCAAAAACCTGATCGTGTTGACCGATTTGTCTACAATTGACGAATCGGTGGTAGGCTCGAGCGTCTCAACAGCTGCGGCGCGAACGAGAGGTCGGAGAGAGCGGATTTTGCTCATGGAAGCGGCGTTGCGTCGGCGAGACGAAGCGGAGGCGCGTGAGCCGGCGGGTTTGAGCCCAGAGAAAGCGGGTAAGGAGACACGCTGGTCAGAGCCATGGTGAGAGATGGCACGAGCAAGGAGAGCTTGCGAGAGAGCGAGGGAGGAAGTTGAAGCCATGGATTTAGTTTTCGCTCTCTTGCTGTAGAGAGATTGGAGCTAAATGGTGTGAAGAAAATGAATGGGAGACTCTCTGCAACTTATTTTATCAGTGACAGAGGATTTTTAGCCAATCAAACAAATTTTCGCCATCTCTTCGTCCTCACTAAGGGACAAGTTGGACAAAACATAACCGTTGGATCTCACTAAAGGTTATCATCGTGACCGCTGATTGAGGCTAAGAGTTTAGTGATCCTCTATGCCTTCCGCAATTTTTATTACTACATTTTTTCCTTTTTCAAATAGTCTTTGGATTTTCCGCCATAATAATAAAAGTTTTCTTTCTCTTTTTGTTAGGGAAAAAATGAGAAGAGAGATTCAAGAAATTTTTCATATGGAAAATTTCTGTTATTTCCTCTTTTTTTGTATCTCTTTCTGGATATTGTTATTAACGCCTACCAAATCTGGTTGAAGTCTGTTTGATAGATGATGTCAGTAATATCATGGGCCTTAAATGGGCCTACTGTTAAGTGTCATTTTCCTTAATGCGAGAAATGAATGGATCATGGGCCTAATGAACTCATCGTATTTTGTATCCTGTCGCCTTCACCGATCGCTCTTAACGCCTGCTTTCCAGTTTTTCAGCGAAAATCGTCGGCGAATGGGAATTTTATAGGCGGGAACTAATCAAATTCGCCTCCGTTCTCTTCCAGATTTCAAATTGACAGTGACAGTGACAGTAATGGCAGCTAGAGAAGAGGAAACGTCACCGGAGAAAATGAAAACCGAGGCGGCCGTGAAAGGAGAAGAGGAAGCAGACGACGAGCACGATTCCAAGGAGAGAGTTCTACAGAGATACTTTCTGCAAGAGTGGAAGCTCGTTAAATCCCTTCTCGATGATATTGTCTCGAATGGCCGCGTCGTCGATCCTTCCTCTGTTCAGAAGATCCAATCCATCGTAAGCTTCTTACTCTTTTCACTTGATCTATTCATTATCCTTTTGATTCCTCTTCCGACCTTGAATTTGCTGTATTGTAGATGGATAAATACCAGGAGCAAGGTCAACTAGTGGAGCCCTACTTAGAGAGCATAGTGTCTCCGCTAATGTTAATCGTCCGCTCGAAAACAGCTGAATTGGATTCGAGATCTCATGAGATTCTCGAAATAATCAAGCCCATATGCATCATTATCTATACTCTAGTCACGGTCTGTGGTTACAAAGCTATTATCAAGTTTTTTCCGCATCAAGTATCCGATCTGGAACTCGCCGTGTCGCTCCTGGAGAAGTGCCATAGCACGACTTCTGTTTCTTCGTTGAGGCAAGAAAGCACTGGAGAAATGGAGGCCAAATGCGTTACTCTCTTGTGGCTTTCGATCCTTGTGTTGGTTCCGTTTGATATTTCGTCTGTTGATACAAGCATTGCAAACGATAAGAGCTTCGGTGTGGACGATCTTGCTCCTTTGGTATTGAAGATTTTAAGTTTCTGTAAAGACTATCTTTCCAATGCTGGACCGATGCGGAGGATATCGGGATTGCTCCTCTCTAAGCTTTTAACGCGTCCTGATATGGGAAAGGCGTTTACAAGGTCTGTTCTTGTCACCATCAGTGCTTTTCAGTTTTGAGCTTCGATTAGCTTTCAACGCTTGAATTCACCAATAATTTTTCGTTGTTTTGTTGTGGCTTTTCTTGTTTCAGTTTTGTTGAGTGGACACATGAAGTTTTATCTTCTAAGGAAGATAGTGTGGTGAACCACTTTCGCTTGCTTGGTGTGATGGAGGCTCTTGCCGCCATTTTCAAGGTTTCTTTGTTTTCAATAATGTTGTTCACTTTGTTAGGCATATATAGATGCATGTCAGTAATGTAAATATCCGATTTCATTTGCATTTACTATCATTGGCAGACTGCTAGCCCGAAACTGTTGATGGATGTGCTTCCTACTGTTTTAAATGATGTGACCGTGCTAAGCAAATCAAAGGCAGCAACGAAAAGTCCTCTGCTTCGCAAGTATTTGATCAAGCTAACTCAGAGGATAGGACTTGTTTGTCTTCCTCATCGCTCACCTTCCTGGCGCTATGTGGTACATACCTTTTAGCATGTATAATACTAGTGCAAATAGCAGCTTCCTCTTCATGAGTTTTTTAAAAAAATTTAGAATTTCTGGTCTATGCCCGTAATTGACATAATCTCAGTCTCAGTTAGTCATTTGAAAGTAGTTTATTAAATTACCGTGCAGGCTCACACCGCCTCCCTTTCTGAGAATATGTCTACAAGTTCGACCCAAAGATTGGCGCCGGATCATGCCGTCACTGCCGTCTCACAACCGGAAAGTTCGGATGAGCAAGAGGATGAAGATATGGATGTTCCAGAAATCTTAGAAGAGATCATTGAAATGCTACTCTCTGGTTTGAGAGACTCGGTATGTTTAGTAAATGAGATACTACTGTTAGGCTGATAGCTAGAGGTGATTACATCTCAACTTAAACAACTAGATGACCTCATGATAACTAGATGACGCTGCTATGCAACACTCAAAACAGATCTTTCTTTCTTGCATGCTATAAATATATGTACGCCACATAAAGCTGTGATGGCCTGACTTGATTTATGGTGCAAAATTTTCACCTCATGAAACTTTCAGATGCCCAACCAGAAAATTACTCATTTCTGAACCGTGTAGGACACTGTGGTTCGCTGGTCTGCTGCAAAGGGTATAGGTCGTGTAACTTCACGACTAACATCTGTTCTTTCCGAAGAGGTGCTGTCATCTGTATTGGAGCTGTTTTCGCCAGGAGAGGTACTCATAATGGATATCTTCCAGAATTACTTGCATGTGATAAAATCCAATGAAAGCGTAATAAACTAGCTGACAATTATTGTGACTTTATATTCAGGGAGATGGTTCATGGCATGGTGGGTGTCTGGCTTTAGCTGAACTTGCTCGTAGAGGGTTACTGTTGCCTAGAAGTTTCCCACAAGTTGTCCCAGTTATTGTGAAGGTCGTACTCTATCCTATTCACAGGATTACTTATTCCTCTAGTCAGTGCATACGAAGCAATGGCATCACTCACCCCAAATTATGTAGAAGCTCTATGGATTTACATCTAAATATCATCTACAGGCACTCCATTATGATGTCCGTAGAGGTCCACATAGTGTTGGATCTCATGTGCGTGATGCAGCTGCCTATGTTTGTTGGGCATTTGGGCGGGCTTATTACCACAAAGATATGAAAAACGTCCTGGATCAGCTTGCTCCAGATTTATTGATAGTGGGTTCCTTTGATAGAGAGGTGCTAATCCCTTTTTTTTGTTCGCCGTTTCCTGATTTGAAGAATTGTTGTTTCGTAGATCTCTTCATTGCGTAATTTTTTTTTATTATCAGGTGAACTGTAGAAGGGCTGCTGCCGCTGCTTTCCAAGAGAACGTTGGAAGGCAAGGAAATTACCCTCATGGGATTGACATAGTGAACATAGCTGACTATTTTTCCCTTTCGTCTCGGGTTAACTCTTACCTTCAGGTTGCTGTTTCCATTGCTCAGTATGAAGGTTATCTATATCCTTTTGTGGATGAGTTGCTATACAACAAGATCTGCCACTGGGTATGTTCTGCTTGATATTGTTTCGCTTCTGATTTCTCTGCAAATCTAATATCTCTTTAAAAGTCCTACTTGTATTTAATGTGAAGCGGTTTTCTCTTAAGTGGTCGACAAAGCTAATATCAAAATTCAACAACGCATAAACTAGAGCCAATAGTTTGATTGAGATTTTTATCAAATCGTCGTTCCTAGTTGTAGATTCCATAATATTTAATTATTCAATCTTATGATTTCAGGATAAAAGCTTGAGAGTACTTGCTGCAGAAACTCTTGCTGCTCTTGTCAAATACGAGCCTATCCACTTCGCCAATTATGTGCTGGAGAAGCTAGTTCCCTGTACCCTTTCAACTGATCTGTGCATGCGTCATGGTGCAACATTGGCAGCTGGAGAGGTTGTGTTAGCTCTGCACCAGTCTGGCTATGTCCTTTCTACTGGTTGGTACCATCAATTGTTCAGCTTTGACTTTTGTGATATTTTTGTCCGTAATAATTAATGTTCCTGATGCATTTCATTTCTACAGATATCAATAAGCGTATGGCTGGGATTGTTCCTGCCATTGAGAAAGCACGCCTTTATCGTGGAAAAGGTGGAGAAATAATGCGATTGGCGGTCTCACGGTTTATTGAGTGTATCTCGTTATCGCATGTGACATTATCTGAGAGAACCGAAGGGATCCTGCTTGATACCCTCACTGAGAATTTAAGACATCCCAATTCTCAAATTCAGGTACCTATCTTTCTAAATGCCATCAAATTATTTACTTTCATCATGTTAACATAATCCACACTTGTTATTATTCAGAATGCAGCTGTCAATGCTATTAAACAGCTTCTGCAATCCTATCTCATTGGAAATGATAAAAAATGCGTTGATTTAATATCAAAACACCTAAAACATCTGACGGACCCAAACGTAGCTGTTCGAAGAGGCTCTGCACTTGCACTAGGTGTTTTGCCGTATGAACTATTGATTGCAAAATGGAAGGATGTTGTTTTGAAGCTATGCAGTGCGTGTAAGATAGAGGTAAAGAAGACGACATGTAACCTCATTACATCAGTCTCCAATCTTTTAAAAACAGTATGAAGTAATGACTTTTGATGGATCTTATTTTTGTTCCCCAAGCAGACGAATCCTGAAGATAGAGATGCTGAGGCACGCATGAATGCTGTTAAGGGACTCACATCCGTGTGTGAGACTCTTACTCAGCAAACTGCTAGTGCTCTTGAAAATGATGACCTGTCTCTTTTTCTTCTGATCAAGACTGAAGTGATGGATACTTTACTGAAAGCTCTTGATGACTATTCTGTTGATAACAGAGGTGATGTAGGCTCTTGGGTTCGTGAAGCTGCAATCCATGGACTTGAGATATGTACATATATCCTCTGTAAGAAAATCGGCACAGGCGATCATAACAACGATAACTCCTTACATTTCGATTCAAATCTGGCGACCCGTCTTATTGGAGGTATTGTGAAGCAAGGAGTGGAGAAAATGGATAAATTAAGAGAAACCTCCGCAAAAGTTCTTCAAAGGATTTTGTATCACAAAACTGTAACCGTCCCTTTCATACCTCATAGAGAAAAACTGGAAGAAGTTATTCCCAACGAAGAAGGCCTACGATGGGCGGTAAGCAGAAACCTGAACCCTTGGTTGCTTCTTCGGTTTCAAAGGGTTTATCTGACAGTGAGCTACTCTATTCTCTTGTAGGTCCCGACCGTCTCTTTCCCACGTTTCGTTCAGTTATTAGCATTCCGTTGTTACAGCAAAGAGTTGATGTCTGGACTAGTAATTTCGACCGGAGGATTACAAGAGTCACTCCAAAAGGCTTCATTCTCTGCATTGCTGCAGTATATGATGGGGGAAGGTGAAGAAGAAGCTAAAGACCCTGAAGAACAATGCTCCAGAGAGTCTGCATTGTTTGAGGACATCCTCTGTGTACTTCAAGAGTACAAGAAATGTGACCGAGTTATCATACCCTGTCTCAAGGTAAATACACCCCCACCTTATATATTAAACCTCTAGCTTCTTCTGTGTGGTTATGTCTTTAACACTTTTTCTTTTTTACACAGACAATTGAAGAGCTCTTCGGCGAAAACATCTTTCAGAATGAAGAGGTTGGTTTTAGAGTTTCACTTCTTTGGATTAGATATTGCCACAATCCACATAAAGCTAATCTGTCATTTCATTTCAGGCTTATACCTTGAGTTTCTACAAGGGAGTGGTGGATTCGTTAGCCATCGAACTAAGAGCGTCAAAGGAATTCGCAAAGTTAGAGGCAGGCATTAAAATACTTGGATCTGTTGCTTCAGTCTCGGAACCAATCAGCAAACAAGCCTTCTCTCAGCTTCTATCATTCCTTGCCCACCGATACCCAAAGGTTCATGTCCATTTATCTACACATCCCAAACTCTGTTTTATGTTGGTTTTTGGTTACATGACTCTTTTCTTTGTTTTGACCTGATCCAGATCCGAAAGGAGGCAGCATTAGAAGCCCATTTAGCGCTCCTTCAAAACAGTATCTTAGTAGCGGAGGACAAGGTTGAGAATGTTGAAGATATAATAACTAACTCTTATTGGGATGCTGACATGGAATCAACCAAATCTCAGAGGTTAGAGTTGTGTGAATTGATTGGTTTAGATCATGGAGTTGTGTTCAGGACCAGAAACAGAACTGTGACTAAGGGTATCGCCGTAACTGCTTCGGACGAGAATGCGGCTTACTCATCTCTGGTCGATTCCTCTGGCTTCTGATTGGTAATATGCATTGTCCTCGAGTCGATTTTTGAGTGTTTATGTATTTCGTTTTGTCTCCACAGCATTGCTATTGGGCAATGAAATTTAGTACGATGCAATATTCAATATATAAATTATACAAAAAACCTCAAAGAAAACACAACAAAGAAGCTCCAAACACAAATTAAACTAACAAAGAAACTAGTGATACTCACAAAAGGTAAAAATTTAATTATATCTTATCATGAATCACTTAAGACCGACTCAAACACCGGCCAAAAACGGCACACCGGTGATAGGGATCCAAGAATCGCCTTGTATAAATCGGCTGACGGTGAACGGAGAAGCCTCATTCTCTCCGTGAAGGAGATGAAATCCCGGCCAGTTCACCCTTCTGCTAGCCCCCGCACCAGCTCCGGTGTTCATAAACTCGCCGTAATACAACGTAGACAGAGCGAAATCGCCTCTCCATTCTGTCCATCCTCTCGGGTCAATCAACCCGTCAAGGTCCGTCTTGAGAAATACCGTACGAGCGTACTTCTTCCACGGCCGCCCCAAGTAGCTCTTAAACCGGCCTTTAACCGCCTCGAATTCTGGTGCCGCCCGGACTCGCGAGTGTTGGATCGAAATGCCTACATTCAAATATCATATCATCAACGTCATCAGAAACTGGTTCAAACCCGGTTCAGGCTGCTAAATTTTCCAGTTTAACAATTGTAACCGAAGGTTATTTTTAATATGGATTGGTTTTATACGGTTTAGCTTTGATTTGAACGTTTTCTATATCAAATTGGTTTAGTTGTCATACTTACTGTCTTATTGAACACGTTAAATTGGTAACACAAGGTTTTTTGTGACCTGTATTTTCATGTGGGTCATCTCTTCCTTGAGCTGTGATCATATTGCCTTGGTGATCCATAGGCCGTCTCACAAATATATCGCAATTTTGGAAAACAGCAGCCGCATCTCCAAATATGAAATCAATCGTACCTATATAATCCATATATGTATGATGAGTATGATCATCCCTCATGACTACTTTCATTAGCATGTTATAAAAAACCTTAAATATATATTTTTAAAAATGTATAATACCATAAATATGGCAATCGCGGTAGAACTGACGGAGCGAGTGAGTGAAAAGAGTGTCTTGATATCCTTTGAAACTACATCGATAGAATACAGACAAATCGGAGTTTACTCTCAGTGCCACCGCTTGATGTTTTTGTGGTCCTGCCGTGTTCTCGAACGTCATGTCCCGTGCCCAAAATCCATCTCCAGATACCCCTACATGTATATATACCGACAAATTAATTAATATCAACATGCAGAAATATGTTATGTGAATCATATGATATATATGAAGGTTAATTAAATGTTTTGTATATATTATATTACCAAACGTGGCAGATCCATAAGTCGTGGAACCATCTGGGACATTTCGGTTATTTGTAATGATTGTACGGTCCATACCATCACCGACTAGCATTATATTCTTCATGTCTCTATCTATTTCTATTTTCTCGTTATAAACACCCGCTTTTATGTAGATTATCACTCTATGCGACCGACTTTTACCCATTCTTGAAACAGCGGCTAATGCCTCCTTCACCGACCGATGAGTCGCCGAACCGTCCTTAGCCACCACGAAATCCGCCCTTGACCTTGTCGGACTCCATGACACAAACATTCCTCCGTTCTGGTTTGGTCTCGCAGCTGGTACATTGTATGGTCTCTTCGGTCCATGGTATGGTCTCGTCGGTCCATGGTGTGGTCTCGCTGATCTATGGTCCGGAATCGCTGGTCCATGCATCCCTACTCAATATAAATAGAGATTTTATAGCAAATCGTGAGATATATTTTAAAACAAAACGTAAACTAATATGTATATCTATAATTAAATACCAAGTTACGTGTGCGATGTCATTTGATTTACATGATTGCATGTATATGTTCTTACTCCTTTTTATGTGACCTCTAGATTTTTTGTAGAAAGCCAAAGCTTCGCGGAGCACGAACGTTACGTTACTATGGACCAAGGGCTCGTGATGACCTTGACGTGACTCATCCAAACCGTCTAAACAAGTGTGATGGTTAGCAAGCACGCCGCTTAGCCACGTTCTAACATCTTCAACGGTAAAATTCTCATGAGCCACGACCAATGTCGAAAGTCTAGCCTCACTCTCATCGTAGAGCTTCTCACAGTCACTTAACCCCAAATTATAAAAACTGCTAGCAACTTCCTTTGTTGCCACTGACCCAAACCTAGTTCTGGCTTCAGCCACTGCAGCTTGAGCCTTTTCAAGCACACCTAGTTCCGCTGTGTTTGAGGCGGATATGACGGTTGCAGTGACTAGAAAGAACAGGATAGTGAAGAAGTCGGTGGTTTTAACAAACGTGAACATTTTAGTAGATTTTAAGGATCGTTGTTGTGTTCTAGTGATTTTCTTGAAGTGTGCTTTAAAATGATTGTTGTTGTGTATTTAATAGCAAACGAGGAATGTGAATTGTCGTAGAACATAGATGAAGATGGTGGCGAGGAAACTAACACATGGAGAGAGATATACGGCACGTGTGAGACTATGTGTAAGCTTTTTGTTTCTACGATGATTTGATGGCCATGCATGGCTAAATACGTTTTACATTTCAGGTTGTAAATTAATGCGACACCATATCAAGGTGTTAGTATACGTGTATATCTCAAGTGAAAGTACCAATTTGGCAATTTTCTCTTTCTTAAGTTTATACACTATGTTGATTCCAAGAATTAAGAGATCAATAGTTTAAAACGAAATTATTTTTGATTTATAATAAGAAAACTTTTTGAGAGAAATCATAATCTCATTATTACAGTAGATAATATCTAGATATGATCATTGCTTATCCTTGCCCACCACATTGGAATCCATTATATGAGCAATACAATGGATCTCATGAAAAAGTCTACAATTAAAAAAAACAAAAACATCTATCAAACATGATCGCTGCTTAGAAGAAGCCTAGTAGTTCAGCCCATAAATAAATGGTCCAATGGAATAGGTGGTGAGATCCATGAGAACCGGGTAGACCCGGATCGTATTAACACGAACCACAGGTTGAGTTGGGCAGAACCTTTAAAGTCTAAAGATACTCAAATCGAATCACGTTGTTCTCCGAAACTATAATATAGTTTACGATCTAAGTATATGAGTATCGAATAATTGCGCCTGCTAAGGAAAGTGGGTATAAGCCTATAACTATTAAATGGAATAAAGTTATCATCTTTTCAAGGCAGACAATATGGGTCACTGTTCAAATATTTAATTATACAGTACATTAAAGCTAAATCATATATTATAAGTCATTTCGAGTTTGCCTTTTTATAAACCAAAAATGATCAATAACGGATGTGTTTCTACAAAATGAGAGAATTTAAACAAAACAAAAAAACAGGTCCCTAGAATCTTTTATCCCGAATCATGTCTTCATCATATCAATCTGCGAACAAGCGTAATAAAATGTAAAATTATGTTATTAGTTCTTAAAGAGTTGATTAAATTTGAATTTTAATAAAAAAAGGGTGAAGCTTACGCATAGAGTTTCTGCAGAGGGAGAGGAGAACAACGAGAATTGCGAATCCAGCAATGACTCCTACGATGATCGCAATAGATTTCCCCACGTGATCTCCGTTAGTTGGATCTTGATCACGAAAGAAAGAATAAATTTAGAAAGATCTTATAGGTACATTAGATCATAAGACCATAGTATCAAGCTAAGAATTATAACTTGTAAGATATAGTGACTTTTGGACTTTGATATTGATCAAGCTATAAAGAATAATATAATATTTTAAAAAGTTGGAATTGGGGACATGGGTGGCTATGCCTACAAAGAAAAGAATACTATATTACGATAACTATATACGCAAATAACATTCTCTTTTTGACCAATGATATTAGAATTATATGATACTCGAATTTTCCAACGAATAATTCAAAAGATTAGGGTCTATTATATTCAATACTTAACGGTGTCTTTGCAGGAAAAAAAAAGAAAGAAAGAGATTGAAAGTGAAATTATTATGATTTCTTCAGCTTGCTCGTGACTACCAAGAAGCACCTAAACTCGTGATTTTCTCAATTATAAGCGGCGGGAAATTATAATTAGGTCAAAAATCAATCACAATTTTAAATTATACACTTATGGCATCAAGCATAATTTACGAAGATAGGTTAACGAACTTAAATGTTACGTAATTAAAATTTATGGACCGACCTGAAGAGAAGTCGTAGTAGCCAGAGCCCCAATAACGAGCATAGCACTGAGCCAAGAAGACTTCAGCTGCAACCGCCGAGCCACAAAGATTTTTTAATTTTCCGACAGACTCCGCAAGACAAGCCGTGCAGTCGCTAGGACTTAAGTCACCAACACACTGAGCATAACCTTCGACTAAACCGGACCGGCTAACTTTGTAACCGAGTTGAGTCGACTCAAGATCCGACAACACATCGTCTCTCCGTTTAAAGAAATCATAGTCGTTCTCAACGCTCTTGGAACTACACTTCTTGTACCTAAGACTCGTGTCTGGTTTCCCGAGAAAGTCGTTGGTCTCGTAACGTAAGAAGCAACCTTCGAGCTGGAGAGAAGCACCGTAAGAGTAAGGACAAAGGAGAGTGATTTGATCGACTGAGGTTTGGATACATTTTGTGCAGTCTGATAATCGGAGGTCGTCACGGCATTGATAAAGGCCGAAGACGGCGGTGGATGATGAGGAGGAGGAGGAGTCGTTGCCGACGGCGAAGCTGTTGAAGGAGGCGTCGGAGGAGGAAGTTACGACGGAGGAGAGGTAAGTGTCGCGGTTTGATTCGAAAGGAGTGTTTGGTGTGTATTTTTCCGGTGAACATCCACCGTAGATGAAGATGTGAGATTCTGATGAAGATCTTGAGGAGGACAATGAGTGGAAGAAGAGGAAGAAGGAGAGAGAGAAGAGAAAGAGTCTTCTCATATTTTTGTTATTTTTGGCGTTCTTTGGGAATGTTTTCAAATGGTTTTTGTTTTTAATTTTATCATAGTTTCATAGTGTTTTATTTAAAACAAAAAAAATGGAAAGTGATTAAGTTCATTAATGTGGGTCGGTCCAGGAGATGTGTGGATATATCTAGAACGAAATATGCAAAGCTAGATAAGCTTAAAACTCGATAATCTTAATTATGACTTGGCATACAAACATTCACTTGTGACGGAATCAATACCGAAAAACTCGACAAATTGGATGATAAAACTTTTTTGTTATTTGAATACACAAAAGAGAAGATTTGGTTTTGTTTCGTTGCAAGTGAATGATTTAGACATAATTAAAGAAAATTTGGGTTTTGGGAGGTATTTTTAAGACTTCTTTTGCGCGCAGAGGGTCCCATTTTAGTCATGTCCTTTGGATTAGTATATGTTCGCTAGATCGATTCCATCACACATATTCTCCTCAGGGTAGTGGAGAATTTTAACTTTTTAGTGTTTGATCTTAAAGCAGCCCAATTTCTATGCTTATGAAGAGTCCTAAATACTATGTGATATAAAAATCATTGTGATGTAAAATCAATACTCCATCAAACGCGAGATGTTCATATAACATGCTATGCAATGTTAAAAATAAATTGTACAAAGAAAAAAGAACGTTCAATCTTCATATACGTGAATCAATCATAATGGCAAATAAGTTTCCAAGTTCCAAACCGCAGTTGTTGTAAACTTCTGAGAATTTAAAATTAAATTGCATTATAAGTTCATCACAAGTGTAGCTCATTGTCGTATTTTCTCTGCATTCTGAAAGAAGCATATATGGGCCGGTTTATAGTCAGATTCGTAGAAAAGACTAATATTGGGCTATTGGGCTATTGAGTTGCGAATTGATCAGAGCCCATGTTTTGATGGCTTTAGTCGCTGTTACATTTGTTATTTTCTAATCTACTGATTGCAATCTCTTTATTTATTAGCATAGAAAAAAATAGAGAAAATAGGCAATTAACCCCAAATAGAAATTATCTTGTCTTACCTCATTAAAAATTACACAAATGCAAATTACTTGGACTAATATTCCAATGACCGACAGCAACAAAAGGACTTAGCCGGTTAACAGGTCGTAGTTCTAACCTTGTGTTCTCAAGTTGGTATACGCCTTTGGAGAAGATCAACCATTGATTGTTACAGCCACTACTTATCCACATAAATTTTCAACTCACTAGAAAATGGACCAATCTATGAATCAACTTGGCACTTCAACAACCAATCTAACCGCAGAGGAAATATGAATGATCCCACTAATATGAACACAAATTTGTATCAACCATTCCACATGAGTAAGCTTTTGGCTAATTCAAACGGAAAAAAAGTACTCATCTGTTGAATAATACATATCATCTGTGAAACTTAAATATAACTGAATAAGAAAAAGGGTCTTCTTTGATCCAATCTATAAACGAGACAAGTACGAACTCCCATACAAATAACACATGATCATACTCGTTTCTTGTTCTATGCTGAATAGTAGTAAATACTAAATTGAATTTTATGTTGGGAGTCGATATTGTCAACTGTGTTCCTTATCATTGTTCCGATAAACTGGACTAAAATAATATATCAAACCGTAAAGAAAACCTACGCTATGACTATTCTGCTTGAGCCAACTCGATTAATCTGTTGTTCGCCACACATGAGTACATAACAACATATGAAGGTGCTAAATTCAAAGTGTTTTTTTTTTCTATAATTTATTTTTCTTGGCTTGCCATGAATAATTACAATTGATTCTCCACTTTTAAAAAATCATCGCCATGTACTGTGTATAGATAGATATCGAAAGTGACTCTAATGGCGACGAATACTTCAGTGGTAGAATATCTCCTTTTGGCAGTATTTTCCCCAGCCATATATATCCACCAATTCAGCACTTGCACGAAATTAGATTGAACAGTAATAACAAAAAAATATGATTATAATTTCCTAAATATATGTATTTATAAAATTAGTGGGATTAGCAAAAAATCAATTATGAATCATTGTGATTGATAGTAACATCTTGCGTAGGTCCAAAGATGAGCAGAATCGTGTTAAACTTTTTCTTTGTGTTTTATCATTTCCATAATTCATAATTCACCTTGAAAATCAATATCTTAATCATAAATTCGTAATCAAAGTCCTACCAAAAGCACTCATGCATTTACAGCCAAATTTTACTTTTAGTATATACATGATTGTCTTAATAATTTAAAACTAAAAGTAAAAATCACTCACTTTTCACATATACACAAATCTAACAAAAGGGTAAAAGGAGTGTCAAAAGTGAAAAGGTAACAACAAATAGTAAAAAAGAGCTAAAAGAACAAGAAACATTTTTCATCATCATCAATAGTCTTGTTCCGTCGTCGTTATTGCCGGCTCCGGCTCCGGCTCCAGGGAAGTTTACCGAAACCCGAACCAGATTCAATTCGGGTCTGGACCCTTTTAAAATCCGAATAAGGACAAGGGATAGTGATTCCACCTTCTTGACAAAACCCAAACTCTTCTTCTGCCTCTCTCAGAAGCTCACCGAACAGAGGATGGTTAAAGTAAACGATGGGCACCAAAACTCTGTGAAAGTCTCCGTCTTTTCTGCCGACGTAAACCGCCGAGTGACCTTTCGGAACCGGGTTGGGTTTTTCTCGAATCGGATCCTGTCCAATTGGTATGTATCCGGAACTTGATCTTTTAGACCCGAGAAGTCTGGCGCCGTGTGATGTGAGACTCCGACCCCAGCTTATGAGTTTTGTGATGGCTCTCGGTTTACAAACCGGTCGGCCCGGGCTTAAACGGGTATATCTCGAACGGTGGATACGGGTTTTCCGAAGGATCCATCTTGAGATTAGTTGAATCGGTCTTCTGATTTTGATTCCTCTTAACCTCCTCATCGTTTAAAAAAACGGAACAGGTAAAGGAAAGGAACAGAGCTAATTTCAGACAAGACGAGAAAGAAAGAAGAGAATTTCGAAAAATGTCAGACGCCACAAAATTAAAAGAAGATCCTTTACTCTGTTTTTCTCTCTGTTTTCAGAGCAAAGAGACAAACTTTTGGAGCTTCAAAGCTCTGACTGACTTTTTAATTCGTAGGATTGATATTAAGAAGAACAGCGGCGAAGATGTGAAAACGGTAAGAGAAAGAATATTATTTTTTTGAGGATTCTGTGGCTGTCTAAACGCTAAAGAGGAAGAGCAAAGTAAGATGCAGAGAACTTTAAATAGAGAAGAAGCAGCCAAGAAAGATGATGGTTTTTCGAGGAAGACTTCACGTCTATTGACGGTTGGATGAGGAGAAACGCATCTCAACCGTTGGATTAGATTTTGAGGAAAAACCTGACCATTTGCTTTTCTCACCTAAACAATTCTTCTTTAACCCACACTTTAATTTAGCATTAACCACAGTTTCTTAAAACTAGAAAATTCACCTCTCTAGTTTCAATATCTTTTCGTTATGCTAAGCTTGCTAATTAAATCTTACTATAACTAATTGTAATGTAAATTCAAAGAGGAGGATGAGTCACCGGAGGTTCAACCACTGATGATCATCGATGACCAGTTATGATGCAACCACACGTGTGATAACAACGTGGCAAACTTTTTTTTTTTGTCCCGATTAGGTAACACCCCCACAAGAGATCAAACTACGTCTACTGTATATTTTGTCATTGATTAGTTTTTAGCTATTAAAAAAGAGGTGTACGGTGTGTCCTTAAGATGCCTCGCTATAGTTTTATTCATATGCAGACAAGAAATGCCAAAATAACAAGAACTGAGGTCACAGATCTGAGTTTGGGCTCTAACTTTTGTTTTTGCCAACTTAAAAAACCAGTTTGTATTAATCAAACTAAACCAGAAACAAGTTGTGGAGTATTCAGTTATATTATATGATTGTCCTTACTCCCTAGTCCCTAGTCCTCAGAGTAAAAGACGATTATCGTTACTAGCACAGTAGATACTTCTGATGACGATGAAATCCTAATCCTAATCCTTTTTTAGCAGGCTACTTATTTTTCAATAATCAAGTGCTACTAGCCTATTGCTCTACTCTGAAATCCTAATCCCTTTTAAGCAGGCTAATACATACACACAAATTATATACATATATAGTGTTTATTTATAAAATTCGAAAGTAACGTGTCCTTTACCGAATAGAATATGATTTACGTGTGAGAAAAAATGTTTCTTTTCTCATCTTGAAATTGATACTCTAATAGTGGTATACTATTCAAGTATTTATCATTCCGTACAAGTCCGTTACGTGCACGAACGTGTCTCTCGTGGCTTCAAATGCATGGGGCCCATTTGACTCGCGTATGTCCAAACTTCCAACTCCAAGCCAAAGCAGTAGTATATTATTACTCACGTAAATGTCAAACGGTGAAGACGTAAAAAAAAGAAAACGTCAAATTACTAGTCTACTAGATAAATGCTTTAGTTAAATGAAAATTTGAAAGTCAAAAGTCGTTAGAATTAAAAGAATAGTATCTTGAATAGATAAAAAATGAAACTATATCTTGCATTATTGTACCTAGAGTAGTAGAGTTAATTTAGCATTATTTGATTCTCTAGTTTAAGCGACATACAATATTGTTTCAACTGTAAGGTTCCTCGAACTTATAATACCGTACAACACCATGCGATGACTTTCGAACAACCCTTGTAGTTTCAAGTAAGAGCAAATTTGTCCTTTATTTTTCTTAATAAGGAAAAGATCAAGTTGAAACTCAACGAAAGAAAGACAGAGACATCCATAGAAAGTCACGCATACACGTTTGTTAATTTATGTTGAAATAGACTATTCAACTTGTTGACAACATAATAAGCATATTTTTCAATTTGGTATGTTTCTCTTGGTTGTGGACCTTTTCGTATTTCCCCTCTCCGACTGAGAATGATATGATAGCAATTTGGAAATGGCGAAACAAATCACGATTTGGCAAAAGAAAAAAGAAAGGAAGTCGGTTTTTTTGGACAAAGAAAGGAAGTAAGCTCAAATTAACACACAAACTATACGTCTATACAAGTATACAACGAAGTTTTAGGGCTTTTTCAAATGACAATGGATTTTTTCTTACATGAAATCTAGTCGAATATTAAAATAAGTTGAGACCCAAAAAAGATGTATAAGTGGGTGTAAAAAGGTTAAATTTTCGATTAGAGATATTGTAAAATAACATTAAAGCATATGTATGTACAGCTGGTAATATTTTTGTCTCTATTTGTACGGATAATCGTACCTGACGTGTCATAAACGCTTTTGGATGCCTCGAAGGGCAATTCAAGGTTAACGTTTATGATTAAACGACTTCCGATTAATTGCCCTCACACTAAGCAAAGATAATCAATAGTTGTTCAAATTCCTCTAAACGTAAATCGGTTCCTTAATCTGCGGCGATTTAAATAGGATGCGTTTTCAGAAGTTAGAACAATAACTTGATTTGAGTTTGACAAACTCGTCCGAACCACTTATTTCTGTAAATCGATAGTCAACGAAGAAAATAAGAGTCCATAAAAAAACATGCAATTATATCCTAATGTGCTCAGCTAATCAAACCCTCGTTAGTCGTTACGTTTGTCGTTTCTTGACAGTACGTAAAATGACGTCGTACCGAATTGCACAGCTTGGTCAACTCTTGCCATGCCACACCAATACTTGAAGGTACGACGAAGGAATGTTTTAAATTAATGCCACGTGGACCTTTACACGCGTGCACTAGTTGTCCATATAATTGGTGATAAACGGGCCTAAATAAAGCCCACTAAGAGTTTAAGCGCAACATTAATGGCAAAAATGTGTTGGACGGCTAAATTTCACAATAGGGCTCAATGTTGGACAAAGGCCCAATAACAGTGAGTCTGAAGTGGAACCGACAAGTAGTGCTACTCGCAAATAAGAAAACAGCAAGAAAGTCCCCAAAGGCCAAAACACAGAAATATTTCCGAAAAACCTTACATTTGATAATCAATCAGTTACAGCTTAATATTTTGCAATCCAAACTCTAGTTCTGATAAGAAGAAAAAAATCAACATAGCTTTAGAACCCTTCTATACACTTTAAACGCAATCAAGAACTCAAAGCAAGCTTAAAGAACACAGTTAATCACACACGCAAGAAAGTAAAAAAATTGTTATAACCCTTTTAGTCTTCAAGAAGCTGCCAAGCCCTTGAAGCAGCAACCATTGATTAATCATCGATCTCTTTCATTTACATTTTGAAGGTAAACTTGAGACTGTATCACAGTGCACCCAACTTTAAACCCTGGAACAACTGTAAATCCAACTTTGCCTCGAGCAGGACTCACCGACAACTTCTTCTTATCCTGTCTTCTTCTCAGAACATTCTCCATGAAAACAATCGAAAAATCAACTCCGCTTTCCACTTGGAAAATCTCAACCGGAGGATCAAAGGACAATGCCAGCTTGTGAAGAGTCCAAATCGAGCTAGCCATTGCCACAAAAGACTCGTAAAACGTGCCCAGAGACCTCCAAGAACTCAACACAGCTTCGTTTTGATCCATGTTGCTGAATATCGAAGACGCCATGTTCTGATGAATGAGCTCGTGATACTTCTTATCGCAAAACCTAGAGAATCCACACTCTTTATCTCTGTCAAGAAGCTCCATCGGATCGCTCGACACATGCTGCATCAACTCCCTCAACGAAGAATCTGAACAACACATTTCAGATTCTTCTTCATCACTCTCGTTTAGATCAAATCCTTCTCCATCGAAACCTCGAAACATCCCCAAGCAAACATACGACAACAATGCATACCTGTTATGTCCCTTCTTAGCATACTCCACTTCACGATGAACAGAATCAGCAGCTAAATCCAAATCCCAGCCAGCTTTTTCCATCAACTCAATCAGAATCTTAGTGAACTTCTGAGTAGCTTTAAAGGAATCACGCAATAGAGACTCGTAAACCTTAACCGATAGCAGAACATCTGTTGAATCTGCAGACAATCTCTTCGATAGCTTCGAATTAGACTTCTGAATCTCGCCTAATTTGTTCCTCAGACTCCGAACCTGCAAATCCTTTGCGTCCATCTCAGCTTGTAACCGGTTTGACACCGTTCCCAAAGCTCTAAGCTTGCTCTGATTCTCCTGAACCCGAGACTCTAAACACGACCCAATCGCTAAATCGGAATCAAAATCCAGACTTTGGCGATAGTTTCTGCAGAATTGCTTCAAATCAGATAGTTTCTGGAGGTTTGAGACTAAAGCCCTATCAGCAGCCTTGACGCTTTCCTCAACGAACGGCGCGTGCGCGGCTTGCAATTGGAGATACGAAGCTTCGAAAGAAGACACCGTCGCGAAAGCCGACGAAATCAAACTCGAGCTTATCTGGGTATCCAATTTCCTAACCTGAGAAAGCTTCGGTTGTTTAGGTTTAGCGAGAATCTTCGTGTTGGGATCACTCGACGGAGATTTAACAGGAGATCCCGGAGAAGGGGTGTTGGCGGTGAGGGGTCTGTCGGGTTTGAGGACGACGACTTTCTGATCGGTGATGAAATCCTCGGCGGAGTCAAGGAGTGAGAAACCCTCGGCATCGGAATCGACGCCGACTCTCTCCCCGTCCTCGGTGAAGAACTCGTAAGTCTTGGTTTTGACCGCCATGGCTAGTTTCTGAAACATCGTAGAGAACTGTGGAGGATGTGTAGCTTCTGTGATTGCCGATGTTTCCACTTCCCGCATCGCGGAAATGAGCAATCAAATGAAGAAGAAACAAAAATTCCTCTTTTTTAACTGCGAAATCCGAATCGATTTCAGAAGCGAAAAAGACTTTGATTTTGATTGCTCTCACACGCAGAGAGACAGAGTAGCAGTTAAAAAAATTGAGCTTGAGAGAGAGATTAATGGTGCTTTGGATGCATTTGGAAGAAAGGAATGCACAAAGCCTTTCCCTTTCCGTTGTATTTTTGCTTTTTATGTTTTTTTTTTTTACATTTTGTTTTTTTTCACGCGCATCTCTCTGTCTACTAATTCCGCTGACTTTGATGATTTGTTTAACGGTAACAAGTGAAAATTTGCTAAAACGACAAGAAGGTTATTCATTTATACCAATCAATGGATATTTCTGACAATGGCAAAGTAATCAATCATCATAATAGTGACAGTGAGTTAAGAAAAAGAATTAACCCATTTGGGTTAAACTTTTTAATATTCTTATGTAATTTGCCACTGATCGGTAGATCATTTTGGACGTAAATTAGTCTGTAGATTTAAGTTTATAAATTCAAAAACATCTGAGAAAGGGTTTAATCTTACGACGTTGACTGTCAACACTCGTAGTCTTATCTACAAATGTGAACAGCACGAAAACTAGGTGTGTTATCCACTTTCGACATTTTTTTTCTCATTTATATACATCATTGGTATTTAATACTCGGATAATAACCAATAATTAAGATCTACATCGCTCGGTTAGTGTATGTCAAACTGAAAGTTTTGCTATAAAAGCGATGGAAAAGGCATATTGGTATAAATTATTGACAGGAAGCATCTATTTGTATAATAAAACATTGATAATTGACCACCAAGACTAATCATAGATTCCTAGCTTTGAAGACACTTTTCATGTCTTCCGAAACTCATCTCCCATATTCTTGCTTTATGTTTTCCCTTTTCTTCACGTCTTTGATATGCTTTTAGCAAACATCTTTTAGTGCTAATGTTTATCATTATGTTAGTTAATACTTAATAGTCTAATGTCGCGGTTCTAATTTCACATCCACCGCTAAAAAAATGATAAGCACGTAGACTCGGTGATGGAAGAATATCACTAACCATTTCGAGTTACAAAAGAATGATATATATACAAACAATTCGACTGTTATGAAAATAAAAACTTTAGTATGATAATTAACAGGTTTGTAAATTACATAAATTTAAATAAAATATGCAAATATAGATTGGCCAATATATGTAGCATCTGTCATTTATATACATCACTGATATACAATGACATATATTTACAGTCATCTACTTATTTATTGTGGGACATCAAATCAAACGTGAAGACAATATCGTGGGTTGTATGTCACTGTCACTAGTTCTAATTTGACCATTTGGTTACCAACGATTTCGGTTGGTAGATAAAGTTCCTTATGCGACTCGTCTGACTGAATTAAAACATCCATTCTGTTCTGCTGTTGTGATTAGGGGTGTTTTAGCTAGAATTTAGGCTTTAAACAATCTAAAAACAAAATAAATTAGATTACTTGATAAACTTCGAATTCCAAAATTAAGTAATTGACTCGTAGTTAAGTTTTTCCCCTATTTGAACATGATTTTTAAATCAACATTTGCTTACCTTTGATTTGCGTTTTGATCGGTAATCGGATTGAGACCTAACTTTATTCCACGGAGGAGAAATGTGTATGAACAATTCGAAATACTGTAACTGCAGTGACTCAGTGAGCCGTGAAAAAGTAGCCCAGCAAAAATGCAAAGACCCAAGCCCATTAAGATAATCGAAATGACGAAACTACCCTGGTTCTGTAACTAAAAGGACTAACGATAAAACAGCTGGATCGAATCGGATCAGATCAAAAAGCAGAGGCGTCGTCTTCTGCCTGAGGGCTGCTCCTCCGTACCAAACTCTGATCCACCTCTCTGTCCCTCTCTTTATATTATTAATATAAAAACACATACTTTCTTTTGTTTTTAAAGCAAAAAAATCAAAATCAAATGTGAAATTGAAATTGATAGTTGAGATTATTTTTAATCTAAAATGAAAATAAAATAGGTGGCCAAGTAGGTGTGTAGGTATTTTTAGTAGTATAAGTGTAACTAATAAAGCCCATCAACTTCGCACTGGTTTTCGAGAAGAGTCTACAGCTGTGACAAGAGGTCTTAGGCCTCTTTCTTCTTGGAATTTGCTCTCTCTCTTTTCATATACTGTATTTAATTGATAAAAATTAAAACTTTAATGTTTCTTGCTAGAAATGCTGCTTAATTTGAATTAATTTGGTTCCTAATGGTTTTTTTAGTAGCATAGGGTTGTTAATTGCTTATTCACGTTACTGTTTTTAATTTGTTTGTGGAGAAAATAGTGAAAAGAGAAATTTGTTTTTTAGCCGGCAAAGTCTGGTTTTACGATATTGCCATAGAGAAATGAAAAGTAGACTGTTGGGGAGAGTCTTGTCATTTAGCACTTTTGCACAGTTTATTAGACAGAGACCATCGCCTTAAAAAACAAAAATACAACTAAAAATATTATTTGACCAATAAATAATTAAATATATAATGCCACAATAATTTATCATATTTACTGACAAGAGACAATTGCGATATGATGGCAATTTACTTGGCAAAATATTACTTTTAAAATTCGACTAATAATCTCAAAATAGATTTTATTACGCTGAAATAATTCCAATTCTTTTTTACTCAAGTTGTCTCCTGCTATTTTGGTTTAACTGTCTTCTTAACTAATGAGCTTATGACAATTACCCAAATGATCATTTCTCATCATCGAATTTTGTTCAAAGTGAGATAACTAATCAAAACAAATTAATTAAGGAAGAGATTGGACATCATATAGAGTCGAAGGAAGAAAGGACTCATCATTTAAAAGAGGCTAGTGGTCACTCTCTCCAGGCGCCGCTCTCTCTTTCTCTCTCTTTCTGGGAATGGTGAGTCAATTTCACCACTGAGAGCTCAAATTCGCCTGACTTTACCTCTTCCCCGAGATAACACCAGCCAGAATTTAGACAAGAGAAGACGAACAAGAGACAGAACCTAACTACATCCATGGTTGGTTTTGATCCATTTCTCTTTCTGGGTCTTGTTAAATTTTCTTCCTTTTGAGGAAAAAACACAAAATTGACTCAATTTTGCAGATGGAAACTGGAGAATTCCCTGCATGGCTTGAGGTCTTGCTAAAGGAGAAGTTTTTCAACGCTTGTTTGGAGCATGAAGAGATTAAGAAGAACGAGAAGAACATTTTGTGCATCGATTGCTGTCTTAGCGTCTGCCCTCACTGCCTCCCTTCGCATAACTCTCATCGTCTTCTTCAGGTCTCTTTTAAGAAAAATAAAAAAGTCATTTTTATGTTGTTGAAAATTTGCTTTTTTTTCTTTCGAAAAAGCTGAAAACTTTCTGTTGCAGATAAGAAGATATGTGTATCAAGACGTTTTGAGGGTAGAGGATGGATCGAAGTTAATGGACTGCTCTTTAATTCAGGTTTGTTGGTTTGGTCTTGTAATTAATTAATCCTAAATTATTACCCTTAATCCATCAGTTTTATGGATTCTTGTGCCCTAAATTTACAGCTATCATTATTATCTTTCAATTAATACGCTTCTTTTCGTCTTATGTGTATGTGTCTGATGATGATGATTAAAGCCATACACATCGAACAGTTCTAAAGTTGTGTTCATCAATGATAGACCCAAGTCTCGACAGTTTCGTGGCTCCGGCAACTTCTGCAACACCTGTAACCGGAGTCTCCAGTCTCCTTACATCTTCTGCTCTCTCTCCTGCAAGGTCTGTGCTTCTTTCATTTCCTTAAAGGAACCTCTTTTCTCGTTAATTACGTTTTCATTTTTCAAAATTCAACCTTTTTTTTTGTTTAAAGTGTTTCATTTCATAACCCAATTCGATTTACTTTTTTTTCTTCATCTGGGTCGATGTTCTTTCAGAGAAATTCATCTGCTAAAAAGTAAAGCAACGTTTTCAAAAATCTTTCAAATCTTCTCAATTCAATGTTCTTTTGATTTGTTTGTTCCTTTCCGATGCACGAGTAATTTAATTACACGCGTGTACGATCACATTTTCACGTAATTGTCGCTTGTTTGCTTTTGTAGATTACTGACGTCATAATGCGACAAAGAGGGCTCTCAGGGTTTCTCCGCGTCTGCGAGATTCTTCGTTTAACGGACGAAGGGACCAGTACGACGCCGAGTTCCACGCTCGAACCCACCGGATCGACCCGAACATCTTCCGGGTCAGGCGGTAACGGAGGTGGAGGAGGAGACGTGTTCTGGTGTCAGGCGCTCGCTTGCACAGCCACTTCTGAAATCGTACGGAAGAAGAGAAGCAGCTTAACGTCTTGCCGGAGAGTCACGACGGCGGTTTCTCCGACTATCATGGAAACGCCGGCCAGCTTTCTAAACCGACGGAAGAAGACTCCGCAACGTGCACCGCTCTATTAGTTCGTTAGTCGAAGTGGTAAGTAGAATAAATACACGTAACGTAACTATAGTCTAATGCACTTTTATGAACAAAAAAAATCTATAGTCTAATGTTTTTAAATGAAATTAAATATCGTATTTAGGAATTAAAAAAGGATAGCAGAGAAAGAGAAAGGTGCTCTCCTGAATTTGTCTGGTCTGTGTAACGGGAGAATTATGTGTTTAATTACTTTTCGAGAAATGAAATATATTTGCGTTACATTGCTTCCTCTTTTATTAGTGTTTTTTGTTTTTTTCTGTGACATTCATGTTTGCCTTTTCATGTTCTTACTCTTAAGGCCGCCTAGATTTATTATTTACTGCGGCGAAGTAAATTCATCTCAACTCTCAAAGGATTAAAAATTAAATGCCATTGGACCGACCATATCTTTCTTGGCTTGAGTTAAATGATACGTTTGAAAAGAGACGAATTAAAATGGTGATGGAGAACGCTATAGTCTAAAACGTGTCTGCAGAGGAGAGTTATGATTTGTTTCGTCTTGTAAATGTATAAAATTTAGGCTACAACATAAATATGAATTATTTTGATACTACTAGTTGGTTGGTAATAAATGTGATTTTTTTTGCTAAAAAGAAAATGTATGCGATAATAGTGTTTGTGGTATGTGTTTTTGTCTTTACTCGTAATGTTTCTTGTGTCTTTTGCACGAACGAACGATGACTAAAATTGATTAGTTGGTTTATATGAAAAGAGAAGACAAAAAGATTGAGACAGACATTATGGATAAACGTGAAATTGTGATTGTTTCTGAGGCAAAATATTCGTTGCTCTCCTGTTTTCCTGGACCACCTTCTCCTTTCCATCTCTTACTTACTATTTGTATCTTCTCGTTCTTCACATATTTTGTATATTTGATGATGATGCTTATGAATTACTATAATGTTTGTTCTTCTCCGTTAAAAATGTAGCTGAATTGTAACCATATTTACATGACCGATACAACTATTCGGTGCAAACGTTAAACGTTAAGGCTCCGAATGGTGACAATATATTTAGCGGTGCGGAAAAAATAATTTACATATGCGGTACGGTTTAATTGCGATGCGTATGAAAAAATATATTATGCGGAATAAGTGCGGTTATTACATAATAAGCGGTATGGAATAATGTTTGATTGGTGAAAAATATAAATGAATTTTATTAATATATAAAAAGTTAATACATTAATTCTGTAATTTATTTTGATAATTACTAATTATAACTAAAATTATATATACCACACATACTCAAGTTATATATTTTTTTCAAATTTTTATTACTCTAAAAAAATAATATATTTAAAAAAACGCACTTACAAAAGCCACAAACACACACGAAACCATGCGTTATTACTATTGCGGGTATATCACCATTTTTCTTCACAAAACTGAACCGCACTTTGGCTTTTAATTTTTTATTATTTTGTTACAGGAAACACACCGCAATTGCAAAAATGTGTTGATTGGTGATATGTGAGTGGGCTCCACTATTACATATCAAAAAACGCCCCGCAGTTGTAAATAACGCAGCACCATTCATAGCCTAAGATTATATAGACAGTCACACATATGTGATTCTAATTCCTAAGTAAATTTTGTTTATAAATATAATATCAGTATACTATGTACAGCTAAATCAAAACCGGAAACCGAGTTTTGCTACTTTAATTTGAATGGGACAGGCCATTTTTGCACTGGAACTTGAACCAGAGGTATATAATAATAAAAAATAGTTTCCAATATTGCTCATACAATTTCTCCATTTGAAATATAACGGAAACCGAGTTTTGCTACTTTTGTGCAAACATGAAAATTTGTTTTTTTTGGTCAAAGAAGAGAAATTGTTTAAAAACATTTTAAAAGGACAACGTAGTTGATTTTGGGCCTGTTGGGTGAAGAGTATATTTGTACAAGGTGATTTCCGAGAAGAAACATGAAAACGACCTAGAATGACGGAATTACCCTTAGGCTTCTGAGAGTGAACAAACTTGAGGCAAGTTGGTTTCTAATGAGGCTTCGTAAGAATGATGACGCGGTTTTGACCGATGCGAGTCTCACTAATGCGACCAAGGTGTCGAAGAACCTGTTAAAGACATCACAAGTTGAGCAATGGATTATGTAATTGCAAGTGTTGTCTAATTCTGGTGAAGCGTTAAGGAAGCATTGTTGTTGAAATCTAAGGAAGCAGATAAATAAACACTTACAGTAAGTATTGCTTTGCCAGTGTTGTCAAGTTTCAGCATTGGACCCTTCATGTCAGTCTCAAGAAAGAAATGTTTGCCTTTTACTGCTCCCGTTGTTACTATGTCTCGTAGTTTCTACATATATACAGTTTCAACATTAGTAATTACCTCTTTCCACCATAAGAAATCTATACTTTCTTACAAAGAAATAGCTTACCAGAGCTTTCTCCCAGAGGTTTTCCGCAAGCTCCGCAAATATAACAAACACAAGGTCAATACAAATTGTCTCATAGAAATCAAATATGCAAACCAATAATAACAGAGCATAACATAGCATACCTTCTGTTTAGGCGCTGAGATAAGATGAGCATTTGCTTCAGCATATGAAGCCATATCATTGATTGCCGCATTCACTTTCTCAAGTGTGAGCCTTCCTCTCATGTATCTGTTTTTTTCTCCAAAAAAAAAAAACCCTCAGAAAAGAGAGATGCATTTAGCATGACAGAGCGAGAGAGGGAGAAAGGAAGTAAAAATGTACTTACGGTGAGAGGGAATTGAGTTCCTCAACAGTTATGTACCAAAGTGGAGGAGACCCACGACCTTTCTTCTCCTGCCAGATGAAACCGAAAGATTAAATCATAGAGAAATGCAACACTACCATAACGTTTGGAGATATATGCAACTTCTTCTACCTTGGGTAAAGCAGCTACTTCCTCATCAGGTTTCAGAGAGCTGAGAGTGTGGTTTTGTTCGTGCAGCTTGACATTTTCTTGGAGCAAACTGGTATAACAAACCAACTAGTCCCTTAGTCTAGATTTCTGGATTTAGTGATACTGAAGATAAATGGGATCGTTAATGTGTATGTACATACCATCTATTGATATCTGAATTCAACATTGTAGTCTTGTCAGGGAAATGAGACGGCGCATAAACTGACATCCTCTGCAATTTCCCTTGTTGTTTCAGTGATGCCTCAATTAGTTTCTACAAGCAACACCAATTCTCAAAGATTCGGATTCTAAATTCTAAATTACTCATAGCTGAAACTACAAAAATCGAAGAGACCATCAAATTCAAATCATCTTACTGGTTAATGACCGTTTCTAGAATCTCAAGTACCGAAAATTGTAAACCTGCGATTGAAATCTCGGGTTGAAGCAAATTCGTACCTTGGCTTTGGGAATAGCTTCGGTTTCTTCTCGCAACCGGTCCTTGATCGATTGTACCTGAAGCTCCATCGAGCTCAACGCCGTGTCGATCGACGTCAAATCCGGGATGCTGCTCGGCGGATACACTGCGGGAAACCGAAATTAGGGGATTAGATGGAGAGAGAACAACGGATTTCTGTGATCTGAGTGTTGGGAAATGGGAACTCGCGACTCACTGTTCCGGGCGATGACGAGTTCCTGCAACTCGCCGATTCGTTGGTTGAACGAAGCTATTAACAGATCCAGAGAAGACCCAGCTTGATTTCCCTCCATTCTCCACGAAACACTCGAAAATCTCCAACCTCACACTATCTTAATTCTTAATCCCCTTTCGTCTCGCTTTAGGTTTTTCAGAAATTGGAAATGTTTCCGGCGGGAAAGTTGAAGCTGGATCGCTACTTGCTCTATTCTTCCGTGCAGGACATGAAAAAATGGGCTTATGGCCTATCACATATAAATGGGCTTTTCCATGTATTTTTCTTACACTTGACCATACCTCCCAATTTTTTCCACAAGTTTTGAAACTTTATGCAAAAAAACCAGAAAAAACATGAAAAATTCTGAATAACAAAAACGTTTTGATATGAAATAAGATAGATAAAGAAGATTATTTTGTTGTTATATGATCTGTAAAAGTCAATTTAAACTTAAAAGATGTAGATTTGGGGGCTTGGGGCACCTGAGTGCATTGGAACGAAACGCGGGATCTTCGTATTTTTGGGCATCGTTAACAGTGACTGTGCACGCGGACTCATCAATATATATCCTATATAATATAGAGAAATAAAGCATTTGACAAGCTAGTGGTACTTTTCTTTAATCGAATACTATTTAAAAGTCCACCAAGTTCAATACAATGTACATGCGTAACAGTATAACTTCGGTTCAGTTCTGATGTCATTGTAAATGAAGGAAAATATATTTAGGAAGCTATATACTAAGTGGAATATACATATCAAATTTACTATTAGGTCGGTTGAGATTGTATAATTTTATGGTTTTTGGTACTTTACTGGGCATCCTCTTTCTGGTTTTACTTTACAGGCAAATCTCTAGAATTTCGCTATTTTTAGCCTATCACATTTCGTACCTTGCTAACACCATTATTTTGTATAGTAATACTAATATCACAGCAAAGGTACTTATGCATGTGCATGTAAAGACGACTAAATTTATATAGTGTACATCGTGATATATCAATGAAAGCGCAAGTGACATAGTCACAAAATCAAGAAATGCAAACGGAGTAGTATATATTGATAAATAAACTGTTTTACTAACCTAAGATATGTATTTTAATGATAAAATTTTAAACTACAGGTCGTTTCTCATCATAAACGAGTCAAAATGAGGAATTTCATATTGACTTCAGTTATTATATATATATAAAAGCATAATATGAAAATATTGTGATCATGAAAGAGTTAATTATGATGAGGTGGGTGCGTGGTGGGCTGCATATAATCGAGATTGAATCCGGGATGTTCTTGGTCTGATCTTGGCTGGTTCTTTGGATGTTTGGGAACTTTCCAAGTTCTCGAGACTCTTTCAGACGACAGCTTTTTGTTTACTGAAGCTCGTTTTCCTCTGCGATCGTCCTTCGTACTCTTCCCACTGATCTGACCATGACTAACTACGGCATTTTCGATCGATAAGGATTTCGTCTCGTTTGTCGACGGAGCTTCTAGTTTTGTATTCCCTTCGTTGTTCTGTGCCAAAGAAAAACAATTTAATACATTTGTATACATATGTTAATTATAATTTTCAATTTAATGAAAGTAATTACGGTGTGTGTTAGAACAAAGGACTACACATGTAACAGATTAATATCAGTGATTAGTAAAATAAAATTCCGGCGTGTTAGTTTGTTATAGATGCCAAAGCGCATGTGAATCAGTCCAAAAAAATCTCTTAGGAAAATACCCTAATATCATTTACACATACAACAAACGAACTAGCTAACATCATTTAAAATAACCGAGACTCTAACATTAGAAAGCAAAGTGGCGTACCTTCGCAACTAAATGATGAAGATTCACACCAAGCTGCTTCTCCATAGGTCCAAGACGGCGAGAGTCGCATAAGCAAGCCCGAGAAAGGATGAAAAAGGTGATTAACAAGAAATAGAACCAAGTAGTACTTTTTAATATATCCATACGATTAGTAGCTAGCGATCAAAGAGATGACTTCGACTAAAACTGACGGTTGGAAACCAATATCCCAAAATATATATAGACGGAGAGAGGAAGAGATGACGGTTTGAAGATTGTGATTGTTATAAATGCGTAGGGCAGAGAGATTGTGTAATAAATGCAGATATAGAGTGAGGGAGAGAGAAAAATAGAGAAAGAGTCGTTGATGGTGGAAGCAAAGGAGAGAACATGCAAATGTATGGGTGAGAAGAAGAAACGAGTAGTGAAGGTCAGATATGGTGTGTGTGTGGCCCCATCTTCTGTCTCTGAGAATTCCACCGACCCAAACCAGAGAAACCTAACGAAAAAGAAAAGACCAGACTTGTGTCTTATTCTCTCTCGTAGTTATAGCATCCTCAGATTTGACCGATTACTGATATTTTGTATAATCTTTTATATCTATGACTATGAATTAATAATGAAGCGAAAATCTAGCTGGCCATTGAAACGAGCAAAAAAGAGAATTAGGGTTTTTGATGCATATGCTTAGTTGTTTATCCCAAGAAGAGGTTGTACATCTCCTACCTCTTTGTCTTTACGTTGGGGCCTTTAAACACTTTGCATTGTTTTACGCTACCTTTCTCACTTTGTCTCCTCAGTTTTTTGTTTACTTATACACATATACATGTACATGTGTTTGTTTCTCGGGAAGCTTAACATCCGCGTAACAATCGATATTTTCTAATGGCGATAACCAAAAAGTAAGGAGTCTTTTTCGGCCAAACATTCTTCACACGGATTGTTCCATTTCGTACATGCGAAAAAACTACGTTTCTCTAACGTATTTTCATTATTGATTGTAACATGGAACCGCCGGTAAAAGCAAGGATTTATTATCACCACCAAAACCCTGAACCAAGTGTGTTTTATTTTTATTTCATCATTCTTTTTCTGTTTTTTTTTTGTTCATCAATTCTATGCATGGTTTATTCATTAAGGTACGCATTATTCAAAGTCAAACAATATATATATATATATATATATGTGTGTATAATATAGATTGTTGATAATAATAAACTACAACTATGCAACGGTCTTGTCTGTGATTAATTGTGTTGGTAGATGTATATTACATTGGGATATATTGAACAATTTCTACATGATACATGTTCAGTTGTTCATGTCTACGTGAACACAGGGACGTTACAACTACCTAGCTATTTCGTTGCATTGCGATGACTCTGTAACGATAATATATATTTATTGCTAATAAAGTAATAATTTCCACGCTTATAATCTCCAAGGGACATAGTTTGAGACAGAGTTTGATACAACAAGTGGACACTGCTAGTGTCTGCTAAAACCCCAAAAGTCTAAACTGAATTTATATTATATATCTGTTTGACTATTTCAATTGAATAGAATCGATGTTATTGCATTTGAGAAACATGCAAATTATATTGTAGTGAACATATACTATATGTCTAATCAAAGTCTCATGGACACACTAAAATCTTGTAGTTCGATAGTGAACTTATGTCTGAAAAGTGAAAACTTGACAAGAAACCTGAAAAAAAACACGACAACAACTCGATGCTGAGTTACGCTCAAGTTTTAAAAACACACATATACACATGAGACGATTATGATACTTCGTGGTGCGAAAGCGAACAACGAAACGGAAATTGAATATTTGGCATTGTATGAAATTAGACATATATATAGGTCTAAATTAATACTAGTTGACATGGGAGCAAAAATGATGCATTATGGAGAGGGGAAGGGAAGAAGAGTAAAGAACGTGTGGGATCAGAGGATCGTTTAGCAAACACAACACAGTAGGGTCCACAAAAGCAGCAGACAAGTGTGCGTGGACCATCACCGCTCTGTTTTGCTAAAATCACCAAAGATCGTGCCCTAACCGCAACACGAAGCCGCCATTGCCGCTACGTTTGACACGTGGCGCTTCCCATGTGATTTGTCTTTTACCGCCACGTCGGCTTCAAACAAAACCCGACGTGTCTCGATAAAGCCCAACACCCACTGTGGGCTCGACCCGGAATTGTCGGGTGAAATTATAATTTCCCAATAAAAGGTCAAACAGAACCGAACCAAACCGAATTTGCACAAAATCCAAAACTGAGCTAAAAACTTGTTTGCAAAACCAAATCACGAACAAGAAACAAAAGCTGAATATTTACATTTCAGCTTAATAAAAGCAAGAACACATAACATTAGTCGAGTCGATAGAAATTATAATTAAAAAGCCTCCTCTCTAAGAATCAAAGATCCATTGACGATCCAAAAGTGTTTTCGCCACTGTAAGTAACATACAAGAAACCATCCTCGTCTTTCTTCTCGTCGTAGATGCTCGACATCATCGCTCCTGCAATCAAGTGTTCCCAATTTAGTACCAAGAAGAAACAAAAAAATATAAGAGTGTTTAAACAGAGATTAAAGAAAAACTAATTAAATTACCGGTGGGAGGAAGAACATTATCAACAAAGATGAAGATAGCTTTCTCTGCACTAAGATGGACTCTTTTGCGAACCACATAGACAAATTGGCCAACCGTTAAATCCGCTGGGACAAGGTATCTGTCAAACGTAATCCCAATGTTTAGTAATCTTGTGGATCAGAATACAAATAATTTAGATACTGTGAAAAAAAAAAAAACTAAAGAGAGAATCAATCATACTTCTTCTTGTCGATGTCTGGGACATCACTTTGCTCTGCCTTCTCGACAATCACCTAATTACCAAAGAAAGAGACAATAATTTAAACATTCTGTTAGAGAGTCAAGCCTCATATTCATAGTGTTCTTCTGCAAGATTTCTACTTATTACAAATTGGGTCTGTTCCCTATGAAATCAATGTTCACTAACCTAAAGAACTTAGACGGATCACTAATTAATACATAGATGGACGATTTAAATACATAAGAACAAAGCTCAAAAATAGAATCAAAGTCTTTAAAAAAAAAAAGTTTTAAAAGAAGGTTGTGTTTATTTACCGGGATTCTATCAGGATACTTCTCTCTGATCTTCAAAGCCTCAGCTTTCCTCTTTTCTGCATATAATCATCATCACTTTGAGTCAAATTACTCGTTACAAGCTAAAATCACAATCATTAGTGGGAAAAAAAAGTATGATTTTTACCGAAATCATGCTCTTGCTTGAAGCTGCTCTTGTTCATCTTTAATCCTGAATATAAAACAAAACACAATTCGAGAATGAACGATCTACTCAACAGAACAAAACCCTAATTTTCTACCACACCCAAGTCGGGATCCAATTAATATTGTGAATGTAGAGTTAAAAAGTATTAAACGAATTCAATCGGAGAAGACTTACAGAGAGGAGGAAGAGACTGTGTGAGGAAGTAGGGTTTAGGTTAAAAACCTGTAATGATTGATTGAATAAACTTTAGGATGCGATCGCGACAATTACCCAATTATGTAAGACGCGTGTTTGTGTATTTATATTAATCGCGTTTCCTTTTCCCTTTTTTTTTTTTTATTATCGAACTATACACATCAGCTTGTTTTTTTGCCAATTTGATTGAGTTAAAAAAGTAATTTGACTGAGTTTATTAGGCAAGTTAACGTGATTTAAGGAACGTTTACTTATGATTGAACAGATACGAATTTAGCTGCTATTTATGGAGCAAGGCCCAGAATAAGTTAACACGAAGTAATGAAGTCCAAATGGTCCATAAAGCCCATTATAAGACTGTCATCAGTATGGAACTCCATGTAATAGGGTCAACTGTTTCAAGATTTGTATAAATAATTAGGGACGTTAACAATGTGTCAATCACCAAATATGATATAGTTTAACCAGCAAACATAAGGTTAATACTACATGGTTCTGTTGGTTGTTGTCTTGACAAACTATATTTGCTATCTTCGCTTTGTGTTTGTTTCCGCCGTCACTATATTTTCTTATTGAACCAAATTCATTCTTTGGGTAGGAGTGTGCCTCTTAAGTCCTGCCAATTAATAATAAACTAACCAAAATTTGACATAATTTGTAATATCGAAAATTACACGTTCTTTGTTTTGATTATGACTTGGATATGACATGATTTATTTGAGTTAATCCCCTTGGAATTTTTGATTTTGTTTTCTCGTTTATATCTACAAAAACTAATTAGCAACCTGAATGTTGCATGTGATTATCTCGTACTGTTACAATATTTCTCTTCCTTTTAGCTACACAGTTAATTTTTATTTGAAATAAGAAACAAAGCATCAACTTAATATATTGATCTAGCGGAAATTATGACTTCTTAAACTTGTTAAGATCTCTCTAGATCTAGCGAAAACAAGGGTTAGAGAATATTCTTCTCTAAAAAGCTTAAAGCTCTTATTTATTAATCAAGATCAACTGAATACAAAAGGAGGCCTAAACGGCTTATCTTATTATATAAAGCTGAATGCGCACGACGTGGTTGCGACACGTAGGATTTTTATAAAATTCAGGATCGCGACATATGTCACTTAAAACCGTTAAGATCGTGACACGTGTTTTAGGAAAAAAAGAAAAACTTTAAAAAAAAAATCAGAAAAATGTTAATTAAAGAAAAACGAAATTTAATTTTAGTTTTTATATCAAAAAGGAAAAAAATAATATTTGCCAAATCCAAACAGAAAAAGGTTTCTCATTCATCAAATTTTTATTATATAAAATTAGATGCGTACGGCGTGGTTGCGATACATAGGATTTTTATAAAATTTATAAGATCGCGACATGTGTCACTTTTAATGTTATGTCCGTTAAGATCGTGACACATGTCTTAGAAAAAAAATAATAATAAAAAAAAATTAGATAAAGGAAATTAAAAAAAAAATTAGTCCATTATATTAAAAGAAAAAAAATATATTGGTGATATCTCATTCATCAAATTTTTATTATATAAATTGGATGCGTACGGCGTGGTTGCGACACATAGGATTTTTATAATTTATAAGATCGCGACATGTGTCACTTTAATGTTACGTCCGTTAAGATCGTGACACATGTCTTAGAGAAAAAAAAAATAATAATAATAAAAAAATTTAGATAAAGGAAATTAAAAAAAAAATATCCATTATAGTTAAAAGAAATAAAAATATATTTGTCATATCCTAATAGAGAAAGGTTTCCCATTCATCAAATTAATATTATCCAAACAAATAATAAAATCAAAATAATGTAATAAATAAAATCCTATTTGTACATGGAATATGTTATGTAAACTAAATTTCCTATAACTGCATGTAATAGGTTACTTGAACCCCTATAAAAGAGAGTCAAGGTTTCTCAATCATAAATTCATCAAAGAAAATTCATCAAATCCCTTTGATTCTATTTCTCCAATTTAAAAATCATGTTTTTGAAAGTTTTGCGATACATAGGATTTTATAACTGACAAAATTGCGACATGTGTTTTAGAAAAAAAAAATTCTGGAAGTATGAAGATCGTAACATGTGTCATGGAATAAAAATAATAAAAAAATTAATATGTATAAGACTAACTAAAAATTAGAAAAACAGATAACAAATAATTAAAATGAAAAAAATAATACATCCATTAAAAGTAATAAAAAAACAGGAAACAAATAATTTAAATTCTTTTGTTACATCTATTAAGAAAAGAAAAAAAAATGAAAAGGAAAAATACCAATATATAGTATTTATAATGGTCTAGGCAAAAACAAAATTGAGAAAGAAAAAATATAAATAGAAAACTAACAAAATAATTATCAAGCAATTAACTAATATTAAAAAATTAGAATTGATATTCTAATTTTAAATAGTTTGATTTTCAATTTTTGTTAGGTAAAAAAATTGAAATAAAGATTTCATCAAAAATCTCTTGAATGGAATAATAAAAATTAATTAATCATCAGATTTAGAATCTCTTGAATGAATAATAAAAGTTTGATTAATTAATCAGTTGATCAGATTTAGACATGTGTAAGTCTTTCTGTATTGGATAAAAATAATAGTAAAACAAATTAATTCATTTTTTTCATATCAGAAATTCAAAAGAAAAATCAATTACAATAAAAATGTAAAAGTATTACAATCTTATTTTATTAAATATTTTTTATCGGGTTTTCAATATTATTTTGTTTACGTTTAAAAATGATCAAATTTTGTTTAATATTTTCCATACTTTTATTATAAAATCTTAATATATACCCGCGTATACGCGGGCCTTAATCTAGTTTATAATAAATCTAAAAAAAAAACTAAATAATAATAGGAAAATATCCAAATAATATTTCTAAATAATTAGAATATTTCTAAATATCTCTCTGCATCATTATAAATAGGGTTTGTGATACCAGAGAGATATTTTTGTAGTGGTAATAAGTATAACAGATAGAGTAGTATTCTTGTAGTGGTAATAAGTAAAAAAAGAATTGGTCAAACATATAAATATTGGAACAACTTCGGGTTTGGTCTCGATTTGCTGGGTTTGGTCACCACTTGAAGCCACATTCGGGCAGAGGGAGCGGACAATTATCGATAGTCATCATAGCGTGATACTTTATATGTCCTTTATCCTTAAGAAAGGTACACAGACATGGTACACTTGACACCTTTGGATTGGGACAACATTGTTTCTTAAACAAACCTACCTTTTCGGGGGTTATCAATCCAAAGCATCTTCGAAGCTCTGGAACATCGCAATTAGGAGCACCACCAGCTTTAAACGATACCAAGAGGATGAAAAAGGCGATGGATATGATCATCGTAATGAGTTTCATGATTGATAGCTAGTATATAAGGTCTCGTAAATGTATTGCAACAAATAGTGTTTAGGAAAAAAAAAATACAATGTTTTGTAGTTTTTATTTGTGGCCTTTAAATAGGAAAAAGAAACTAAAGTTAGTGATTGATTTCCACAACATAAGGGAGTATGGAAGGTGAGAATCGCATTCCTATATATAAAGAAGCGAGGAAGATGGCGAGCCATGAAGAACACTAAAAAAAAGTTAAAAACAAAGAGTCGTGCCAATCTGCTTTGGTACCAAAGTATAGAGTATGCACAGCAGAGAACAACCTAAAATTGCTTTGTAGGTCATTCACATTCACAAGGAGTACGTACGTAACAAGCCTATCTACGTATGTATGTATCTAAGGATGTTAATTTAGGCCTTGTTTCATCAGTTTTGTGTCTCACAAGTTTTGCTAATCCTCAGAAGTATAATGAAATAATATTACACATAATAAGAAATTTACTTCAGTGACAGTAAACATGCTTCGAAGCTCGAACGATGATAATAGTAGTAGTAAATTAGTAATGGAAATCATAATAAATTCATAAATAATTGGTTGATCTTGTTTTTAGTCACATGCAATCTCAACCGTGAGATTTCAGTGTTCAGAACAAAGCATCAAGGTCACACCTGCTTGCAAGAGTTGTTTTGCATTGAACTTTACTGAATTACCCCATCCTCCAGGTCGTGCATCTTCTTCGAAACCAGGGGTAATCATGGAAAACAATGAACCATCTGCGTCAAATTCACTTTTTGCTTTGCAACCTCGGTATATGTTTTAGATTTTTTTATACTTTCTGTTTTCATGATCGATGATTATTTCTGTAATTCTGTTTAACGCGCCTCTCCAATTTTTACAACACTTGAATTACACGACAATCAACTAATAACTGACATTTTATAGTTTTTCTGTTTCTTTATAATACATTTTCGAAGATATACAACTTTCTGTTAGAAAAACAGAGCTAAAATTTTCTACAAAGTTTTAGCAAAATATACACAGATTTTGTCAAAATACAAAAAACGTATGTACTAGTGTCTCTGATGAGAGTAAGGGGCACGCGCCTTTAATGCGAGTAGGCTTAACAAGGAGGGGGAATATGAAATGATACAGATGTAGATAAGTAAATCTACAGACACAAGGCACCACACACACAGCAAAAACAAAATCTAGAGAGAGAGAGAGAGAGAGAGAGAGATGGATATCAATATCATTGATGAAGATCATCACTTTGGTATCTTATTGCAAGCATTTTGAGGGACGACGACACGAAAGGAAATAGAATAAAGATTTTATCGTCATCATTAAGAAGACACGATAATGTGGGCGCCAATTTCAATTTCAAGCTTTCATCTTCGTCTTCCTCTTCTCTCCTGAGATCTAGGGTTTTCTTGTTTTGGTCCTACTCTGCAAGACTGCATCTCTCCATCTCTAATCTAGATTGGTCATGCCCCTGCCCTTTGAGGAATTTCAAGGGAAGGGGGTTCTCGATTTCTTAGATTCTTCTTCGGAAAACAAAATCTGGGCTAATCGAGAGAAGACTCATGGACGACGAGAAGATCTCTGTTGCGTTGTCGGTGTTAACAATGGTGGCTTCCCGGAGCCGACGTCTGTTCTAGACTCTGTCAGAAGTCCAAGCCCCTTCGTCTCTTCCTCAACCACCACGCTGTCTTCCTCTTACGGTGGTCTCAGCGGCGGCGGCGGCGGCGCTGCTGCTGCCTTTTCCGGCGCGGATGGGAAATGCGATCAGATGGGTTTCGAGGATCTCGACGGAGTTCTCTCCGGTTCGCCGGGGCAAGAACAGAGCATTTTTAGACTGATTATGGCCGGCGATGTAGTGGATCCGGGTTTTGTGGGTTTCGACACGGGTTCTGGATCCGTCCCGGGTATTAACGATCCGAATTCGCTGTTTGCCTGCGGCTTTCCTTTCCACGACGCACCACCACCGGAAGAAGAGAAGTTTCAGATTGCGTCGAACCCAGAAACTCTGCTAAACCCGAATCCGGGTTTTTTCTCCGTCGGGTCGTCTCCTCCTGCAAAACGGCTCAATTCGGGTCAACCCGGCTCTCAACATCCCGATTCTCGTCACCACCACCACCAGTGGGTGTTCCCGTTCTCGGATCCGGGTCACGAATCTCACGACCCGTTTCTCCCGCCGCCGAAAATGGCTGAAATCAAAGTCGCCGACGACCACGACCAGTCAACAGTCATCATCGACCAGCTATTCAACGCGGCGTCGGAGCTAATAGGAACCACAAACGGCGGAGATAAGAACATCGTCATCGCGCAAGGGATATTGGCGCGGCTCAATCACAACCTTAACAACAACGACACTAACCCAAAACCTCCGCTTCACAGAGCGGCTTCGTATGTAACCGAAGCTCTACAGTCTCTCCTCCTTCAGGACTCACCACCGTCTCTCTCTCCTCCTCAAACCCTAATCCTTCGAATCGCAGCTTACAGAGCTTTCTCAGAAACGTCGCCGTTTCTCCAATTCGTCAATTTCACTGCAAACCAGACGATTCTCGAGTCCTTCCAAGGCCTTGATCGGATCCACATTGTCGATTTCAATATCGGTTACGGAGGTCAATGGGCTTCTCTGATTCAAGAGCTCTCCGGGAGAAGAAACAGATCATCATCATCATCAGCTCCGTCGCTGAAGATTACAGCTTTCGCATCTGCCTCCGACGAATTCGAGCTCCGATTCACGGAAGAAAATATCAGGAATTTCGCCGGAGAGACCGGAGTTTCCTTCGAAATCGAGCTATTGAATACGGAGATTCTGCTGAATCCAGCTTACTGGCCTCTCTCTCTGCTACGGTCGTCGGAGAATGAAGCAATCGCTGTGAATCTCCCGATCAGCTCCGTCGTCTCCGGTTACCTCCCGTTGGTCCTTCGTTTCCTCAAAGAAATCTCTCCAAACGTCGTCGTTTGCTCGGACAGAGGCTGCGACCGAAACAACGACGCGCCGTTTCCCAACGGTGTGGTACACGCGCTTCAGTATTACACATCTCTGCTCGAGTCTCTCGACGCTTCGGGGAATAATACGATTAATCAGGAAGCTGCCACGAGTATCGAGAGGTTTTATGTGCAACCGTCGATACAGAAGCTGTTGACGAATCGTTACCGTTGGACGGAGAGATCGCCGCCGTGGAGAAGCTTGTTTGGGCAATGTGGGTTTTCTCCGGTGTCGCTGAGTCAGACGGCGGAGACGCAAGCGGAGTATTTGTTGCAGAGGAATCCGATGAGAGGGTTACATCTGGAGAAGAAACAGTCTTCTTCTTCTTCGTCTTCACTTGTCTTGTGCTGGCAGAAGAAAGAACTTGTTGCTGTCTCAGCTTGGAAGTGTTGAGAGAACAAACTGAGAAAGGAAAAAAATGTCAGCTATTTTCGTTTCTCTTTTGATTTTAGCTTTTTTAATTTGAGTTAAATCATGTTTTAATGGGTTCTTCTTAGTCTTTGATTGTGATGTTAACCAATCAAATGATATATATTATATCCCTTTTTTAGTCTTTCACTCTCTATTTTCTGCAATCAAATGGCGATTTTTATTACGATAAAATAGTGTAATATACGAGCTTTTTTCACATGGTGGTCCTCGCACTATTAATGCTTAATATTTATATAATCACAGTATTACGTCACTGTTTACCACTTTATAGTCATTAACTAATTGGACGGAATTAGTAGTTTATAAGCAGCCGCTTGATGTTAAAGAAGATTCTGCAGTGAAATTGTGAAAGTAAAATTCTTTATTGAATTAACAATAATATCCCACCCATGTCTTTCCTCTTCCCAATCATTTCTTAATTTTCGCCTCTTTATTACCCTTGATTATTCATTATTCATTTATAGTTACCTTTTTCATTCTGATTTTTTACCATAGCTAAAACTGAAACGAAGATTCTGCTTCGGAACAACGCATTCATTAACATCCCCACATGATTTTAGTCTTTAATCCAAACATAGGAAACAAAAAAAAAGATTGGAAAATATCTCTACAAATTAACCGGTCAGACAACGGCCTGAGAATTCGCCTACTGAACCGGTACTCGCATTCAACCAAAAAGTTGTATACCGGTTCAATCAAACAATAAACCGGAAGCTCATCTCCAACCTTTCTCACCATCATTTGCTATATCACTCTCGTGGAGGGAAAAAACAATCGCGCCTGCTTTATAAGTCTTCTTGAAGCAATAAGAATGGGTTTCTCGAGGTCACTGTTGTCACCATATGAATCAAACTCCATGAAGTCTTACGAAGGAGTAAGCTAAAGCACCAGTGAATATGTAACTATCAACTCTGTCCAATATTCCACCTGCAATTACAGAAGAACGGGTTTAGAGACCGCATTGGTAGACCTCAAATCGGTCTGGTTTAATCGGATAATTACCGTGTCCAGGGATGAGTGAGCCGGAGTCTTTGACACCAGCATCTCGTTTGATCATTGACTCGGTTAAGTCACCAAACACCGATCCAAAGAAGTTAAGAAACCCAAATGCTATTGTGCTGTCAAAAAAAAAAAAAAAAAAAAAAAACAGAACCATTCAGAATGAAAACTCATAGAAATTTCATCGGATTTGAGTTACCTGACAAGAGACTGAGGCCAAGACAAAGATTTGGAGAGCAAAACGGTAATGGCAATACAACCAACAAGTCCAGCAAGAGCTCCCTCCCATGTCTTCTTTGGACTAACGCTTGTAAGAGGAGTCTTACCAAATGCCTGCAATTAACTTAACACCAAGGAAGTCACTACGAGACTATATAGTATAAATGTGTGAGATCTAAAACTGAATCAGAGACATACCTTGCCACCGAGAAAAGCGAATGTGTCAGAGGCAATGATACCGCAAAACGAAACTAATATTGCAACAAGTCCAACAGTCCAATGAGCTTGGCCACCGAGTAGAACAGGCCAGCTTCTTCCAATTCCTATAAGTAATTAAACAGAAGACTTAGTCTTTCGATTACCACAAGGAATCAAAGCTAAGAAGGATAAGTACTTGCCGGCGTTTAGAACAGGAGCAGTGAGACCACACCGTAGCTTAACCCAAAAACAAGGAAGATATCCACAGTAAAACAGCCCGAACATCGTACTACTCAGCTGCGAAAACCGCGGGTTTCCTCTCTGTAACAGCAACGCCATTGCAACAACGAAAGCCCCTGATGTCACCGAGATATCTATATGACCAAAGTACCTAAAGAAAGATTAAACCTTTAAAGTGAGCACAGACTTAAAAAAAGAGAATCACAAGCTTTGAAGGTGACTATACTCACAATGTAAGTAATGGCATGAGAGCACATATAACAGAGCAGACTCTAGATAGATATCTTGGAGGAGGTGTCATTCCTTGAGCAATCCCTTTACTTCTCACTAACTCGAAATATTCTCTGGCGCTTAGAAGAACAGCAGCTGCTAATGCTACTGTGAAAATCCATCCTCCTGCTAACACAACACCTCCTACAGAGAATCCGATTCCTAGACCAAAAACTACTCTTTTCTTAAACTGGCTTTTTGAATTTCGCTTCTGTTCATCAAAACTCGAATCTTCCTCCACATTTTGCAGTTCCTGATCTCTGTCTTCTTCCTAAACAGACGAGAATCACAGCAATGCCATGATAATATCAATGAGACCATAACATCAGTCTTAGTACTATTGAGCTAAAGACGAAGGAGAAGAAAGAAGCATAAAGTTACCTCCTTTGAATTGCTATCATCGCCAAGCTGATCTGATTCAGCTCGAGCAACGGCAGCGATAACGCGCCGGTTAACAGAAATCCGAGAATGAGACGGTGATTTGGAATCGACGAGACGCAAGTTCGAATAGTTTGGAGAGGAATGGGGAAGAATTAGAGGTTTTGTTGACGAGGAACGGCAAGGACATGAACAGAGAGAGCTCAATGAGAGTGGTACAGGTTTATACCTACAGGCTTCAACAAAAGGCGCCATTGGAGATTCCGAAATTGAAAAAAAGGAAAGTTAAAACCTAAAAACAAAAGACTTTATGAAGCCGGAACGCTCTCCGCATCAGAGGAAAGGGAAGGAGAGAATTTGAAGATTGAATTTGATTCGGTGAATCTGATCGGCGAGTAGAGAGATAGTAGTGGGGGAAGTGGTGGTGGTACGACGGGAGAGAAACTGAGTTTCACGCGCCTAAGTCAGCGCGTGGATAGCAAAGCCTCCTTCTCTGTTAGAGTCTTATGAACACTAAAGATAACCTTCAAGGAAACATTGCCAAAAACGTAATTAATTACGTAACTGCAAAAGTAATTTCAGTCTTACTCTTACCGCATTTGTTTTCTTTATTTTTTCAGTTTAAAACCTCATCGAAACTGTGCATTATTGATACGACCCAAGTTTATATTAATGGGCCTTAATTGGGCTTCTCCATTAGTAATGTTTAGCCCATTTTCTAGTATATGAAGTTCGTCTCTCTCAAACACTTTCAGAAAATTGACCACAAAAAACGAGTAAATCAATGTGCGTTTCTCGATCATCTCTATTCCTTCTTGTTCCTTTCATAAATTTTTATTATTTCTTTTGTATCCTACCATTTTCTTAAGAAGAAATCAAACGACGATAAAGTATGTGTTGAAAAGCATCGATAGAGTTCGTTTTGACGTTAATAAAGTGACGGGCAGTGGCTCACTGGTTTGAAGAGGGTAACGACATGCTTCTACTTACGCTTCCAGTCAGGAGCAATATCCTCGATATTGTGATTGAATATCGCCTAATTGCGAAAAATAATTTCACATAGAATCATATTGAGTGGTGAAAGAATTTTCAAATATCTCATAAGTATAACATTAATATATTTTCAATATAATTTAATTTTAAATTACAAAAATGAACAATCATATAATAGTTAATGGAATATGAAACAACTAATTGTATTATTTTATTTTCTTACTTAAAATAATGAGAGATTATTGGAACACTAAATGACTTGTAATAATTATATATTCCCAAATTCAACATTGAATGTTATATTTTCTTTTAAAAACATAGATCCCGCGATGACCAAAATTTGTACCAAGCATCTAGATCATGAGGTAGTACAAAATCAGACATACATGTTTGGTGAGTTGATATCATACGACTCAAGCAGAGGTACTTTTGAGACGTTGGATATGTCTTTGGGTGAGTTACATGAGGCATGTAGTTTTCTCAGAAGATATATGCTTTGATTAAATCTTTTGGATTCATAAGGTTAAATGAAGAAGAAACATGGAATCAGATTGTTAGATGGAGTGAGAGATTTGAGACTGCGTTGTTAGGTGTCTTAAATGAGAAAATGGTGATTTTGAAAGCATGCTTTGAAGATGTCTATGAATTACTTCAATAAGAGGAGTCCTTTATTGTTGGGCATATACCTTTAAACTATAGTTTAAATAATTGTTTGATTATTTATTTTAGGTTAAGGGAGAGAAAGCATGTAAGACACTTTTAAAAAAAAATAATGTTGTTTAAAATGAAATTGTCAAATACATAAAAGAGAAATAAAACAAAGTCACAATTGAAAATGAGTTTTATTTCGCGGTTATGTCCTCTTCATTACGTAGCCCAAAATAAGACCGATTAATCCGACCAGAAGAACATACATGAACGGTATACCACCACTTTGGCTTCTATTGCTGTCACGCCTCAACATATCATGCACATCAATCAAAAAAATTTAGCAGAAAACAAATTCAAGTCTAAACAAAGCCGGTGGAATATAAGACAAGTTCTGGTTAATGGTGTGGTGAAACAAATCAACCAGCTTCATTGGCTGAGTGTTGGATGTTAAAATGATTGAGACAAGCAGTAATAGAAAGAGTTAACCCCAATAAATGTAGGAAAAAATTCAAAGATCAAAAAATGGAAGTTATTGAAACAGTAATAGAAAGATTTGTTTTATCAATCCAACATTTCTTCTTTTTCTTTTTGATTATGGTCATTGAGACTACTGAATAATATGTGCTTGGCTAAATGAGGTGATTCTTTATTTTTGATGAAGAGAAAAGATGATGATCTGTTTTCCTGTGCCTCAGGGAACAAGTAAGATAGAGAGAGAAAGTGGTAAGATCCTCTAAGGCACCTTTCTTTAGGTGAAATTGTCAAATACAGAAAGAGAGATAAAACAAGTCTCGACTGAAAATGAGTTTAAAAAAAAAAGTCTGCGCATTTTTGTTCTTTCTTCGTGGCCGTGAGGGTGGTTATGTCCTCTTCATTATGTATCCCAAAATTAACCCGATTAGCCCGACCAGAAGAACGTACATGAATGGTATACCACCACTTTGGCTTCTCTTGCTGTCACGCCTCAACAGATCCTGCACATCAGCCACAATCTTTTCTCAGAAAACAAATTCAAGATATAAACGAAGCCTATATTCAGCTTCATTGGCCGAGTGTTGGATGTTAAAATGATGGAGATAAAACAGTAATAGAAAGATTTAAACCCAAAAAAAGAAAGAATGGAGGAAAGATTCAGAGGTATAAAAATGAAAGTTATTTACCAGTTCTTTTTGAAGTTTGTTGTTCAGTTGAATGGCATTCTGTTTTTCCTCTGTTAGCTTTGTGATGAGAGCCCTTGCCTGAAATCAATCAATAGAAATACTGTATTACAGCTAATAATGGATTTGGTGCAAATTAGATATACGCACGAAAAGATAATGGTCAGCTTAAAGATTCAAAAAGTGTAATGAACCTTTTAAGTATTAACACAAAGAAAGATTCTCAACCTAATACATCAGCTGTTAAAGCCAACTTTCCAATAAAAAAGAGCAAAAGCATGGACTCTGACATCACCTAAAAAGACCTGACTGCAAAGGATAAAATTTTCCACGGTTTTGACAGGTAAAAACTCAGAAGAGCTCTGAAATTACCTCAGATGAGTTTTCTTGAGGATCAGCCTTGCCACCGATGGTTCTCTGAAACTATAAATCATACACATAAACACGCATAAACAAACTACAATAAGTAAAGAGGAAATGTTATATTGACTAATAAACTTACTGAAAATTCAGAAGCATTTCCGTTATCAGAAACCGAAGCCCTTGGTGAAGAGCCTTCTTCTGATCCTTCATGGACCGGTGATGGTGGCCGTGGCGGAGCAACATACGTAACTCTCAGCTTCGTCTCCTCAACTAGATGCCCTGATTCTTTGCTAAACTGAAAAGTCCCAATCAGAAGAAAAATGCTTGTTAAGGAACCAAAACAAAAACTGTCATTTATCATTTACCATTTATCAAATCAAATCAACAACAATTGGAAGAAGACGAGTACCATCTCAGGAGTAACTTCCTTGGCTGTGATACCAGCAGTAGCTAGCACACCTTGAAGCAGAAACTTGTCCTTGCACTGCATATCGGAAGGAGCTTCCTTTTGAGCTTGCATGGTCACTACACAAGCACCAAATCATCAAATTCATAATCCTAGAGCCAGATTCGGGAATTGAAAAGAGAAGAATGAGAGAACGTACCAAGAACTTCACAAGTGGACCTTGGAAGAACAACTCCAGTGTTAGGCCTAACGCAATACTTTTTCGGATTCGTCGTTTTAACCTGAATCACAAACCCAGAAGCCTCAGATACACAAAGAGATAACCAAATCACAGCAATTTCCCGATCCGAAATCCGGATTCTTAGATCATATGAGAGAATTATCACCTTAAAGGCCACATTATTGTCGGTTTTGTTCGTCAAGTAGAGAGAGCAAGAGATCTGCTTCTTCAATTCAACTAAATCAGATCAAAAGAAGAAAATCACGAAAATTCATTAACACCACGACTCAGCAAAATCCAGATCTGAGGAAAAGGACATGCGAAATGATGAAAAGTCGAATTAAGCTTACAAGGGAATTGAAGGTCCAGAGGCTCGACGGTGAGAAGCTCGCTGTTACTCATCTCGATCAGATCGCCGGAGATTCAATCTGATTTTCCGTTCAAACAAACAAAAAAAAAAACAGTTTCCGGTGAATAGATTCGTCCCGTGACGCCGTCTCCGGTAGAGAGATGGCAGTCGTCGAAGATCGCGAGAGAGAGAGAAAGAGATCGAATGAAGAAGAATGTGACATCGCTATTTGTCTTGTTCCTTCTCAAGGTTAAAATCGTCTTTTTCCAGTCAAAATTTATTGTTCTTTTGATCTGAGACGCAAACGCAAACTCTAAATCACAAACGTTGTACTGAATTACAAACACTTAACTAAAAAGTCAAATGGATTAACTGCATATAATACGCATAAAGAGCAGGAATATAGAATGTGATGACTGATGACAAAGAATATGTTTTTTCGCTCTTAACAATAATAAACTCACCAATAATAAAAGCGTTACAGTACATAGTTAAACCCTCTTTTTCTTACAGCTTTTCGAAAAACTTTAGAAAAACGTAAAAACTAAACAGAAGAAACATGTATTATTTGTCTTTACTTGAAAGCAACACATACCTAACCAGAGGAATATGAAACTACGGATCATAAAGAATATGTTTTTGCTACTATCACCAATAACCAAAAGCTATACAGTAAAAGAGTTATACAGATCCTTTTTGTTTTTCTGACATGAGAGTTTCAAACGTAAAAGCTAAACCGGAAGAAACATCTACCAATCCTTTACTTAGAAGCAACAGATTCTGGTTCTTGGTTTGTTCTTGTTCTAGACGCAAAACCAGCAAACCAAGCAACTCTCATGAGCTGCATCCCCAAGATCAATACCCACCAAGAGACAAGCCCACGAAACATATGAACCACCCAAACCGGTGCGTTGACCTCTGCGCTCAGCTTCAACCCTCTCATCAGCTGCAAAACTCTGTAAGCCTCGTAGACAACCGGCGTGACTAGCCACACCGGTGATTGCCAATGCCACGTGAGGATCTCTGTCAACGTCTGGACCGCGAGGAGGATGAAGTAGGGAAAGAGGAGAACAGCGGAGGAGATGAAAGGAAGCTCCGGTTGGAGAGAACCGAGTA